ATCTAGTACGGCGTATACCACCCCTGGCTCTCAATAATAGCCTCCACCCGGTTCGGCATGGTCTCAGAGAGATGCTTTAGATGATCTAGATCTAATTGATCCCATGCAAGCTGCGCTGTAGCTACCGAAATAGCCTTAGTTTCGTCATTGTTCCTCATATGAATGAGATCGGGCCGAAGCTTATAGATTTCAGCTTTCAATAGCGCCCAGAGGTTTTCAATTGGGTTCAAATCCGGCGAGTACGGAGGCCATTCCATAACTTCAATATTCATTTCACGTAAAGCATCCCGAACAACGTATGCAGCATGTGTAGGCACATTATCATGTTGAAAAATAGCACCTTCATTGGACATCAAAGTAGGTAGAATCCGGCGGTATAACTCTTCAATAACAAGACCAGTTATACCCGTACGCTCAGCCTCAGTAAGAAGGTCTTCGTGGGTAATACGTGGATTATTCGAGATAGCATCCAAAAGACGTACTTTGTCGGTGGCATCAAGCTTCTTTAGTCGACCAGAGCGAGGTTTCGTAACACCAGCACGCCGTTCGTGCTCTTTTTTAATTGTATACCGGGTTGTAGAGAGAGAAATCCTTGGGTACCGGTTGTGAATGCGCTTATAACCCCAGTGAACAGCCGAGTGAAGCTCACATATCCTCTCTCTAAGAGCCGGGGTAAGCTCAGATCGAGCAGGCATTACTGGCAGCCTATAAAATAGGAATATTATAGGGGTATAGAGAGCAGAGAGAGGTAGAAAAACGCGAGATATACGCGCCATGGGCGAGCTTCACTAGCGCGTGATATAGAGCGGTGTACACTATAATGGAAGGCGGTATGTAGGTGGGGCCAAAGGGGGTGTTAAAACTTTTGCGTAGTGACTGTACATGGAAATCACTTTCCGAACGAGGAACCTAGTGTTGTGTTCCTGAAAAATCCAGGACATAAAAGATATATGATGGACATGCCTTGCCTACTATGCTAATTTCAGAAATTGGTATCCATGGATACTCTATTAGCATGAAGCATATTCTAGCAGATGGTAAAGAAAAAGTACCTGTACCTGACCACCCGACTGTTGGGCCATGACCCGGCAAGTACCAGATAGTTACGTCACGGGTAGCCCTGGCTTACCTCAGCGTGCCAGCCGACCCCTCGAACAAACTTGTGTATGTCCAACCCCACGAGGAAATTTTTGAACGACATATTCAGTTAAGGTATGTACTCTCCGCTGTTGAATCTAAGAGCATCTAAGAGGGAAAAAAAACTACAGTGTTCAATTTTCAAATCCTTTTTTTTGGCACCTACTAACAGATCTTAGGTGTAAAACAGGCAAGCCTAAATCTTTTTTTCGCCGACTCCCGCCCCCAATTACTGACCAAGTCTTCAGGCGTCCGCAGGGCCTTCGATAACTCTCTCCCCTGATCAACTGTCGCCTCGCCAAGATGAGCGCCCCTCCGCCGAACGAAGCTGAGAAGAATATCGAGATCTGGAAGGTCAAGAAGCTGATCAAGCGTCTTGAGGCCGCTCGTGGAAATGGAACCTCCATGATTTCGCTCATTATCCGTGCGCTGTCACTGCCCCCCGCCACTTACTATCGCTGCTAAAATGTCTATATAGCCCCCAAGGATCAGATTAGCAGAGCAGCCAAGATGTTGGCTGAAGAGTATGTACGTGAAACTACATCCCTCCGATCTGTCTGCCCCGAACGCCGCCTAATCGCACACTAGGGTACCGCCTCCAACATTAAGTCTCGGGTGAACCGACTCTCCGTGCTGTCGGCCATCACCTCTACCCAGCAGCGTCTGAAGCTCTACAATAAGGTCCCTCCGAATGGACTGGTCGTGTACTGTGGTGAAATCATCACCTCAGAAGGAAAAGAGCGCAAGATTAACATCGACTTCGAACCTTTCAAGCCCATCAACACCTCCCTCTACCTTTGTGACAACAAGTTCCACACTGAAGCATTAAGTGAGCTTCTCGAGGCTGATCAGAAGTTCGGTTTCATTGTCATGGACGGTAACGGTACTCTGTTCGGTACTCTCAGTGGCAACACTCGTGAGATCATTCAGCGTCTCTCCGTCGATCTGCCAAAGAAGCACGTGAGTGCTCCCAGCTGATTGAGTGCGATGTTCGTCCATACTGATTCATACAGGGCCGTGGTGGTCAATCCGCTCTGCGTTTCTCGCGTCTTCGTGAGGAAAAGCGTCACAACTACGTCCGCAAAATCGCTGAGTTGGCTGTTCAGAACTACATCACTAACGATAAGCCCAATATCGCCGGTCTGGTGTTGGCTGGTTCTGCCGATTTCAAGAATGATCTCAACCAGTCCGACCTGTTCGATGGTCGTTTGCAATCCAAGGTTATCAAGATTGTTGATGTTTCCTACGGTGGCGAGAACGGTTTCAACCAGGCCATTGAACTGGCTGGTGAGACCTTGAGTAACGTCAAGTTCGTTCAGGAGAAGAAACTCATTGGTCAGTACTTCCAGGAGATTAGCCAAGACACCGGCAGGGTCTGCTATGGCATTGAAGATACACTCAAGGCAATGGAACTTGGTGCTGCTGAAATCTTGATCGTCCACGAAAATTTGGAAGTTACTCGCTGGGTCATGAAGACCGTGGAAGGCAAACAGGTCATCATCCACACGAACAAGGCCCAGGAATCCAACAAGGACCTCTTCGTGGACAAGGAAACCGGATTGGACATGGAGGTTATCGAATCAGGCTCTTTCCTCGAATGGCTTGCCGAGGCCTACAAGGACTTCGGTGCCAACCTGGAATTCGTGTCTGATCGATCCGGCGAAGGAAACCAGTTCGTCAAGGGATTCGGTGGTATCGGTGCCATTCTTCGATACAAGGTCAACTTTGAACAACTTGCCGATCACAGTGATGATGACGAGTTCTACGATGGTACGCTTTCTTCTCCTTTTTCGCTCCCATTCTTTGCGTTCATGTTCATACTAACTTCTCTGCAGATTGACGGTATTGCCCCCTCGCAGAGAGCGAGGATGAACGGCCAGAAGCTCCCTCGGCGAGTCTTTTGACGGCTCGCCCCGTGGATCATACAGGCGGCTCCCGCAATGGAACCAAGGCATCCGTAAAGGATAACCAAAAAAGGCCTGGTCCAAGCTTCGTGAAGCTGCTCAGAGGTGAGACATTCAGATAGTTTTTTGCTCGATAGTTTAGCTCTAACTTTTTTGTACAGTGTCGTCCAAGCTCCAAGATACGCACACAGAGGTCGCCTCGGTGTCTGAGATGAAGATGAGGTTTAAATTGCAATTTGAAAGGTTGGGTGCAGTTATCTGTAACATTTGGCCATCCACCGCTGCTTGCACTATTTACTCTATGTAAGCCGGATAGCGTTGGATTGTTTTATTTCTCAGCCAGTTCTTGTCGTTTCATCTCTGAATGGCATTTTCTGGTACTTCGTTCGTTATTTGCCCGTTACAAAAAAAAGAACACCCGAAATGGTTGATATAGAAGGTGCTTTATATTGCTTATTGAGTTTTCCGATTTATCTTGCGGTGTACACTGTATCGATGTCATTGACCATGTGGACATTGTAATTTCATCTCTTCGTATATTAAATCGAGATATCTTCAACATAAATGACCTGACGCTTTCAGTGCGCTTGCAATATCATCAGTGCGTTGACCAAGGTGACTCCCCCATTTAAATCAGTCAGTCGAGTCAAGCTTTGCTTGCCCTTAACTGATCTTTCCAGGTCCCCAAATCCCTACATGTCTCAGTGGCTTGACGCAAATCATTGAGAGCCTTGTGGACTGCCTCTTTGTTATCATCCGAGGGTGTCCTTCCACACTCAACGAAAAATATATACTGCCAGGACTTCTTCAGACTCGGCCTCGTATTAATACTCGTAAGATTCAAACCATGAGCTTTGAAAATCAACAGTGCGTTTGCCAATGCACCAGGAGATGAATGATCAATCGTGAAAGTAATCAAAGTCTTGTGCGTGGTTTCGAGAGCAGACCTGCCTTCCAATGTAGGCGGGTTCGGCTGCTCGAATTTGAGCTGGGCGGTCCGCTCATCGAGCACATTCCTGAAGATCAGGAAACGTGTAGTATTGTCTGCTCGATCCTCGATGTTTTCAATGAGCACGTCCGTCCCGTGTTGTTCTGCTGCGAAGCGATTGGCAATGGCAGCGCCTCGTTCTGTTGTCTCCTTGGAGACAATCTCTGCCCCCTTGGATGTAGACGTGACATCCTGTCTCTCGACACTCTTGAAGTATTTGGTCAGGAAAGATTCGCATTGGCCCCATGCTTGCGGGTGCGTGTATAGCTTGGTTATCGAGCCGTCGTAGTCTGCCCAACCACCGGGATATGTGCCCCTGCGCACCATTAAACAATGGTGCACTGTCAGGTAATATTCCCCGCACACTTTCACATCTTTATATAAACCATCCCGGTCTGCCAAAAGATCTAATGTCTGCATCACAGAGCCATTGGTCGAGTTCTCGCACGGAATCACGGCGTAGTCAGCTTCTTTCTTTTGGAGCGCGGCGAAGGCATCTGGGAATGAGACTTGAGGTTGTAGATCGGCAGATAGTTTGCAAAAGGACTCTGCAGCTGCCTAGAACAGGGATCAATAATCAAACTAATTTGCTTTTGCAAGGATGTGGGGTAAAGTTTGTACCTGATGCGAAAAGGACCCTAACGGCCCTAAGAAGGCGACTTTTAAGGGTGCCATGGTGAAGTATGGAGTGGTCTTTTCTGTATCAGTTGGGCTGAACCTTGTTGAATCAAATCAAATCTTCGGACTGGTCATTTCATCCACAGGCGACATCGGGTCTCCGAGCGGTGTGGACTGAATTCCGATGTTGGGGCAGTTCCGACATGGGGAAAGAGCGACAGACAAACATATCAAACGCCGGATAATTCTACTGCTTGAAATGAAGCTTGTTATTTGATAATTGTCCAATTGAGTCGGTGTCTTTGCTCATGAAGACAAATTCACTCCGACCCCTGATCTCTCTGCGAGGCGGTCGTCATTCGTGTCGGGCTTACTCTTCGCTTTCCGAGCGCTTGTATCACGAACTGACCACAAGGAAGCTGCCGTTGACTTACGACTATTTACACCCCCAACCTTCGCATCTTCTGAACCTTACACTCCGTGATGTGCTTCCGCAATCCCAGCCCTCCTTCGATTATGCGACTCTACCGTCATTACAAAACCCGTCCCCGCTCCCGGCCGGTCACCACCTAATCTACTTCCCGCCGCAGGTGACCTTGTCGCAACTGCTCCCGGATTGCACAGATACGTTACACACACCGGGCGAACCATTCAATCGACGCTTGTGGGCAGGTGGAAATTTAAGATTCCCCGTGCGCAGTCCGCCTCTAGATGGCAGTCGCGCAGTCTGCATAGAATCCATTCGCAATGTGACGGTGAAGGGCCGCGAGGGAGACGAGAAAGTGATTGTCACCATCGAACGACGGATTGGCAATGTTTCTGAACAAGAAACGGCCGACCAGGCCTGGGACCGGATATGGAAAGAGAACGAACACAATGCGGGGGAATCATCAGTCATTGAGAACCGGGACCTCATTTTCATGCGCCTAAAGACCAGCGCCCAAATCAAGGCCGATAAAGCGCAGTTCGGAAAGCCTGGTAGGACTGTCAAGCGTGAGCACTCCTTTTCAACCGTTCAGTGTGATTTCAAATTTGCTAATGATTTTGGCGCAATGAAGCACCCTCCGATGCGACGTTCCGCCACACCCTCATACCTACTAAAGCGCTGCTATTTCGATTCTCGGCGCTGACTTTCAATGCCCATTCTATCCATCTTGACCAGAGCTATACTCAGAACCAGGAGGGATACCCAAATCTTTTGGTTCACGGTCCGTTGACGCTCACGCTTCTGCTGAGTGTGCTTCAGCAACAGCTGAGTAAAATGAATCTATGCATCAGTGACCTTGAATATAAGAATCTAGTGCCTCTTTTTGTTGAGCAAAAGCTGGTGATTTGCGGCAAGCCTAAGAATGATGCCGGAGCTTGGGATGTGTGGATTGAAGGCCCAGATGGAGGGCTGGCTGTTCGGGGTACTGCGCGGACGAGGTTAGAATAATATGTTGAACAGCGGGGATGTGGTGAACTTATACCAGATCTTTACAGAGTATAGGTGAGAAGGTAAGGTGAGTGTGATTTGTAAAATAAGCAAGTGCTCGGGCTATATGTCTATCCTGTGTGGTTGAAATGATCATTCAAAGGAGGCAACTTACCCAAACTTGATATTGAAATTTCCATGGATGTTGTGAATCGTGTGGAAAAGTACAGTGAGAACTATACGAGCATATGTTGAAATAAATATTTTCTTGCAAAAAGTGATCCTGGGAGATGTTAAGAATGAATTGCAAAACTGTCTGATCTCGAAATATTTTTGAATTGAACGCCATTTATGCGGATTTCTCTTCCACTGCTGCAACTCCAAAAAACCCCTTTTTTTTAATGGCTCGCACAAGGTCACCAATGATCTCCTCGACAAGCGCAGTCTCATCTAGAGCCCCCGATCGCGTCTGATTTGTATGAATTAATACATGACCAAATGCCTTCAACCAGGCTTACAGCCGTATGGCGGGAACTGGAAGCGAGTGTATTGAATTGAGACCGAATTCCTCAGCCCCACTGCACTCAGAGCTTGCAGCAAAATCCACGAGCTCGAGCTTTATGGCCTCGTGTACAGCCTGCTCACCGTGCGCGACGACTGCTCTGATCTCATCACGAGATTCAATTGGGGTGTGGCCTTTATATTGGCCCTTGGCTAGCGGATGGCTCCAGAAAAAGAAGTCTAATTCCTCAAGCTTGCCGAGTTCATTCCCTGCAAGTCCACCGGCTTCAACTGGGCAGCCCCTCTGGTCAATATTTCCCTATCGACGTACTGTCTTCACACAGTGCTTGCTCCCTGGAAGCACCTCGGCAATCAGCTGTTCAATAAGGAGATACGTTCTATGGTCGGAGCGGCCAGTGCGGCTTCGGCAACTGGAGCTGGTCTAAGGTACTAGTGCGTCAAAAGAAAAAAGAGGGTGTTTTCTAGATCAGGGTTTGCTATCTACCCGGCTAACTTATGCTAGGATCCTATCTGCCATTTAATCCCATGATGCATCTTCTCATTGCAACAGCCACCTTGTTTCCTGACTATGTGCGCAAAACTCAAGCGCAGCCAGGCGAAGTAGTCGGTACGTGTCAACTCTCGTCGATGGCGGATGAAGACCAACTGTCGTATCTCGCTGCAGTTATCAATTGAATCCTTCGCTAACATCTCATTGCTCCATTGAGGTGCTCCATTCCGTCTTTAAAGATGAAAAGTGCATGGGCTATTGTTTCCCAAAGGATTTTATCAGCATCACCAATCAATGGGGATTAGAGCACGACGAGGAAGTTAACAAGTACCTATAAGTATTTCAGCCTGAACGATGGATTGAAAACCTCCGATCTCCCGCTAGCTGGCTGGCTTCCACTTCGGTTATCACAAGCGCGCAGGAAACAAATTCCCCCCTACGGTCCTTGCACGGAGGGCTGTCCTTTTGCCTATGGGCTTATGACGTCCAGCCCCCGGCAGGCTTGGATCTTGAGGCTGAAGTGCTTAACGTTGCCTCCAAGAGAGGAAATTTCCCTTCTGTGGCCTCTCCTACCAAGGCGGTCTTCAAGATCCGAAGTACCAAACATCGCAAGGCCATCCAACGAACCTGGCTCTACATAGATAAGGATGAGAATCTGAATTTGGCGGAGGTTAGAGCTAGGATTAACAAGTGATTCAAAGGCAGGCGATGTTCAGAATACACATGTCTAAAGAAACAGAGATGACTGAGGAAAGAGAAACTAGGGTTGTAAGATCTGAGACGAACTAGTTGGTTAACCAGAAACAGAGTAAATGCCTGAGCCATAAGGCCACAATAGACCCCGATAGATCTAGTTAGCTATCCAATTCATCTTGGTTAGTTACTAAAAAGTATATGTTGACTATTTATCAACGCTAGAACAGCGCAACAGCTAGGAATGCGAAGCTGTCGAAATAGATTGAACACTGATGGATCCATGCAATCTATTACTCAGCAACGGACTTCGGAGAAACTCTCCCGAAGCAAGCTTTGCACATCTTTTTCTTTCCACCTGTCCTTCCCTTTCTTTCCTCAACCACACAGCAATCTGGCTATTTTGTGAGCGGCTGTAATGACCTAAGCCGCGATCAACTACCCATTCTGCCTATCATTCATTGCCAAGATGGATGTCTTCTGGGCGGCTCCCCCGGTCATTAGGTATGCACATCTCATTCGCCGACCTCAAGCTCTCATTACTGACTTGTCATTCAGGACCCTTACAGCCTTGACTCTTGTTCAATCCGCTTTAATGCATAGCGGCTTAGTGAGCTTGTATTGGGCACCATTCATGCCGAGCATGGTTTTCTCATGGCGCCCACAGATCTACCGGCTGGTCACTCCATTTCTACTAACTGCACCGAATCTCGGTTTTATCTTTGATCTCTATCTCAGTATGATGCCTCGGTATCACATTAGCCTGGCCTGATCAGAGTGCTAATGTACCGATAGTGTACCGCTATGGCAGTGCTGCAGAGAAGAGCATGGCCCCTGGAGAATTCTTCATTTATCTCCTATTCGTAGCTTTCAACATCATGGTAAGTGACTCAGTAGAGTCTGTTCTTTTATCTTTTTTTGCGTTCGTGTTCATATCCAATCCCTCGCTATAACTGCCCGCCCAGCTTCGAAATCTAGCTGAATTCGGTTCCTGAAGGCGAGGGAGAGCACCCCTGCATCTGTGCAACACCCTCATAATTCGCAAAATTCAGGTGTTGTGCAGGTGTGGGCATGGTGGGATTTTCTTCGAGCTCACTGGCGGGATTCTATTTCCCGTTGGTATCGGAGGTTCCCTACATTTCTATATACATCATCTATTTTTTCCAATACCATCCACATCCATTCTACTCATCATCCTGGTAGCTCAACAAGCTTCTGCCAAATTTGCTAACTTTCCCAAGCTCACTGCAGGTGGTTATCTGGGTGCCCCTTTCCTCTTGTCACGTAAGCTTGCCGTGCATGGTTCAATTGTTAGGCAGACACTAACTTGAAAACAGCCTTGATCATGGCTTTCGTCTATACCTTTTCCCAGACGAACCGAGGAACGAAGACAAGATTCTGGGTCGTCGACATCCCGGTAGTATTCCTGCCATATGCAATGCTTCTCCTCAGCATGGTGACGAACGGGTGGCACAGCGCGCTGATAGATATCACGGGAATTGTCGCTGCCCATACGTATGATTTCCTCACACGCATCTACCCGACTTTTGGTGGTGGAAGAAAAATCATCACTGTCCCCGGCTTCGTGCAGAGGTACTTTACCGACCATGACCCCAACAGCGGATACCGAGGATATGGGACGGCGAGCCGCGCACCAAAGCCGGCCGAGCGACACTCATCGGCATCAACATCAGGATCATCCTGGGGCAGCTGGACCTCTTCGGGTTCTTGGAACGGCAGAGGTGCTGGCCGGAGACTCGGTTAGATCGAGAGAAATGCCAGCCGTGTACACGGTGTTGGATTGTATCGGAGATACTTTGTATTTGGCACACGTTTCGGCTTTCATTGTGCCTACATGGAATTTTTGCAGGTAGTGATGATAATAGTGATACTCCACAAGAACATGATTTTGTGCACGCACGTGTCCACAAATACAGATTTGAACCCTAGTGGTTAAATATCTTGGGGCATATTTGATCGGCTTAATTGTAATCTTTTCTCAGATAATCTACGCTATTAGCAAAATGTCTGAAAATCGGCTCGAGAGGCGTGAAAAAGTCGAGAACTCCAAATCACGTGATGTTTTCTCCAGGCGCTAAACCGCTTCAGGCACTGGAGCTGCCGCACTCGCAAAATTTCCTTCGACAAATTTTCGGGGTTTTCACCGCGCATCCTTCAACGACAACCAACAAAATGGCAGTCGTCAAGACCTCGGAGATGGACTACGCCATCAAGCCTGAAGCGTCCGTTCCTTCTGTTGATACATCGGATTGGCCGCTTCTGCTTAAGAACTATGAGAAGCGTACGCTTGTCCTTAAAACTCCACGCTTGACTAGCCGACATTGACTTTTTCTGTAGTGCTCGTTCGGACCGGTCACTTCACCCCTATCCCTGCTGGCTCCTCTCCTTTGAGCCGTGACTTGAAGTCATACATCAGCTCCGGTGTCATCAACCTCGACAAGCCCTCCAACCCTTCCAGTCATGAAGTCGTGGCTTGGATGAAGCGGATCCTCAGGTAAACCACCACAATCCATCAAATCCCCTCAATGGTCTTGCACCTTTGCTGACCACCTCATGCTCTGTAGATCCGAGAAGACTGGTCACAGTGGTACCCTTGATCCTAAGGTCACCGGTTGTTTGATCGTTTGCATTGACCGTGCCACCCGCCTGGTCAAGTCCCAGCAGGGTGCCGGTAAGGAGTATGTCTGCGTGATCCGTCTCCACGACAAGATTCCCGGTGGCGAGGCCCAATTCGTCCGCGCTCTGGAGACCTTGACTGGTGCACTCTTCCAGCGTCCCCCTCTGATCTCTGCCGTCAAGCGCCAGCTCCGTATCCGTACCATCCACGAGAGCAAGAACTACGAGTTCGACAATGAGCGCCACCTCGGTGTCTTCTGGGTTAGCTGCGAGGCCGGTACCTACATCCGTACCCTCTGTGTCCACCTGGGTCTTCTCCTCGGTGTCGGTGCCCACATGCAGGAACTGCGCCGTGTTCGCTCTGGAGCCATGGGCGAGGGCCCTGGTATGGTCACTCTGCACGATGTTATGGACGCCCAGTGGGTCTACGATAACAACCGCGACGAGTCTTACCTCCGCAAGGTCATCAGCCCTCTGGAGTCCCTGCTCACCGGCTACAAGCGTATTGTCGTTAAGGACAGCGCTGTTAACGCCGTTTGCTACGGTGCCAAGCTCATGATTCCTGGTCTTCTCCGCTACGGTATGCGAACATCTCTCCACTGGGTCTTTTTTTTAATCCTTGCTAATTTTTTTTCCTTCAGAGGCCGGTATCGAGTGCCATGAGGAGGTTGTCCTCATGACCACCAAGGGTGAGGCTATCGCCATTGGTATCGCTCAAATGTCCACTGTGGAGCTCACCACCTGCGACCACGGCGTTGTTGCCAAGGTTAAGCGTTGCATCATGGAGCGTGACCTGTACCCCCGCCGCTGGGGCTTGGGACCCACTGCTCTTGAGAAGAAGAAGATGAAGACCGCCGGAACTCTCGATGTAAGTGGCTGAATTGCCTTCGCTTTCATACAATGTACTGACTCTGCTCTCAGAAATACGGCCGCACCAACGATGCCACTCCCGCTCAGTGGAAGAACGAGTACAAGGACTTCAACCTCCCTATTACCGGAACCTCTGCTGTTGCCCCCGCCACTGAGACTAAGACCGAGACTGAGACCCCCAAGGTGGTCTCCCCCGAGCCCGTGAAGGAGGAGGTCGAAGACAAGAAGCGCAAGCGCGACGGCGAGACAGCCGAGGAGAAGGCTGAGCGCAAGAAGAAGAAGAAGGAGAAGAAGGAGAAGAAGGAGCGCCGGAAGTCCAAGCAGGATGATAGCGATGACAGCGACTAGATGCACTCCAGGAAGGCCGTCAGGTTCTTTTCCTGTACCATATTTTGCTATTTCCGGAGTCTTGGGTCAAAAGGGAAATTTGTTCTATTCCAGAGTTTCATATTTAAGGCTGCCTATCTGTTGAATCTACCATTCTTTAAATCTGAGTAACGTTAGCAAGTGAATCACGTCCATACAGCGCTTGTTCGCGTTGACCACAATGTTCTTTTGGGATCTCTATCCAAGACCATCAGCTACGCCTCGAGGACACATATTCAGCCACATAGACAGAAAAAGGCTTCCCTGCCTCGGCTGCAACTTTAACAAGGGCGCTCGGGCTCAGGCTCAAGCTCACTGAGTGTAAATGTCATGACGGTCATGTGATCGCTCAGTGATCACTGGTGACTACATAATTCCTCTGTGATCTACCAAAAGTGCAGAACAACATGAGAAAAGCTTCTCAATCTCTAGGTTGAGCCTTGAAATGGAACACATCCGTGCCTAATTTGGGAAATGGGAAAGGCCACCCTTAACCTGGTCTACTAGCATCTTTCTGTTTATTCAACCATCACACCAATCATCAAATACTGTCTTCACTCATTGATTTCCATCACTGCTACTGTTGCTATCACCTTACCTCCCTATCCTAGATGCTTAATCTATTCGCGTCACATTTGCCTCTCTTGACCTGTGCCGGCTCAACATTCCGCCTCAAAATGCCATCGTTCCTTGCACTTTTCTCCTCATTCTTGTCTCGGTTGTGGGGAAATGGAAATGACACTCGACTCTCTGAAACTCTAAAGCAGAACACGTCAGCTGGGCTACCTGTCGAGCTATTGCTGTCAATAGCCAATTTCCTTTCTCTGGTTGATGTGATCTGCATCTCCCCCTGCAACCGTCGACTCTTTGCTACGTTTCACCACCGGAATCATTCCATGCTGCCATCGGGAATAGACAAACTTCCCCCTTTGAATAGCCTAGAGCGAGATCTACCGAATCATTTCATTTGCTACAGTTGCCACCTTCTTCACAAATAATGATGCCTTGTTAGATTTTGGTCCCCGCTCGTTCTTCGAGCATTATACCAGTCCTCTTCCATGCTTTGAACAATGGTGGCGCAATCCGTTATTAATGTTACAACTACATGCGAATCCGTGGGGTAGGGTCTCGTACAAAATTTACTTCCTACACCTTCAGCTTGCCATGAAAAGATTCTATCATGGTCCGCAGTTTGGAATTAGCACAGAGGCCATATGGTACGCCCAAGTTCAACACTACCCCGGAGAGTCCGCAAAGCCTGAAAAACTTCGCTTTTTCCGATTGACGCACAGACATGTTGCGTGCCTCCAGGTCTTGTTCTAAGGACCCAAAAAGAAATGTCCATTTCCAGTAACAAGCGATATCTAATGTATTGCATCCCAAGTACACGACGTGAGAAATTGGGGGAACATCCCTTCACTATGTTTATTTGCCTGCACGTTCCTCGGAAAATAGAGGCATACCTGTTGCAGCATCGGCCGGACGAAAAGAGCTTGCCAGCTTAATAAACCCTATTGTGAAAGCTCACCGAGCCGAGGAGAAAGCTCCCATGTCAACCTTCACATGTGGCCGTTGTGATACAGATTTCCAGATTGAAGTATGAGAATACGGCACTAACTTAGCTCTGATCATCACAAGGTGGTTTAACCTCGGTGATGGTTTATTCCTAGGTGATCCTGGAGGCGGGACGCCCGGCTTCTTTGACCCCTGTTGTATCTATGGACTCAGAAAATTCCAAAATGAGTAAGTGCTTAGCTATTTGACCTACTCTGTGCGATTACAGATGAACACAAAAAGGTTTATTCTAGAACTAGCTAGGAATATCGGTTTTGACTGGACGGAATCACGGTATTTCCGGCCGATGTATGGCCTTCGCTATTCAGTGGCTGTGCAGATTACCGAGGGGATACCATGTTAAATGACATGGTCCTCGAAAAATGGTGGCCAAGAAGCGCCCTACCTTAAGTGGTTTGAATAGGCGTATAGATAGGGAATTGGTGGGTTTGGGGCTGTGTGCATCTCCCTTATTTAGACTGTAGGATCGTGTGGTGTAACCGCAAATGGAGGCGGTCAATGCTTGTACTCGACGTGGATCTCGTGACTGTTCACTCCGCATTTCGCTCTCCACTTCATGTCCAGACTGTAATCCTCGACTATTACCCTTCGGACTTGAATCTAAGAGGAAAAGAGACTTGACCATTATCGACATGGCAGCAGAGCTCACGTCTACAAGGCTCAATCCAGAGAGTCATATTATCCTGGTAAACCATTACTCGGCACCTCCCTGATGAAGTGGGACCTAATCAATGTACTTTTACAGGACCAACCACTCCTTCGACTACCACATGAACTAGCCCGCAGAAATTTGAAAACTGTACAACGAGCTGTCGAGCGAGAGAAAGAATATGTCATCCCTGCAATCAAAGAGGCCGCCGCCGCCTCACTCTCCAACACCCAAACACCCGACCAGACCCTCGCTGCACTCGACGCAATTATATCCCGAATGCAAGGCCTCAAAAGGAAAATGGAAAGTCTTCAAGAGGAAGAGAAGAAAATTCACAATCAATCTCGCAAGCGCATTCAGCACTTGGAGACCCTGTATAATATCCCAAGCCTAGCCGATGTCAAGTACGATCAGTGGTCAAGGATACGGCTCGACCGCTTACTCGTTGATCATATGCTGCGCTCAGGTTACTCCGAAAGTGCGAAGCAGCTGGCCCAGGTTAGGGGAGTGGAGGATCTTGTGGATGTCGGCGTGTTCACGCAGTGTCAACGGGTTGTGGATAGCTTGCGGCGCGGGGAAACCAAGGAGGCATTGCAATGGTGTGGAGAGAATAAGGCTGCACTGAAGAAGAGCCAGGTAAGTGGGGACTGGCTTTTGTTGCCTTGAAACTTTAAGCTAACTTGACGTTTGTGAAGCATAATCTTGAATTCGAACTCCGGTTGCAGCAATATATTGAGATGGTCAGGACACAAGACAAGTCCAAGAAGATTGAGGCAATAATTCATGCAAAGAAATACCTCATACCGAACCATCAATCCCAGAATTCTGAGATTATGCGAGCTGCAGGGCTACTAGTTTTCACACAAGACACAAGAGCCGAGCCTTACAAAGTAAGACAGATTTTATACATATCTCGTGTTTTTACTGATGCAGTACAGTCTCTCTTTTCAGTGGACCGCTGGAGGTATCTCGTGCAGCTTTTCATTCAAACTCACCATGAGCTGCTTTCATTGCCATCACAACCATTGTTACATATTGCACTTTCTGCAGGACTTTCAGCCCTTAAGACACCTCTGTGTCATTCAGCATATACATCGTCTAGCTCAAACTCACAGTCAACGTCGACATCTGTGTGCCCTATCTGCTCAACCGAACTGAACGAGCTTGCACGCAAAATGCCGTACGCCCACCACTCAAAGAGTTATGTGGAAAGCGACCCAATCGTTCTACCAAATGGCCGAGTCTACGGAAAGCAAAGACTGATAGAGATTAGCCAGAAGATGGGATCAGTGGAATCAGGCAACGTCAAAGATCCAACAACAGGCCAGGTTTTCCACGAGAGCGAAATGAAGAAAGTGTACATATTGTAAACCCGGGCAGACATCTACCAAGGATGAAACGTGCCACAACTTGATTAACACACACTGTTCTTCAACAGGATAAGTATATATTTCAGCCCCTACTCACTATCACTAGAATCTTCATCTCTGCTCCTTTTCTTTCCTCCCTTCTTGGCCGGCTCCTTCTGCTTCACTTCAAAGACATACATCCGAGCCTCCCGATCCTCTCCCCTCCATCCTGCACGCTCCCCATCTTTCCCTTCAATATGGCCCGCCGTTCTTGCATGCGAATACCCCTCATAAGAAGTCCAAGGAAACCGAAAACTAGTCACAACAACCAGTCCCGCATGCCTCGCCAAATCCCTAATATTCCAAAGCGTATACGGCTCCCCTTCAAACAGAGTCACAAGAATTTGGCCAGGGCCAACCCGGAACCCCTTCCCGGCAGTATCATCATCTTTCCCGAGCTCCTCGCCGTCTCCTCCATCCTCGTCCTCATCTTCTTCACTCTCCTCCCCATCCGCATACACCCACTCATCATCATCAGCATCCATAAGCGGCGGCGGCTTCGACATAAGAGGCACACACGCCTTGAAGAACGCAACCAGCAGCTCTTGATTCGCCCGAACCTGTCGGTTCACGTCCGTGGAGAGCCCGCCAACATGCGGGAAATTGAAGCAGATCACATCCCACGGCCCGCCCAGCTGGTAGGGTGGTCCTGCTGGCTCATTCTGCTGGTACCAAGCTGGTCTCTTGCGCTCGCGGCGTGCGAACCCTGTGCGGATCTCCTTGCCGCCGCCTGCTGGAGTGCCGAGTTTGCGAGCGTCCACGGAGAAGATGACTTTGGGGGTTTGCTGGTTGGGATTGGGATTGGGGTTGGGCTTGGTTGAGTCTTGCTCTTCGGATTTACTCTCTTCTGGTTGGTTTTCGGTGTCATCGCTTGTTGGGTTTGCTGATGCATTCTGGATATCTAAGACGTTCTGAGGAGCTTGCGGGTACTTGTTGTACAGTGCTTCCTTGGAATCGTAGCATGTGGCGCATAGGTTGCGACACTTGTATTGCTTTGCCAGAGAACGGGCGAATGAGAAATCACCTAGCAGCTGTTAGAAGTTATGTTCTCCAGATATTGTTGATTAAAATCCGGATTGAGACGGTTTGCATGTTCATGTTTTTTATATAGGAATGCATGATTGGTATCAATCTTGTGTATCGAAGCGAAAGAGTAGCTCTGAGTATGGACATTCATAAAAAAGGTATACATAGAACATGCTCGCAGAGCAATTCTTGCACAAAAGCGAGAAATAAAGAGCAATCATGTCAGCTAAAACAAAGAAAAGCTCACCTTCACCAATCAAGAGAACTCGATCCTTCCTTAAAAATGGCACGATAGGCCTCTGGTTTACTTGCATCGAAGCTTTCTTAGGTGCATTGGCATTGCCACTACCCTGCTTATACCCATTGCCATGCTGCTGGCCCTTGGTAGGATTGGAAGATGGGCCAGCTGGTTTTCCTGGTCCACGAGGACGCGTCGGAGGGGCGTTTTTGACTTTCTTGTTATTGCGAGGCATTTTTGAAGATAAAGAGAAGCGACTTCTCTTTGAAGAAAAAAAAAAACGTTGTATGAAACGAATACGAAGCCACCGCTGGTGTTTGCGGCTGGAGGATGATGCGGAAGAAAATCGGCCCGGATAATCGATGTCCGAAGTATACAACGTCCCAACGTCCTCAACTTCACGTCAATCTTCTCTACCTCTCTTTAGCCTACTTTTCTTTTTTGATTTCTACTCTTTTCTAAAATTTTGGGCTGAAAACTTTTCTTCCTTTTAAAATTTCCGAAACCAAGCACTGTTACGGGAATTACTCCGAGGTTCACTCCTCAACTAGGCTGCGATTGATGTTCCAAACAAGGCAAAAGAAAAAGAAAAAGGAGTGAACGAATGAATGAGCGCCTCCGAGAAAAAATGGTCCGAGAAAAACGAGATGCCTCTACCCCCTAGGAGGCCGAGTCAAGAAGGAGAGCACCAGAAGAAGTGGATGTGACCCGGGCAAATCAACAGCAACACACAGGGATGATCAGCTCCAGCCCTGTGCACGCTCGGGGTACCCTCTGCCCTGTTAATGGCCAGTCCCAGAGTAAACCGCTTCCAGTCCAGACGGGCAAGCAAAATCGTCCAAGTCCAATTTAATGAATGCATGGTGAGCCTAGGTCCAGAAAAGGGGAGGTGACCATCAAATGCGGAAAGGCAAAAGGCAAGAACGGGATGTCCAGTCTGAGGGGATGTGTCAAATAAGGCCAATCTGACTCCAGCGCCGTGAAATTGCTAGAAACAAATCCAGGATATTCTAACATGCGATCGATGGTCGAATTCCTCGGGACTGACGAGGTAGCATGCGGATAGTCAAATGCCGCAGAATAACATTGAGGGTGTCTATAACATTCGTGACCCATTCAAAGGTCCTCTTAGTCGCGGTTTAATACTCCAAAAGATCAGCAACATTTTTCCAGCGCTTTACCTCGCCATTGCCTCTGCCAGTGCGAGCCCACTAGATGGGGTCAATGAGATTGACATGGAGATCTCGAATAGCCTACAACACCACATGCCTAGCGCAAATTAATCAAATACATCTGGGAAAGAGCCAACCCAATAGCCATCGGGACAAGTCATGGGAAGCGGAGTGATCCCAACTGCGCCACAAAGCTTGTGCCAGGACTCAAGTTCCAAGACATTGCCGAACCAGATGGTTACTTCTGAGACTAGCGCATCCTGGTATCGAATCCAAGCTGCACGATACTGGGGGGTTTGGTCATCCCAGCCACAGAACTTGCGCAGTTGGTCCCAGTTTCTATGCGGCGGAAGTTGGACGTGGAATGAAAAACCGAGCCAGGAACGGAAGAAGGCGTTGAGAGGGGAGGTCATCATTCGCTGGTGCAAGGTGGACTCATCGTGGACTCTGAGAAGCTCCCTGTTGTTGAGTACCTGGCCACATGGTTTGCATTCGAAGGTAGGGGCGAGGGAGAATCGGAAATGGTCGTCAAGGCCAGCTTGGTCTTAAAATTCAAAGTTGCAGGGGGTGCAGGTAAACATGTTGATTTGGTTGGAAGATGGTTAAAAGTCTAAGATACTCAGCGTTGGATTGTCTTCTATACATTTTGGGCATGGGAATGTATGGCTAAGTGAGAGATCGGCTAGAATGAAACAAAATGGAGGGATGAGGTCAAAGTGTAAGGCAAACTATAAGTGAGACTAAATGACTTGTGCCAACCGCGTAACCTCCAGCAGCACAATATCCCCAGACCTAGCAGTACAAGACTAGGGCGTGCAGTTGAAAGTCTTGAATCATTACCGTAAAACATGAACTTGAATCCCACCAATTCCTCATGGGTGCGTAAACAAGAACACCAGGTTATGGGAATGGGATAGGATGGATATACACTTTCCCGATTGGGAAATTCTGGCTTTAGATCTCAGCTTGGGCGAGAGAGACCTTTTACACCAGTCTCGAATCCCTTGGTCATCTCTAAAAAAAAAACATGGAACAAACTTCGAAAACACGAGTCCTCCTTTCTGCCCAAATTTCGAGTACAAAAATCAAGATATGTGCAAAAAACAATTTGATCAGCAGGATCCATCAAGTTAGTTATGGAAAGACACGTTCTATTAAAGAAGAAGGAAAAAACACAGATCGCGGCATAGCTATATACATTGAAAAAGACAGGCAAGGATAGATGCTATGGCCGCATTTCAAAACAAAGGGAGAATTACTAAATCATACTGTAGACCAAAAGCAGGGGGCCAGGAAAAACCGCAAAATCGAAGCAGTTTCCCTTCCATAAATGTAGGGCGCGGGGAGGGTAGAATAACAAGAAAGGAAAGAGAAAAAGCGATGAAACACCAACACCGACCAAAGTGGTCGCAGGATTTTCCCCATCAGACCCGACAACACCCTTGAATTCGGCTGCAATGAAACGTGAATCATAATGTCACATGCAAAGGAGCACAGTGGACGCGGTTGACTTTTTTGTATACGCACTGACCAGTCAGATGCATATGGTCTTTCCGGGCCTTAAGAGCGCAGCGAGTCTCTCATGCTCTGGCTGCTGGCACTGACGGGCGTGGGGAGAACACCGATGCGGGGCTTCGAGTTCTGCTTGATCTTGGCCACGGCATAGACAATACCGCTGACAAAGCCGACACCGATGGCGGAAACACTGGGGAAAGTGACTGGTGCATCGAAAAAGATGAGACCAGAGATCGCGATGGGCAGCTTGTTGAGAGCGCCAACCATAGAGTATGTGGTGGAGGAGGTGGTGCGCACACACCATGCGGATGTGTAGGAGATGAAGACAGAGGAAGCACCGGACAGAATCATAGCGAAGAAGATACCGTGACGGTTGGACTCAGGGAAGTTGCGGGCGAGGTTGGCGGATGACCAGTCCTCGACCAGCAGGGTGAAAACAATTAAGATAGGGACCGACAGGAGGTTGTTGTAAAACATGGCTGGAGAGAAGGTCATGTTAGTAAACAATTTAAACAAGGCTGGAAGAGTCACATACTGTCGAAATCCTTGAAGTTGGTGAGCTTTATGCGCTTGCGCATGCCCAGGACGTAGGACGAGGTGCACAGGCAGTTGATCAACATCCAGACGTATCCAGCATTCAGGGTGGAGACTTTGCTGGAGGTGTCACCGGTGCTCTCCACGGCATGCTTGATGTCAGCCCAGGCGGCAATGAGCGAGCTGAAAACCATAAGGCCGAAGGAGAACAGGGTTAGATTAGTGACCGATCCACCAAACCAGAGAACTTCTCCATAAGCAATCAGGATTATGGTCAGATTTTTGAAGATAGTGTAGACAGGAATTGAAAGGAACTGAAGGGCCTTGGAACCAGTATAGATCATGCCAATCAGTAGGAGCGTAATTGGGAACCCTGAGATGGAAAACTTGTCAGCTGCTATATCTCTTAGCTTGTTATAATCGGAGTCCATACACTTCTTGGCTTCATCGGCGTTGAAATCCCGGTAGGTGATAAGACCCATGGACTTGCATGTTTGAATTGCAGCAATGCAGACCAAAGACTGTTGATGTTAGCAATTTGCCTTGGATCAAGACCGGAAAAAAAACCACCACATACCTGGACACAAAGCAAGAGGAAGTTCAGATTGAAATCCAACCCTGACAGAACATACTTGTTCATGACGGTCATCATAATTGACGAACCGCAGTATGCCAGAACGGGAAGAGCGGGGTTGTTGGATATGGCAGTACTGGCGCGGGGCGAGGGAGTCGGCGGCGGCGCAGCCTCGAACTCCTTATTCCCTTGGTCCACCTTGTTCATGTCGACGGTGTAGTCGTCGGATTTCTTGTCTTCGGCCATGTTGGGTGAGTGGTCGCGGATAGGGGGTAATTGTCGGCTATTTGTTGAAAAGAGAAGGAACCGAAATGACAGGTGGTACCCAGAATATGTCCAGGGAAATCAGGAGCAAAAGGAAGTTGTTCGAGAAGATGACCGAACAGAAAAGGCCAAAGGAGATTTGACAACAGATTTGCCGGAAACAGGCACGTCGTTACCTAAGCAGGAGAGTTGGGGGTGCTGATTCATCAATTTTTTTTTTATTTATGTTGTATAGTGTTCAACATCCATGGACCTGTTTTGATGTCTACAATCTACGGAGTACATCAGTAGTCAATTGAAGTTGGTTCAGATATGAAAATGCTCAATTTGATCAATGGCACTTAACGGAATACGGAGTGTATATAACTATATATATATATAGAGTTGGTAATCATGCATTTGTGCTTGTTAATCTATATATAGAGTAATGGTAACATAGCGTCGATCATTATAATTTTCTACAAGACCAACGACCATGTATAAAATTGACCTACTAAACGAACAAAGAAGAAAGAAATACCTCCCCCGTTCCAACCGCAGACCATGAAAAATCAGATTAAAAATGCACGAAATCGTCCACGCGTAGACTTCTCCGTACCGAGCCCATATGCCAGTGGAGCTCCCGACCTGCCGACGTCAACCCTCCTAACCACACACTCCCCTGAAAATCCCTATCCACGCCTTTGCATTGAGATCTTGGACTCAAAAACCAAACCGACCAAACAATCTCAAATTCCCAAACCACGAACCATTCAAGCCACCCCCCCCCAAAATGCCCGAATCAGACGACGAAGCCCTCTTCGCCGCCCTCGAAAACGAAGATGACACCCTCTATCGCGACCAACGCATCCAACAACTAAACGCCGAGCTCGCAGCTACAAAAAACAACCACTCCACTCGCGCAACAAGCGGCACCACAGGCCTACTCCAAAACGAAGTCTACCCGACACTCTCGTCAGACCAGTCTGTGCTGGACTTCACGACGCGCACGAGCAGATGTCTGGTTCACTTTGCGCATCCGGATTTCGCACGGTGCGCGGTCATGGATATGAGGCTTGGCGAGCTGGCAAGTGCGCACCACGAGGTTTCGTTTGCGCGGGTGGATGTGCGAAACACGCCGTTCATTGCGCATAAACTGGGGATCAAGGTTTTGCCTTGTGTTATCGGGTTTAAGGATGGGGTTGGGATTGATCGGGTTGTTGGGTTTGAGGGGCTTGATGCCAGGGGATTTGATGGGGTTGAAGGATTTGATGTGAGGGTTTTAGAGAAGAGGTTGGTCTTTAAGGGGATCCTTTTGGCTGTGAAGATTGGGGGTGGGGATGAGGATGATGTGAGAGAGGAGGAGGAGGATAGTGATGAAGGTGCAGGTAGGAAAGGATTTGGGAGGAAGAAGGCGAGACGTGGGATTCGGGATGCTAATCCCAATGTGAGAAATCGTGGCGACGACGACGATGACGATTGGGATTAAAATTTTGGTTCTTGAAAATTATACCCGTGGTGAAAAGGTGTTGGGATGTTGATTCATGATTTCTGTATATTAACGGATTGATGACCTAGATTGATGTTCATCGTTGGATGTTTGGTAGCATACCCATGCCGTATATCCAAATATTGAGGCTTATACAAGCTCTAAACTAGCCACTGGGGCACCTTAAAAGCCTTGACTGGGAACATGCGTATGATTCGGGAGCCTGTCTGGCCAACTTAGAATGGAAGATTGAAGAATCAAAGTAAATGGGATTGTAGCCAGACACGAAAGAACAATGCAGACTGTCATCATAGAATTACAGGCCAAAAAAAAATCAAAGACCGTAAACACAGAGCCATCTCGACGGCAAAGGAAAACCAAAACAAAGGGGAAAGAAGCAGAAGCAGAGCACAAAGGCAGCCCAGAGTTACAACAAATGCCGTGAAACCGAGGCTAGAAGAAGAACAGGGGAGAAATCTATACATAGAAGCAGAAGTAGAAACAGAAGCATAACGGTGTCACACATCCAGAAGTTCCAAATTGACGCCGGGTGCCCGTGAAAAACTGAGACTCGAGAGAAAACAACACTGCCCGGACTCAAAAAGCAAAGCTTATTCTAAATAGCCACGTTCTTCATTTCACCGAGGACTTCCGACTCAATGGCGGTCGAGGACTCCACGGAGTCGGTTTTCTCGGGTTTCTCGATTTTATCGGCCTTGTCGGATTCCTTGGATTCAACGGGCTTAGGGAACCCTTCATTCTCCTTGTTGGAGATTTGTGGGGTTACAACCTCCATGAGATCTTCAGCCTGAGGCTCCTTGCCGCTTTCCTTGGCGTCTTCAGAAATTGCAGGTCCTGCAGTGACGACGGGGCTTGTTGTTTCCTCAGTTACGCGTGCAAGAGGACTGGACACACCGAATGGCGTCTTGGGACTCTGGGCACTCCCACCCTTGGAGAAACGGTGCGGCGAACGGCCTCTTTCTTCAGCGCGCGTGGGGCTACCGTAAGGGGACTCGCGACTGGTGGACCGGTTGCCGGTAGCATTCACGCCCAGGCTATTGGGCACCGGGCCCTTTCGGCGAGGAGCACGGCGGCCGAACTTCTGATCCGTCCTCCAGCGCAAAATTTCCATGTAAGGGGGGTCCACATTTTGGTTCTTGAATTGCTTCAGCTTCAGCTCATTTGTCTCCTCGTCAACGAGAACGTGGCCGCTGCACATATCGTCGGCTAGCGTTGCGAGGAACCCAGACCACGACCGGGCAACTACGTATTTGCAGTCGTAATCCCGACCGAAGATAATCACCTGACCCCATTTTCCAGCAGGGCCGGGTGCCAGATCAATGGCCAGGTTGTTACCACCCCAATCACGGGCGAGGGGAATCCAAGCGGGATGGGCGTAGGCTTTCTGAACTGCACCGGGAGGCTGGGAGTCCTGGCGGTCGAGCAGGTCTGATTGCCACACTGTAGACGAACGCTTCTGAGACGGACCGGCCGTGGAGGAGCTTGCTACAGAGCTGGGTGCCGGTGGGCTTTGCATCATAGTTGCGTTGCTGAGATATTCGTCGTTGACCGTTTTCCAGTTCCGCCATTCCTGAACAATCTCCTCGCAGTCGAGTAGCATGGCGCTAAAGATGACACCAGTGGGTAGGCCGCCACGTTCTTGGCCGTCATGAAGCATTAACGATTCCCGAACCTCTAGTGGCAAACTGCAGTCAAGTTCGTGCTCCAATTCGTTAATATCGTTCTGAGTACATCCTTCACCGAGCTGGTCAAGGAGCTCCTCATAGTTGCCTTCTAACCAGCGTTCGATCTTCCTCCAGGAGTGAGCGACCGGTGGCGGCGGTGGTGCTCCGTCGTGGAAACTTTGCATCTGAATCTCCGGTGCACCCTCGCCTTGGTCGTTCGATCGTCTCTTTTGAGATGCAACCGACCTCATCCCGGGTGAGTAGGGATGGGTTGGAGAGCCCAAGTCATCAGGGGATGTATTCCATTCAGATGCTTGTGCAGATCCTTTTAAACGCTCATCATCATAGGGGTTGGAGAGGTCCTGGCGAGATTCAATCGCGCTGGTTGCGACAGATGTGAGCGGCTCGTCGCGACTTTGGCTGAGAGGAACGTGTCCTCCGGTGCGGTAGGGGGAGTCGTGGGAGGCATGCCGGTCATTGGAGGTCATGGTATGCCAAAAGGAACGCCATGATGAACCCAACCTGCATTATGTCAGTGGACACGAACCTTGTCTTAGCATCAAGCCATCTGGCCATCCGAAGGTAGACTAACATATTCGCCATGGTGTCACAATAGAGAGGAGAAAAACGGGCGCAGGGGGGGCTAAAACCGATAATCAGGTCGCGAGATCATTGGAGACTGGAGAGACTTGTCCCGAAGCGGGGATGGTTAAGAGTAAGAGAATTTCAAAATCCAGATTAAGAACAAAGAAAGAAGATGTTGAAGATGTGAAGATGTGAAGATGTGAGAACGTGGTAGGGGCAACTTTGGCAGTCCAGAATCCAGAATTAGGTAAGGAAGGAGAAAAGGTGGAGGGAAATAAGAGACGGTTTCTCTTAATTTTTTTTGGAAACACTAGGTTTTTCAATAGGCTTGGATAAATATATCTATATGATCCTCTTTCACAATCTAAAAACCGACAGGTTCTTTGCTTCCATGGTTATTATATGACTCTATTTCATCCACCCCCTGGCTGCATCCAGTGAGGTCTCGACGGGTGGTATGTAGATCCCGATTTGATGTCGATAACCCCAAGTCTTCTGAATGCGAATCAGCACTGGGGCATCTTGCCAAGTGTAGTTTACTTTGCATATAGTCCACATATCTTTTTCCAGGGTACCTACACCTACACGTGGACAGCGTGCATCTAAATGCCATTGTCCTGAACTCTTCCGGTAAAATCAGTTCCAATTAAGCTTCCTCAGGAGACTAATCTGAAGACCCCAGCTCCCATCCAATAGTTATGTACTAGGGCCCTTGGGTAAAAGAAATATACAGAAATAGGAACACGGAATAGGAGATGGGGTGCCGAATTCGGGTTCCCTTTACTCCGTGCTGCGTACGCGTACGGAATTCTCCGTACTTCCCCTAAGAACCTCCGAAATTGATCAAAAAAAAATTAGCGCCAGCTGAGTGGATCTCAGGGAAACGACTGTGGCTTTCGAATAATAGGAGTCTTTAGGACTAGCAATAGGGGAAAGAGTCCACGTTGAATAAAAATATCGAAATTAATATATGTACGGAGTACAATAAAAAAAAGGGCACTTGGCATATTAAGCATGCGAACCAAACTATTCAGTGATTCTATGATGCAGGATATTGAAAAATCTATATATTAGAAGCCTGGAACAGACCCCCCCCCCCGGGGGGGGGAGATAGTATTAGGATCAGCACTGGGCTCTCATAGGCTCGACTCCACATTGGAATTAGGAAACCTTCCAATTTTGATTCGTTTCAACGGTGTGGCTAAGGGCTTCTGGGTCTTGGGTGTCTAGGCACATAGTAGGACCTTAACTACCAAACTTTGTTTTTCTTCAGCCCTTTATTTGCGATGACACTCTCCTATACCCGCGCGAAATACGAACGCAGAGGAAATTTTTATGGTGGTAGAGGACACGCTTAAATTTTTAGTCATTCCAAGTTAATCTAGAGGTTAACCTAGACAAGACCAAGGCTCACTTTGTTTCGATGCGATTCGATCCTTGAAAATACGCTAAGCCTGATATAAACTAGCTTGTTTTGAGACACTAGTGGAACTGCGTTTTCAGAACAGAGTCTGATTGACATTCTGCCTGCAGAAGAAGTAAGTCCATATAAAAGTTATAGATGATCTCTGGCATTTCTACCACCACAGAGTTGGAGTGTATTTGGAATTTTCTGTCGTAGCCATCGGCCATGACCTTGTGTGCATTCCTACATTCCTCCCAAGTCCATAACGCCAAAGATCTATCGACCCACTCATGTCTCAACAACCGCGCAAAAAGCTACTGATCGTGATCAGAATAGCTGATGACTGACTAGATCTTCCCTTTGAATTTCTTGTACAGCCACTTCCACTTGGTCATCAAAAATGTCACCGTCCGTCTTGGTGCCTACCATGTCTCCATTTCAGCCATCAAATCGTATAGTGTCACGCAGAGGTTTACGGCATTCGTTGCCGCTGGTTGAAAAAATGGTTCCAGATCTTGAGGGGACAGGATCCGTAGCGCCGCATCTTTTTGCAAAATCGCAGCGCTAGTTCTAAAGGAACTGGTGTTGGCATGGGGGCATTGCTATCAGGATAATCTGCAAGGAGGGTAAAGGCTGGAGAAACCCACAGCAACCAACCGAAAGGAAACCTACTTCGTGCCATGGTGTGATTCCTATAAGCAGGTGTCATTCTCTTGATAAAACCATCGCCGTGGACTACGTTTCCTTCACAAAAGCCCCTGGAACCAAGTAATTATATCTATCACCATCTAACCATTCCCTCCGTGTCAAAGTTTTACGACGGATTTCGGCCACTCGTTCCCATCATATACTATATCCACTCAGTAACCAGAACGTTCGAGTCCAGCATATAGATTTGCTAGCTCGGAAGCTGTCAAACTCATCTGCTGACTGTGCCTTGTGTTAAGATAATTTAACCTTTTTTTAATTGCTCTTTGAGGTGCCAAAAAGTTGCATAAGAGTAGGCGCTATGCACGGCGTTATCCATCTTTGTACAGGTGGCTACAGCATTACCAAACCCTACAATTAGGATTACTGATACGAAGAAAGGAAGGCATCGCCCATCCCGTCCCCTGAGCTATATGCATGATGGATTTGACAGACCCTCCCTTGTCTCATTACCAAAAGTGAAATTGGAGCCTCCTCTGTTTCTTCACGATCGTAAGCGCCATCCTTGTAGGCGAGATTTGCAAAGCTTGCGAACGCATTTCTATCTGGTACGCCTACCAAGCGCAAATTGTCGACCCTGTGACAAATGAATGGCAGCTTAAATGCGCTCACGGTATGCCCACTTGATAAGCGAAGTAGGCACGAAGGCACAATGCTGGGAGTTCAACAAGCTCACAAACCGAGGAGCCGGCGCGAAGAAGGACCTCTATCCTTTTCTTCCAGACAGCCCCCTCTTGCTGTCAACAAGATGGCGAACACTTTCTTCCGCGAAGAACGAACAAAACACCCCTGAAAAGGCCGACGTGGCTCGATTCTACCGGAATCATTAATGGCGCTCACTATTCAACCTTGCTAGAGAGTGCTGCTGCAACAGTGTGGTAAATGAAAGACTAGAGTATGCTAGGTGCGAGTATTTGTATCTTGCTTGAGGCGACAGCGATCCAACTTGTTGTATTTTCACGCAATATTGACTACGAGATGTACCGGATACCAGGGGTGGAGGCTGCATCTAAGAATGTCAAGTTGGGACTTGGGATCCGCAACTGCAGTCCGAGCCTGACGCGAAGGAGTTTGATCTCCCGAAACTTTTTGTCCGAATCCGGGCGAGGATCACCCAGCAAAAAGGATGGATGCCTGGGTGACTCAATCTATAAGGACGGATCGTTGTCGGATGAGAGGGCATGGCCAGGCAAAATCCGCTTGGCTCAGATGCGCTTGAGGCGGCCGAGAAGGCTGAAAATCATGTTGCCCGGGGAGTTTGTCAATTGTTATTGTCACTTCCGGCTTGTCTGGCTTGTCCAATGACGAAGAAATCATGGTTGACAAAGGATCCACAGATGGAAATCCAGGTCGTGGCGGTCCGATTAGCGCTGCGCGCTAGTTTAGATTGCATCTCCACATGGTTGCAAATCGCAACGTTTGAAATAGTTCTCCGTACACCATAAATTCGACACAAAAGGGTATCCTCAAATCCGACCATAGGTTGAGGTCTACTCAATTGGTTGCTGGTCATGCTCAGTTGTCTTGGGTCCTGGATGTCTGGATCCTGATGGCAGTGCCACAACTAGCCACGTGTGCAGGCCTTCCGATATCGTCTAATTTTGGGTTCACCTTGAATTGTAGATGAAAAGGTGTAATGATTGCGTAGAACAGATGAGATATCAGCCCCTAACGCTCCCTCCACGGCTCTTTCCACGGTATCTGCTACGAGGTCTCGCCCACAACCCCACCATTGGTCTTCGCCCCGATTATACAAGTGGTGCATCCCTATACATCTTGCCAAGACCTACTACATAGAACCTCTCCATTGCTGACGTGATAGCATCGCCTTCGGGTTCGAATCCAACTTGGTCGATGGTTATCTCACGCGAAGCTCTGAGATCCTGAGACCTAATGCCCCGTATCTCCTGGGATAGCACAGCCATAGGACATATATCCGTCATGTTGGGTCTGTATGGCCACATAGATGCGAATCCCTCAATTGGCACGTCTAACTCTGAAACATGGTCCCGATCTAGTCCTAGGCTCGTTATTGTCTGTTCAATGTGCTTGAGGTAGTGGCGGTTTGTAGATTTCTCGAAAGAAAAACATGGGAGGTTGAATAGAGACTCAAGTGGTTTTTTTCAAAATTGGCATGATGCAAGCGCGTGCAATCTGCGGCGTCATCATTGGATGGAGCCGCACCAACTGGGTTTATGTAGCTTCGGCTGCAATCTGGCAGTAAATCTAGCTCCAGCTAGAGTGGACTGTTACCATCCCGCAGTACAGACTCTTTGCACCACGCATAACTGAGCCATTCCAGTTGTCGGATCATCGAAAATTCTTTTGCCTTGAATGTTGCCAAGAGAGGTTAGACTTGATCTCGATCAGTGGTTCTATACCTTCATATGGATACCTGCCAAAAAAAAAACCACTACTTTGATTGTGAATAACAACCGAATCTGATATCAGAATGCTGAGAGCACTTCGTACAAATTACCGTAATGGGATAATGGTCGCTCAACCTCTTTTCCGCTTCCAGATAAACCTCACTCAATTCGGTATAGCGGGATAACTTTCCAGGTTCCATTGCTGTGACCCAAAGAAAATGGAATCTAATGTAACATCTATAACATTTGTACCCCAAACTGGGAATCATTTTCAAGATCCTCTCCTGTAAATGCCATCAAACTTGGTAGCACCCTGGTTACTACCAGATGTAGATGTGTGAAGTTCACTTGTCTCGAGTAAATTCGCCGAACAGATTCGCATGAAGGACCCCGGGGCCAAATGGGGACCAACTAAAATTAGTAATAAACGCCCCTCCCTGGCTGTACGTTAGCGTCAGCAAAGGTGGAGAATGATAGAGACACTAATTCAACAAATTCAGGTCTCTCGTGGCTCTTGTCTTCTGTTCCATCTTCTATATCGTCCTCGTTTTGAGCTTCACATCATGAATCTCAATGGGCTGTCCTGGCCTACGAAGCACCTTCACACGAGCACCAGGAACGGATCAACATGGGGATATGTCATCTATCGCACCACATTTACTCCCCATTCCAACGCCGCGTTCCTCCGAATTGTCGATCTTCTCAACTCCTATATGAAACATGGATTATGCTCAGAGTGCGTCTCCTCTGGAAACAACACCCCAACCAAGACAGAACTCACTTTTTATCACGAACTCTGGGCTCAGCACAGCTCAGTCATCATGAACCATCCAAGGTTTGACAGAGCTTCAATAGACTCAGTTCGCGTTCATTTTCGACGCTGGGTTGATACACAAGAGAATCAGGGTCTCTCTACTCAATATCGCATGTGTATGGTGATCGATGAAGAGTCTTTACAGACATTGCTCGATACTCCGCCACCTCAAGAGTGCTCGGATGAAAAGCTCATTGATCCGACGCGACATGTGAAAGTTGTACCACTACTTCCATATAGCGATGATGAGATTGATGAGCTTGATGGTTTTATGGGTGGATAGTGAGCTTTCTATAACCATTAAAGATGGCAATAAAAGTGATACAGGGCGAATTTATAATCCATCAACTGCCACATCTATGGGACATGTCTGTCATCCCTTCCAACCATCTGTTGACTTTATTTGCATCGATAGTTGGATCACGCTATAACTACTTCCAAGCTAATGATCAACATTTATTGGTTCGTGTTTTCTTCTTACTTTGTATGCTCAAGTCCTGGCCATGACTTCACGTGCCATGGACACTGTCCCAAGTCTCATGTCGTTTACCGGCTATTAAGGGCGAGAATCCTCTGATACTTTTCCTCCAAGAAACCCAGCCTCCTGGATTCTTCTGTTTTTTTCTTTCTCAACATCTGTCACTGTTACTTGACAGGCTTCATCATTTCCTCTCATACATCATGTCCAACTTTACTAACGGCCTCTCCTGTTCTCATCACCACCATGCTTGTTGCGTAGTGAGTCTTTGAAGAAGAGAAAAGATGGGCAAGCTCAGAATTACCCAAAGAAAAATGTCATCTGAATCTGACGAGACAACTTTCATTTAAAGCTAGTCTAGAGTACTTAACAACTGCCCCAGATTCCCCTGGTAGGAAGCTATGAACATTGAAGCAACTAGCTAGAAGAACCACATGTATAAATGATGAATGATGCTTCTTTAACTCGATTTTCAGATGCAGCTTTCTGTTCTTCTTTCCAAATACAACCTAAGTCAGGTGCACGGAAACAAGCTCATCAAGTCCTGAGTAGATTTTTAATCAGTGATAGGTTTACATTAGTCAACATCTGACAAGGCCTGTTGATGACACTTTCTGGATGTCTACCGGAATCTTTTACGGGTAGAGACCTTGAACATCTTTCCTACATACCTCTCTCTCGGGGCCCGAAAATCAACGTTATGCCTGTGATGCACCTTTTGTATTGACAAGCCGTATAAAAGATGCTACTTTGTAAAATTTGTACTGGCAGGGGCGCGCCAACACTTGGCACAATGTAGTGGTGTTGGTGCGCTTAGCACCTCTATGTGCAAAGAGCTAGAGTTGGAGATTGTCCTATGACGCACTTATGTCCTACCGGGCTGAGTTACCTAAACTTCAAATTTGTTCACAAATTGGAGTCAGATCTACTAGGCTACTATGTACAACTGCTACTTGTACTCCATGAACGAAAACAAAATCTGACCAGTGGTGATTTATCGGATTAAGCGACGGTCACACAAGCACACCGGTGGGGACTAGTCAGATAATTCGACAAGTTCGATCCTCACAAAATGAGTAAAAAGAATTCACTAAGTTATGAAGTGCCAGATCAGTCTTGAAAGGCGGACCGAGGCTGACCGCTACTTCGACCAAACAAAGAATGAGATAGAAGAGACAAAAACAGCGAAAGGCCTAAAACAAGGACAAACCATGCAGGAAAACACAATCACAATAACAGCGAAATCATGCATTTGTTAGCATCCCTCCATGCCCCAAGCCAAAACCAGGCCGCGCCACCACATTTGGGAAACCACGACGCCAAACGATGGAGAAAAGGTATAAAATTACCACCTCATCAATTTACCAAGCAGCCAGTGCCGTGCATTATCATCATGGTGAACATTGCCGCAAGAGACACATGGAAAGAAACGATGAGCACCCTGTCGCGGGAAAGGAAGACTAGAATAAACCAACCGAGGGACCCGAGACCAGTCGAGGATGCCCGTATGAACATGATGCAAGAAGAAACAGAGTTTAATCAACATGAAGTCAAGAAAAAAGAAAGACAAAAGTGAGAGAAAAAAAAACACAAGAAACAGGCCATTTATTCAACAAAAAGAGAAGATAGTCAAGACCGTAGGAAAAAAATCACAATCTGACAAGGCGGACATGAAGCCACGCAGAGCTACGCGAAGCTCTGAGTAACTGGAGGTCCTGAGGTATCGAGCTTCAGGACTCGACGGATGTCATTCTCAATTTGCCTGGTGTCTACCACTCGAGAAGGAGATGGTGAGTTGAGCGGCATTTGGAATGAAGCTGATGCATGGCTTGGTTGGGGAGAAGCGTAGTCAGACCGCTGAAGCTGGGAGGTTGCCACGTATGGATTGCCATATGGCGCCGGAGAGCCTCCGTTCGAGGTGCTTTTCGAGATAGGGCCACGGTACGGGGGCATCGAAGGAGGCGGCACGAGGTCAACCTCACGGCGTAGAGGTGAGTGAGAGTGGCCGGGGTATTGGTACTGGGAACGGCCGCTGTTCTGAGGAATCTGCTGCTGTTGCAGCTGATGGGGAGAGAACGAACCATGAGACATGGTCAACTGAGGGCCAGACGAGGTTCGCATGGGGGTGGCATAGGGAGGCACATTGGAAGGACGGGGCCCGAAGGATCCAGTGTAATCGGGAGAAGCATAAGCCGAGGAAGGCGGCTTCTGTGGGGGTGGATTGAGTAACAGGTGCTTCAACTCCTCGGTTTTGATTCGTCGCTCCTCCTCAGACATGTCAGAGGACTGAGGGGTAGCCGAGGGCCGCAGCGCATTCATGCGATCCTGGTAAGAAGGAGCGAAAGAAGGACCAATTTGTGAGTTGCGAGAGTATTCGGAGTTTCCCATTTCAAATGAAAATACGCCATCACGATTGAGGCGAACGGCCCTGGGTTCGGTCTGGGGAGACAGAAGAACCTTGTTCACCTCAGGGCTGCTCGTGGACTTCTGGTCCCTGGCTTGCACAGCAGCCTTGAAAAGGAAGTCGAGAGGCGAAGGCTTGTGCTCCTCACCCTTAAATAGGTTGTTGCGATTGCGAGGTTTGGACGGAGTCTCCTCTGGTTCAGGCTCCACCTCCGCATCATCACTATCGGTCTCGATGGGTGGGATCAAATTGGCATCAAGACCCGACTTAGAGAAGAAGCTAGGCATAGGTAGAGCAGATGGTGCAGGCGATGCATGGAACGTCGGTCCTGCATAGGCTTCGCTCGGCTTTGTCTGAGGAGATGTGACAGCAGGGTGGGTTGGTGTATGTCGAAGACTACTATTACAGCCGTTGCTGTGGTTTCCAGAGTGCGGGGCAGGTGAAGCCTTGTTGTCTCGGGGCTTCTTGACTGAGCGCATAGGCTTCTTCTTAGAAGAGTTGAAGTTTGAGGAATCAATCTGGGTGACACCGGGGCTCATGTTATGCGGCGGGGATGATGGAGGAGTAGAGAGGAGCGCCGGTTTCTGGGCGTGAGGGGTCGTGTTCTTCTTCTGGGGACGACGGCTGTTGCGCGATCCCTTAGGGGTTGGAGGATGAGGAGATTGGGCCGACATGTCGGCGGTTGGCTTGAAAAATAGGCAGCCTATGGAGAGAGGTAAAGAGAAAAGGCAACGCTATGACGAAGCAGTAATAGGCAAAAGACGCGGAGATTGCAGCAAAATCAGATCGCTGCTCAGCAGGTGCCGACAATATTAAGTATGGCAACGCTGAGGAAGCAGAGAAAGTGATGGGGAATGAAAGCGTCGCAAGTTGAGTCAAGCTCAAAGGCAAAGATAGACAGTCTATTAGAAGATCTTGTCTATGAAACGGAGTGTGTAACAAGAGTCAAAAGCGAAAATCAACTGGAGGCATCTCTAAAGAGTAAAAAAAAACGTGAAGGAAAAGAAGATTGAATCATTGTTGTTTGCTGAAGGCAAAGGCCATCCAATGCAGACAAACGAAGAGGGGACCGCGATCTCATCTCGATGACTAAGGACGCCACCTGCTTCACGATATCAAGAACAAACCAAGTCAAACAGAACTATCAACTGCTGGACAGGGTCACATTATAGCATTGCGCATTGAGTACCTTTGGAGATATTTCTTGTTTCAACTTCCCCAAAAAAGGTGCTTCATCCGTTCTATTTTGACTCTCTACACTACAACCACCGCCCTCCATCACCGCCCCAACCTTGACATCGGAGCCTCACTTACGTCAGTCACAGTTCTGATCCCCCCACCTCAGCTAGCTTCTGTTGTCTTGCGCCAAGCATTTCAAACTGACACCCGCCAAACTCCGACGAGAACCTCATTATGGCAGATGTGGAGATGAAGGAAGCCGCTACTGGCTCCTCTAAGGGCAAGGCCGTCGCCAAGGGCTCCGACAATGCCGACAAGAAGAAGTTCGAGGTCAAGAAGGTACACAAAGACCTACTGTTCGCAGCGCCTCATGATACTGACTGGCTATCGTTCAGTGGAACGCTGTTGCCTTGTGGGCTTGGGATATCGTCGTCGACAACTGTGCCATTTGCCGAAACCACATCATGGACTTGTGTATGTAGAAACTACCCTCCAAAACTTTCTTTATCTTACAAGCTGAATGAGCGACAAAACAGGCATCGAATGCCAGGCCAACCAAGGATCATCAACAACGGAAGAGTGCACTGTTGCCTGGGGTATCTGCAACGTGAGAAAACCCGCATCCATCCCGTCCGATTGCATGTTCGCAGGCTAACTGCTCCTTTCTCATAGCACGCATTCCACTTCCACTGTATATCCAGATGGCTGAAGACCCGCCAGGTCTGTCCACTAGACAACCGAGACTGGGAGTTCCAAAAGTACGGCCGGTAAAGAGGAGGCACCGGGTTTCAAAAACACTACACGATACAAATTCACGATTTCTTGCTGATGCCGCATGCTCAATGGCTACAATTTTCTTCTTCTCTTAGGCGGTTTCGAATCTTAACGACGGCCTAGGGCTTGGGCGTTCGGACAGGTCATATCTCTAGCCAGCTCCATAATTTCCCCTTCTCGTATTTCGTAGCAGACAAGAAAGTGCTGCACAAACGTTTCCAATGATAATTACGCTTGACAATTTCACAACAATGGTCTATTGCACCTTCACCCCATCCACAGTTATACCCGGAGTTGCTCTCGCACTTGGTGAGCCCAGCCACTTCTCTGGGTTGCGGTTGTATACTGGCCAGGGTGGAACAACGACGAGAGCTGTAAACAGTGTGCCGGCCAAACCAGTCCATAATGTAAGGTGGATGTCTTTGTAGATGTATCCGACAACAAAACTGGCGACCTAGAGCAGATAGTAGTTGTTAGCCCTGGCAGTACAAGACTCAATGTTCGTGCAACATACTCCCGAGAAAACTAGCAAAAGAGTTGATAATAGCTCTGCTAGACGTTGGCCGTGGAAGTCCTGTTATCGAGATCTTGTTAGCTTAGATCGCGGAGCAATGACATTGCATGAAGACGGTGTGGGGGCGTACAATTTGGCCTTCAATGGCATCCTGAATAGGGGCGAGTAGCTCATCCATGGTTGAAGCAAGTTGATGAGATTCGAGGTCAGCAGGATGGGTTCGAAGATCCCTTGATCGATGCTGGGCGGCTTATCGCAATGGTGTCATTTGACTTCTGCCACGCCGGACCGCCTTTCTCTCTACACGGTCAACGACATGCGAAGTACCAAGCACTGCCTGCAACATAATGTTGATTCCAAATGGGCTTGTTCCTTGAGAAATCGACCCGATATTGAATTTTAACTGTTATTTGTCTGATCAAGATTTCATTCGATGTCATCTGCCATCTATCTCTAGAACCAAAAACAGACGGTCTACCCGAGTTGGAGCACTGCTGATGGGAAACCGGCCTCGAGAATCTCGACCTACGATCGTGTACCAGTGTGCTAGACCCTGCAAATCCAAACGTAACCGAGAAACCACATGTCATGTCGGAAGGCTCACATGGATCCTTCAATGCGAGATTCAAGGAGCGGTGAGACTGAGATCTTGCGACTCATGTGGCGGTTAGGGAAGACATCTTCCCACATCTAACCAGACACAAGTTCGACACCAGTCCCAAAGCCCCAATTCTGCGTGCTTGTTTGTAAAGCACGGCGAAACGCCGACTCGCAGGCAGCGGTCATATTGTGACGACAGAAAAAGCGTCAACTTTTAGTTATAGGTGATAGTTGCGCCATCCTGAGCAGGCTCCAGTAGCTTCCATTGACACGAGATATTATTGGAAGCGAACTGTGCGATAATGCGGTCAGCAATCTCGGTGAAGCGATCCGTGGCCAGTGCCAGGATTGTAGGCCCTGCACCGGAGAGACAGATCCCCAGCAGACCGGGTTGGGTGGCAGGGGTCATGAATTGGAGAATCTCAGCCAATCCTGGGATCAGCGTCTTGCGATACGGCTGGTGTACCTTATCCTGCATGGCGAGGAAGATCATATCAGGATCCGGTGGGGAACTTCCCAAGGCCGCGGGCAGGAGTGCAGCGCGCTGGAGATTGAAGACCTAGCCGAAGATTAGTTTGCAATCGGACAGTTTTATCAATCCTGAACATCTACATACCACGTCCGCTCTCGAGTAGGTCTCCGGGAGCACATTACGGGCATTGGCAGTAGGCACCACAAAGTCAGGGATAATGGCAATGGCCTTGATCTCTGGGGCCCAATTAAACTTCCTGTAATGACCGATGGCCATGGGTGGTGCGGGGGGTCTGATGCCGGTGTCCACACCACCTGCCGGAGCAGGCAGGACTTCACTCAGGGGAATTTCTTTGCGTGCCACATCCTCGGGCTTAAGCTCATTCAGATAGGTACCCACGAACCCACCAAAGAGAGAAGCAGCCACGTTATCCGGGTGCCGCTCTGTTTGTATGCGTTAGTAAGATGTACGACATACGATCCATTCCTCCCGGAGACTCAGATGAAGGGCACAAAGAACACTCCAACCTACCAATCATCAAACAATAGTCGAGCAACCGTTCCTTGCTCAAGCCCAGCTTACCCACCTCATTGCCCAGCATAACGCCGGCGACCACAGCAGTACCCGAAGAGCCCAGACCCCGGCCTAACGGGATGGGATTGACGATATGCACCTTGGTTTCGACGGGAAAGGCCCGCTGGTCATGACATCTGAGGACATACAAGGCTACACGGGTGATCAAATTGACTTCTGGGTCGAGACTGATCTGCTCAACACTCTTGCTTTGATCCTCATAGGTGATGGCGCAGTTGAAGGGGAGCTGGGATGAAGGTTTGGCCTCGACGGTGACGTGAAGATCCAGGTGGAGGGACAATGCCAGACCGATCACATCGAAACCGGGGCCAATGTTGGCAGAGGAACAAGGGATCTTGATCACGAAAGAAGTCATGATAGAGGTGACTATATGTTCGTGTGTTACAAGGGTCCAAACACACAAAGTGTACAAGATGTCTGATAGTCCGGTATGTGACTCTGAAACTCTTGGCAAACCAAAAAAATTTGGCCGACGTCGGAATAAGTGGAGACTTTCTTCTTTGATCGACTCATTGGGTATTTTTTGATTTGATTTGTGCTGGCATGGTTGTCAGATCCGATTGTCTACATTTAATTTTTTTCGGTGTGTTACTTGCTATACTCCGTATGTTGTAGTCTTTATATTATTCACCATGGATACCATATAAAAGCCGATGCATCAGAAAAAAAAATGGCATTTTTCACCGAGATAAGCTGCTCGAGACTAATATTATCTTGTCAGCCTAAGCTAAAAATATCAAAACTGCTAAGGGCGACAAAGATCCAAAGGAAATATGCATGCATTGTAATATACAACATATGATCGAGGGAATGTAAGAAGTTAAAGCCGTAAAGACGACATTTAGCACCAAAATGCCTCAAAAGCAAAACTTTTGCACCAGGCAAATAACTCCCGTATTCTGGTCAACAACAGGCTTATTTTATAGTCCTCTTACTCGTATAGAGCCTTTCAGTCCTTTCTCTGCTGAAACGGGGGACCCGCTTACAAAATTTTTTTTTTTTCACTTAGCTTGGTCTCCCTTTTCCTCGGGCATATTACCTCTTATCCCCCCCCACTATTTTTTTTTCCCTTATTTTCTCCTATAACTGCAGCCCCCTGAGGTGCTTTATTTTGAATTTCCAAATCCCAAGTCTTTTCGATACCGGTGATTCTGTGGGCGGCTTCCGGAACCACCTCGGCACCATCGACTCCATTTGGTCTTTGCCACTTTCTTTAATACCTTTTTCCCTTCCCGCTTTTTCCACTCTTGACTTTCAACTTTTTGCAATTCAAACTAGAAATTTTCATTTCTGGTGCTCAAGAACTCGAACGTTGTCATTGAGCTTGCCTGCGAACCTTTCGCGCGTCTCGTCTTACAGCAACCCTGGAGCCACCAAGCTCCTCATCGTCCCACTTCTTCAAGTTGGCGGGACTTCGCTACGCCGAAGCATCTCTTCTTCACCCTCTTGCAGGCCCCAAGTTCCGGGTCTTTGGCGGGGGCGACACCAGACCTCCCTAACTGGGTTTCAGGAAAGTCTTTATTGCGGCTGTCAGACGTTAGTCGGTAACGCCAGACCCTCGTGAAGGGTCTGGCTTATGGATGGAGGGCCGTCACCCTTGAACGAACCTCTTACCGGCTTGCGTCTGCTTCGGCCGTCGTGCTATCAAAGAGCAAATACAACTTAACTAAACTTCCAACAAAAGTCTGCCAATCTGGCGCCCTAATCGCTTTCATCGAATTTCCACATACGGAGAGCTCACCATGTCTGACTCTCCGAGATCCGAGAGGTCCATGTACCTGACGAGGTACAGTACTCCAGTACCCGAACTGGATGATCACCGCCTCCAGATGCAGACGCCTCCGCGCATCGAGGCCCCGGTCGAGCGTTCTTACAGCCCGCGCGATACTACTCAAGGTCCTGAAATAATCGACCGTCCAGACTTGCTCAGTGCGCAAGATGCCCGAAGAGACGGTCCGATTCCCCGAGACTTTGAAAACACGGTGGAAGATGATCGGTCGCCGAATGAGTTGAATGGACTCGGTCGACGATTCTCAGTTGACCATAAAGGCACTTACCAGACCCCTCGTCGCATCAGCATTGTCAACCCAGATCTCGTCAACGCCTCCTGCGCCTCGTCCGTATCTGCTCGATCATCCTCTCCTCCCAATTCAGTTGAGGCTTTTGCCGACCCGCGTCGCCGTGAGCGCGCCAATACCCTGGACAGCCATGCGCCTCCGGACCTAGAAGCTATCCTGCAACGCACTGTTTCGGGTGGCACCCACAACCGGCGCCCAACTTTCAGCAATGCCAGTGCCATTCGCCCTCAATTGGGTGATGTGCCATTTGACACAGCAGAGGAGGCCTGCTTCGATGAACCAGGCCGTATTCCCGTCATCGACTACGAGGAACTTGAGGAGTTTGTGGCCCTAAATCCAAGCACCAAAATTGACGATGGCGACCGCCGCAAGCACAGCATGAGCTCACAGAGCAAGAGGCCCCGCATATTTTACGACCTTCGTCCTGGCGCCGAAAGCCCTGATATGGGTGCAATTAAAAAGACCGGCTCGTCTGATTTACTGAGTGAAGATGAAAAGAGGGACGCCGAGGTTACGAACGAAAAGGAGTGGGTTAAACCACCCCAGAATAAAAATCAGCGCTCTCGCTTTGGGTTCTTTTCGTCCGAATCTCAAAGCACAGTGCATGCTGCCGATCTGGGAGATCTGGTGCTCCCTGGTGAAACCTTCCGAGATCTTTTTGAGCTTGGACCTGAGGGAGGTGTGTGGTGGTTGGATGTGGTCAACCCTACCGACGAGGAATTGGGAGCCATCTCCCGGGCTTTCTCTATTCATCCGCTGACAACGGAGGATATTCAAACCCAGGAAGCCCGTGAGAAGGTTGAACTGTTCAAACAGTACTACTTTGTCTGTTTCCGGACTTTCTACCAAAAGGACAAAACAAGTGAGGAATTCCTTGAACCTGTCAATTTCTACATGGTTGTCTTCCGAGACGGTGTCCTCACTTTCTCTTTCGAGGAGAACCCCCACGCATCCAATGTTCGGAGACGTATTGGAAAGCTGCGGGACTATGTGTCTCTCAGCAGTGACTGGATCTGTTACGCGATGATTGACGACATCGTGGATAGCTTCGGACCCGTGATTCGGGATGTGGAATTGGAGTCTGAGGCGATTGAAGACCATGTGTTCATCGCCCGAGTTGACGATTTTGAATCATTCCTCCCTCGCATTGGAGGTTTGCGCAAGAAGGTCATGAGCTTGATGCGCCTACTAGGCGGCAAGGCCGATGTCATTCGTGGATTCTCCAAGCGCTGTAACGAGCAGTACTCAGTTACTCCCCGTGGTGATATTGGTCTCTACCTGGGTGACATCCAGGATCATGTTGTGACTATGATGTCCAATTTGGCGCATTTCGAAAAGATGCTCAGTCGATCTCATACCAATTACTTGGCTCAGCTAAATGTCACCAACTTGGTGTTGGGAAACCACGTCAACAAGGTTCTTAGCAAGGTCACTCTGATTGCTACTATTCTGGTTCCCATGAATCTGATCTGTGGTCTGTTCGGTATGAACGTAGAAGTTCCCGGCGGGCACACACAAGGATTGGCATGGTGGTTCGGCATTCTCGGAGTGATGGCAGGCATTGTTGTAGTCAGTTTTGGCCTAGCCCGCTGGCAGAAGCTGGTTTGATTTTTTTTTGGACTTGCTATCTTGCATTGACTTTTTCTCTATTATTTTGCATGTTGCTTGGCTTATGATAATTTCGTTTTCTTTTTTTATATGTTGGTCTCAAATCACAACGTCTATTCGATGGAACATGACTCTCAAAAATTTTTATCAAACGACTTGACTATGCTCTCATTGAAATTTATGTGAACCACTTCAGCCTCATACCGGTATCCTAGAAAGCTTCCCTGTTCTTAGTCTTTGGCTGTGGTTTCCGATGCCTCACAGCTAACTCATAACGTATCTCATAAGCGAGCCGGCCACCCTAACCAAACCTACTAATTTCAAATACATACAACTCAACCAAAACTCCATTAAATTAAAAACACTAAAATGATCTATACTCTGGACATAATTTTCTTTTATGACCCTGATTTTTATATAACTAGCATATTGGTAATGCTCTCGTTCGGGGCTATAAAGGTAGCGAAGGCCTTCTCTACTAGCGGGGGGGAGGCGCTTTAACCGCTTTAACCGGCTCGGTAATCAATTAAGAAGCTTTAAGAACTAAGAGGTCTTCTTTAGTAGGTATCTACCTCTAGGATCTAGTACACTTTACTTCTACTTCTCGTTAGCGGCGCGTAAATCCTTATTTTCTTTAGCGAGTAAGATAGCACCTCATATTATAAGACGGAAGCCTTTTACAAGCTAGTTTAATATAATCTGTGTCACGGTGCGAACCGTGATGCTTAGTAAGAGGAAGATCACGGCACGTGATCTCCGACCTGTTTATCTTGAACTTCAGTTCTAGATCCTGTTGTAGCTCTTCGAGCTACGTCTTGTATATTAGCCTGCCCCTGCCTGTACCTGCCTGTCAATGGGAATCTGATCTGTTACAACCTGTTCCTACCAGTCATCTCCTATCATACCGTCCTGCCAGCCCGCACCCTGACAGGTATACTTCGAGGAAGTTAATTTTATTAATCCTATTCTATATCTTAGTTTTAACTATCTAACTATACGTATATTTTAATACCGTAAAAAACTAAAATCTAAAGGTTATAAAAGATAATATAAAGAACTAAATTAAACCACTCCCTAATGATTTTAGGATCTTTGTATTTCGCACGCTTGTAGTTGTATCGTTTCGAGAATCCGGAGGATAGGAGAGGATTGTCAGGGTGCGGGCTGGCAGGACGGTATGATAGGAGATGACTGGTAGGAACAGGTTGTAACAGATCAGATTCCCATTGACAGGCAGGTACAGGCAGGGGCAGGCTAATATACAAGACGTAGCTCGAAGAGCTACAACAGGATCTAGAACTGAAGTTCAAGATAAACAGGTCGGAGATCACGTGCCGTGATCTTCCTCTAACTAAGCATCACGGTTCGCACCGTGACAAGGATACCGTTTCACGAAGTTATATACCTATTTCTCGCCGACCGAAAGAACTAGGGAAGTCTAGTTCCACGCTTTTAAAGAAGAAGATCTACCATTTCTTATACTATAGAGGTCCGGGGGGCTAATCCACAAGAATCCATAGAGAGGATCCATTTCTAAAGAGATTCCTCTTTAGTATCGGTCAATTTATAAGAGTTAGCGCGAGAAATCGCGCGGTGTTGTATACCATTCAGGCGGGTAGAAAGGGTGGATCTTAGGACGTTAAAACGGCGCGCCACTTCATGAATTAAAGAGATTTCTTGATTCTTAAAAGCCTGGATAGCTAGTAAGATCCTACCCTCCTGCTCTATTGAATTTCGAGAGGATTGAGTACGAATTGGTGGCATGGTGGGTGGTTGAACTAACTAAGATCTAATTCATGGACGCGTTTTGGTTGGGGTGGCCAGCTCGCTTACCGAATGCGTTAGCTGGCAGGGTGTTTTAAATAAGGCAGCAAGGCAGCAAACACGATAAGACTGGCATTTTCCACGATAGGCAGCCAGCCTTATCCGGACAACCGACTACATGCAGTCGCTGGTTTGACCTCCAGGAAGAGGTTTACAGCTGGTGTTTACCACTGCTTGCCCGTCATATCTTGACTTGCCAACTCAGATTCTGCCTCTTAGCTGCGTAGCGACACCGTCCAATCCGCCTTTCCATGCGACGCCAATACAACGCGCTGCAGTGCTATCTTACTGCAACGATTAGCGCGATCTTCCTTCTTTTCGCACTCGCTTACGACTCAGCCGCCTATGCTGATGCCTACAAGGGTCCGGATACAGAAAACATTTTGAACATCCGAGGGGCAGTTATCAAGGACGGGACAGGACTCACACTTGCGCTGGACTCATTCAGTGGGCTAGAATTTCGCGACAGTGTTGACGGAGATGACGAGTCAAACGGGCTGGATCTCGTGCCTAGATATCCTAATTCCGCGAAAGCATTGGGCAACAATCAGTTTGCGGAGCCGAGCGCGCTCGAAATCGGCGGTGTCCACTGGTTCTACCTGCCCAAAACAGTGGTGAACGGTAAACACGGCACCGCAGGCAGCGGTCTTCCTGCATACGTAAATGCTGCGGGGGAAGATGACGATGACCTAAACAATGAGCTACGGAAACGAGACAGGGATTTGTCGAAGCGAGCAACGACAACAGTCTACTTGTCGCTCACGACCTGCCAGAAACCATACACCAACAAAACCAACTCACCAGGCGGATTCCCGCAGCTGCAACTGTATGTGTCGAATTCAGAGAAACTGCAGCAGCCAGGACCGGGAAAAGATGACTCGCTGCAGGATATACACACTGCCATTGGCGGCTATGTGGGAATCACCGTAGACACGGACAGCGACGTCTACATCGGCGTCGCAGCGCCTAATTCAACCGAATACACAGGAAGTTATACGTACCAGATCGCAGCATCCATCGATGCCCTTTTCCACAATATTGTGGACGATACACCAAATCTGTTCTTCATCGACGCGGACGTGTCGGCCGCGCTGCTGGTGACGAACAACCTGACCCAGTCCGCGAAAAATTCCACAAACTACAAGCAGTGGATGGACCTCGTTCCTCCGTATACCATGTTTGCTCACAACATCAATGATACAGTACTACAGGGCTTGGAGAAATCGTTCTGCGCCCTAGATGCGCTTTCGCAGGTGGGCCGAATAAGTAGCTCAACCGAGGTTGGCATGACGAATCGTGGACTTGGAAATAAGCCCAAAGAACAATTTTACATTACTGGACTGAACCAGAGTTCATCGTACAGCGGTCTTCTGGCAATGGTGGGCAATTCAACTGCGTCCGGGAATGGCATCATCGGCGGCGGTGGCACGGTATGGCAGCCAATGAATTTCACGACTAAAACAGGTGAGCAAACTGAGACATCCCCTACAACCCCAACACCCCCAAATTCCATCTAACCTTTTTCCAGACAACAACTGCGCCGTGCTATTCAATCTGAGTTTCTGCTCGGAAGTCGCATATGCAGTCCCCTCAAACCCTAAACTAAACGTGGACAAGCTCCGCACAATCTATGACGACTACGCCGCGGCCTTCTACCAAAATTTCACCTATTCCCTCCAACAAGTTCAATGCAAAACAAACGAAGAATCAATGTTCTCCCTCGCCGTCGACTGCGACGACTGCGCAAAAGCCTACAAACAATGGCTCTGCGGCGTCACAATCCCCCGCTGTGCCGACTTCAGTAACAACGCCGGCTACCTGGCCGTCCGTAACGCCGGCCAGTCTTTTATCAATGGCTCTTCCCTGCCGAATGATAGTCCGTACCGTCAATCGGTGGCGTCGAATACATCCCGTAATTCTATCATCGATGAGCAGATCATGCCGGGTCCCTACAAGGAGATCCTGCCCTGTCAGGATATCTGTCATACCCTAGTTAAGGATTGTCCGTCGGCACTTGGCTTCGGGTGTCCTCAAGGTGCCTGGATGAATTCCTCCTATGGCTATCGGAATTCAGATGGTATTATCACTTGCTCTTATCTTGGGGCTGTGTATTATTTGAGCCTTGGGATGAGGCTGGGTCCTTGGGGCTGGGTGTTTAGTTTGGTGGTTATGGGGGTTCTGTATCTGCTGTAGATAACTATGAATGTGTACATGTGTTTGACCTCGGGATGTCCTTGAGTGCATCATCTTTAGGGGTCTGAGACATGACAAGGCAGGTCGGCCACCATGCTTTTGGTCAATCTTTGTCCGAAATGCCATTTACTCCATCGCGGCTGAGGATCACCCATTCCCCTCGAAGGTGTACTATACTTCTTTCTATTTTCAGCTGCTCCTAATGTTAGTGCTTACCTGTTGATTCCGGGACTTGTACTGGTTTCCACGCTGGAAACTTCAAGGAGTCAGCAGGTGGGTTTCATGAAGGAGGAAATGGCGGAGAAGAAATTTGAAACATTTGGTGTTCACAGAAGTTTCGGAGATAGATCGAAAGCGGATTCTGTGGAATACTGGCGATTTCCTGGAGAGTCAGCCCTCGTTGTCTCGTTGGAAATAAGCTAAGCGTGTGAGGCTGAAGGTAAGATTCCCCTTCAACGTGCTTTTTACCTTTCTACGACAAGATAAACAGGGATACATATTGAACAAATCACCATTCCAACTCTTTCCTCTTCGCCAATTTCTCTTCTTTCTTCTCACTCTTTTCGTCTTTCGCCCCTGTCCCGTCTTCAATTCCCCAATCCCCCCATCTTTCCCTCCAAATTCCAATCTCTTGCTTCCATAAATCTCTTACGCAAGGATCACATGAACTCCCACAACAATCGCCCAGTCCTGGTGGAGGTGGTGGGTCATTGTATGCTCGCTCTCCTGCGCGGAGGAGTTGTTTGGTGCGGGTTTTTGTAAGACGGGTCTTGTAGAGCATTTTGTAGAGGGGTGTCTCTTCAGCGGTGTAATATGGCTCTGGGGTTGATTGTGTGGTCGAGTCTGAGTCTGATGAGGCTGGAGTTTCGATTGATATTTTAGTTGGACTTTTGGTTGTCTCTTTCCCTTTTTCTGTCTCGTGGCTTGAGGAGATTGTGGCATTTGGCTCTGGAGACGTGCCCAAGAAAGAAAATGGGGAGAGGAGAGTGGAGAGTAGATTTGCTGGTGAGTAGATTGAAGATTTGGATTTGAAGTTGTCTTTCTCTTCTTCTGCTAATGTATCTGTTGGCGCAATGATATCTTTGGCCTTGGAGAGATCGTCAGATGCAGTAGCGGATGTTGATGCTGATGAAGCAGTCTGACTTTCCGATGTCTCGATTCTCATTTTGAGAGACCAGAGATAGGATCTGATGTTCGTCGATTGAACCACATTAAGACCTATATGGTTTCAAATTGAACCTGTTGTCCCGTTAGTGACGTTTGGGAAGTTGATAGCAGACTCACAAATTCTAGGCCAATTCTAAGCTTTCAAAAATCTTGATTAACAAAGATGTATACAATGTTTGGCTTGCAATAAAAGAAAGAAGAACAAGGCCGAAGTACCGAGACCGGGTAAGAGCTGTTTTCGTGCGGTTCCTGTTCGTTCCGATGTCCCCTTTTTATCGTAGGACTTGGTCTATTTTGCTTGAACTGGCGTTCTGGCGTTCTGGCGTTCTTCCCAATCCCCCTTGGCAGATTTTGGCAAAAAAAGAAATAACAGTACGTCCACTGTCAGCATCGATGATAATTTCTGGGGATAAATCACATGCAAAAATTAAAAAACGCCGTTGGAGTCTGTCAACTCTGGTATCGTGCAGCTAAGAAAAAAAAAGTCATAAACTACCGTACAATCACTTTCGCTTCGGCGTGGTTGTCCAGGCATCTCCTAGTCCAGACCTCCTCTCTCCAGACCTCGGCGTTCCCCCAACCTGCTGCAACAGCTTCTGCGCTGCAGGCGTAAGCATCTTTCCCTGAGAATACCCTCCACCAGAGACAGAGCTCCTACTAGAGCCAGCTCCAGGCGTAGAACGAAGCCCAAAGTCTAGCCGGGGACTACTAGCAAAGCGCGGCGTCAACGAGACAGGCGTCTTCGTGATACGGGCGGCCTTTTCGGCACGCTTATTCCGCGCCACACGATCGACCATGCGGTGATGCAGGGCTTCGCGCTTGCGAGTCTCGCCAAGTTGGAACGGATTTTGCTTTTCAGAGATCGGCCCGAGAAGGCGCCAGTCCACTTCCATGTCGTCGGTTCTGGAGCTGGCGTCATATGTAACTCCAGGCTCGGGCTCGTCCTCGTCGACGAAGGCGTATCCATTGACCCTCGGGGTTTCGCTTCCCGCGAAGGCAGATGCGGCTTCGGTCTCACTCAGACGCGGCCGGCCGGCGATGGCATCTTGGATGGCGGATAGTGAGGGTGAAGGGGGCACGGCGCTGGCGGCGTCCGCTGCTGCCGCGGCATGTGGGTCCAGAAGTCGGGTATTTTGGTAAAGAGTTCGCTTGGGCCCTGCTCGAGATGTGATTTCTGCTTTCTGTGGGAGTGTCTCGTGGGTATCCTCCACCGAGGAGGGGAGAAACATGAGGGTGTTGTCTGGGCGGCTTTTCCACGTGTCTGGGTTTGCGGGGCGGGCATCCAGATCTGTTTTGATTGCGGGTTGCGTATGCTCGTCTCGTTGAGTAAGGCCCATTTTCGGGTTCCCGCCTTGAGCTGTTATGCGCTTGATTTCTTGTTTGTGGTGTGCGATTTGTCGGGCCGAGGGAAGTTTGTTCCCGCTCCATAGCCACGGATACTTCCCTCGTCGTTTTTCATTCTGCTTGTCGAGGACTTTATTGAAAGACTCGTTGTCTTCGCTGGTATATTTTGCCTGGAAAGCGACCAGGCCCATGTTTGATACATCGGGGATAATCCGGTCTGGTGTTTCAGTTGCCGTTGTGGAAGTCGATACGACAGACATGGGTGTATCACCTCCCCAGCCATGCGGAGTATCACCTGGCTGGCCGGACGGGAAATGCTGTGGTGTGCTTGGAACCGATACATAGTCTGATTTTCGTCTTGCGTTCGACCCCGGGGTGGGCGTGCGCATGACACCTGCCAACTTCTTCTTGGAGCTTGCAATCCATGCTTTATCCTTCGATTCCAACGCTTCCAGATACTCTTGTTTGATCTGTGTCTCGAGTAAGCCCGGAAAGAAGTCGCGGGCTATGATGTGGGACAAAGTGCTGGTGTAGACGTCTTCATCGAGAACAGTCGCGGGGCGTTTGATTCGCTTCGGAGGTGGTGGGGGAGGCATAAGCTGGCCAGCAGACTGCTTGACCAGCTCCTGCGAAGAAGGAGACGCCATGTTTTTAGAGCTAAGGCTTGGGTAGAGAATTAAGCTGGAATGAAAGATGCATGAGTTGGTGGCGATAAGATAGCGGGTCATATGATTTTGAGCTAACCGCTTTAGGTAAACATAGTTCAGACGCCACTATGTTGTTTTGCATAGATCACATCATGAGCTAGGTAGGGTATGTGTATATGTATCTATTTCAAAATCTAAGAAAAAAAATCTTAAATTAGATCTGGATGAAAATTCCTAGGCTTGCATATCCAAGTAATCGTGTTGCTTTGATGGTCAAAAGATGGACATTGACTTGTGAGCCCAAATAGTCAGGATCTGGTATTGTTTTCTCTCTCCTTGTGATGAGAAGGGGCAGATAGGCTGAACATGGTTGAAACAATAAACTTGAGACTGAAAAGGGCACCGATTAGTCCCGACAAGACCTAGAGAAGCTCCCAGGGTTCTGGGGGGGGGGGCATTGGGTTTTTAATCTAGGCGCTTATTAGACACACAAGAACATAGAGTGTGTGTAGCACAAAGATATTGATAGGGATGCGTATTCATAGATGCATTTCTCGATATCTATAGACGTTTTCTTGCCATTAATGTTATTCGTACATAGATATAGATTTACTGGAGTTTCAAGATAGCATTCATGTTGGTGTTAGGCCTCTTCAGGACACCGCGATTTATCAACTCTTCGCAATCTGAGAAGTCTCTTCTTCCACTTTGTATCTCCCAACCTGCTCATATTTCCTTTCTTCATTTGGCTTGCCACTCTTACTTACATAACTGTCTCTGCACAAAGTTGCTTTCGATGAAAGATAATCCCTCTAGTTCCGGCCAATCTCTCAGGACCACCCCTAAAATGCATCTCTGGCACCGAGATACAGACCAGCATATTGAGCTTACAATTTTTAACCTATTTCACTCCGAAAGCTCTAGAACTAGATGGACTAGACTCCCTTCCCGTTGAGCTGTTACTATTAATAGCGGATTTTCTTCCACTCGAGGATATCTACTGCCTCTCACTTTGCAACCGTCGACTTCTCCTTACTTTCAAAAATCGGACGAAGCACCAACACCTGGGACGAAAGACTCGCTATTTCTTTTTTACGTCGAGTCGTATGGGATCACCCACAATACGCAACTTGCTATGATGACTTAATCCTTCATGACTTGCACAGCATAACAGAGCCTTTTAGGCTATCACACCCGGGTTGTACCTACCCGCCTCGCATTTACTGCCCTGTGGCTGCGTCTGGGTATCATTCAAACGGTAGTTTGTGGATGGTTATGCATCACAAATCCAATTTATCATCTTATTATGGGCTTCACTTTTCTCAGCTAAAAGGACTGCCAAACAAGATGTCACAAGACCGTAAATACGGCCGACTGTTGCTGTCTTTTGGAAGCACACTCTTATGGTGTCTTCTTCCTTCATATCTTTCTAGCAGAGCGGAGCGAACAGACATAAAGTTGTAAGACGCAGCCCTCCTTATACCAAAAGGGATACGCTACGACGATTATCCCAACACACCCCACACACCGGCCCAGTCACCATGGCAAGGGTCACTAGACTGCAATAGCTTCGCTCAGGGATAGACCCTCTATCGGATTTTAAAGGCAGTGCACAGATCTTACGAAAGCAAGCCCCATCACAATACAATGAATTTGAACTACACATGTTCTTTCTCATACTACACAAAAACTTGCAAAGTCATGCCAATAATTGGTATTGGAGCAGATAAGCTCCTCTATAAGTAAAACAGTCTATAACAAGGCAATAGGAAACCAGAGACAAGCGAATGACTCAAAAACGAATTCCAAAAAAAAGAATTCCAAAAATCCTCTTTTCTCTTTTCCCAAATCGCCCTTCCAAGACACCAGGCCAGAAAAAAATTCGCTATCGCTGAGAAATGCATCGAGGTGAAAGATAGATAACAGCTGAAATGCATAGAAGAGAACACAAAAAGAAAAGTGTATGGCTCACACGTAAAGATGACAGGTTAAGCAAAAAGCAGAGACACTAGGAAAACACGGATCGTGGACTCGTTGAGAGATGGTCGAGAGACGGGGTCTATCGGATGACAAAGCGAGAGATGTGAGACAGACCCGTATGCAAGTGGTTAAACAAAAAGGAAAAGTCAACACAAAAAAGGGAGTTGATTATAAGGAGAGTGACGCTCAGTGAGAGGCTGTTGGGAAGAGAGAGTAAGATGGCGAGCGAGCCTTCCTCCGGTAGTGGGTTCTAGGAGGCAAAGGAGCTTCAAATTTTGTCGGTTTGGGGTCGACCTCCGAAATGGACATGGTATGGTCATGGAGCGATGCGGTGAAATCCGCGCTCTCGAGACTCGTGCTGCTGTCATTCTGAAGGAAGTGTGCCCCGGCCAGACTCTTGGTCTGGCGGTGGTGGGATGATGACGTAGGGCGGGTGAATGCCTCGCCGGCTGTCATGCGGTCCGTTGGCATGAGCTCGCGGCTGCTGGACAAGCTATGGATGAGCTCCGGGACGCTGTTCGTAGTCGAGACGGAGGAGCGGTGCTTGCGCACGATGGAGGCTGCGCGAGAGAGCATCAGGCTCTCTTGCGAGTTGCACTTGCTAATTGGGGAGAAGCTGCTGCGTGGGGAGATGGAGCCCATCGTGCTCTGTGGGAAGGGGAAGTGGCGATCTGATTCGCCATCAGTCATCATGTACTCCTCGTACAATGGTTCGTGGGAGATTTGTTTGCCCAATGTTGGAAGGATCGAGGAACTGACGGGATGGAAATAATCTGCGCCCCGCGCGATGAACCCCTGCTCGAAATCTGCGGTTGCGGGAGTGGGGACTGAGTGGGAAGGCATCGGTTGGGTTGGGCTGGGATCCAGATCTGGGGCCGGTAGGGCGGAAGTGCTCAGTGGGCTCGGCTGGAGCTGTCGGGTTCTCGGGGCTCGCCACGGGCCCTCGCTGCTGGCTACACCAACCTGCGGGCGTATTTCGTCCAGAGATGTGCGAGACCAATCGAAGTTGGAGGTGGATTCGGCTGCGTGCTCATAGCAGTAGTCAATGTCTGCATCCCACGAGTCATAAAGTTCATCCTCATATGAAAATCGGTGCAGGCTGGTGATCGGCTCGGGTGGTGTGATCTCCACCTGGGCGCGAGGGGTGGCCTTGTTCTGAAGGCGTTGAGGAAGAGTCGGCGAGCCCAACACTTCAGAGAACTTCCTGGAGAGCTCCTCGGCCACGTGGGTCGAAATTGGAGCTTGGCGCTCGCTGTTGCTGGGTGGCTGGCTTTTGGCTGGAGGTGGGCTGATTTGAGACGTTGAGCGAGAATCGGGGCGTCCGATGCTGGATCCAGGGCTGTCCCAATACCGGGTTCCTTCCTCTTCCTCGGGGACATCTTCCAAATCATAGTGACTGCCAATGGAGGAGGTCCTGGTGCGGTCATCTGCGGGTTCGGGGCTGAAGAACCGGGTTTGCTGCGCTGATTGGACATACTCAGGGTACGTCGTCGCAGTGGACAAGCCCAGGATCTCGTCAACGGCACGGGGTGCCGGCTCGCCAGTCTCAGGCGGGGGAGTCTCCGGCACAGCAGGAGGTGGGGGAGTGGTGGGACAGGGTCGGGGGTATCTGGAGACCAGCCGCGAGAAGTTTTCATTGACACGAGATTCTCCACGTGTGTGGAACTTGCATGTTTTTGGAGAGGCCGGCGGGCTTACGCTGGGCACATCTGCCGTGGTAGCAGTTCCAAATGAGCCCAGTTGATCGCTGCAGAAATTCCGGAAATGAATGTCCTCGGCGCGGATACCTTTAAGACCGGTTTGGGGCCGTTGAGATGCTCGGATGGCCGAGAACTCAGTGACGAGATCGTTCTCGCGTGTTTGATCCAAAGCCTGGAACTGCGAGGGGTTGGTATGAGTCAAGTGGTGGAAGTCAAAAGGATCAGAAATGATGCTTTTCTTGCGCTCGCCTAAATCGATTGTCGAGGGTCAGTTGAGTCCAGAGGTTCAGCTGTTGGCAGAGTGGCTGGCACACTTACTGTGATCGGTATGACGGGCGCGACGACCAAAGATCTCCCTCTCAGGCCGGGCCTTCTCGCGATCGGCTTCATCTTGCTCGTCCAGCGTGGAAACGACGTTGATCTTGCTACCCCTTCGACGCAAGATGCGGCTTCCCCGTGCCAAAAAAGACCGGGAGGACTTGTCATGCTTATCGGAGCGGAGCCCCAATGCCGAGCCGGCTCGCTCGTCGGAGGCGATTGAGCTATCCGTCGAGATCATGGAGGAAACCGGTGAGCGGCGTGAAGAAGTCGAGGTGGTTGTATTGCTTCTTGAACGACCGCTAAAGACGGACAGACGCTTGGGGCTGTTGGCGTGAGCAATGGATCTGGAGCGGTTGTGTGTGGCGTGTTCAGATTGTTCGTTGGACGAGTTCGTGGACGGACGGTCATCGTCTTTGTCCCAGGCTTTAGCCATTGGGGATGGAAAGGTCGACATGGAGGGAAGTGAAAGAAAGAAACTACACCATGATAAGATAGAATCTGGAGTTCTCCGCCGTCTACAACATAAAGGAGCGAAAGTGGAAAGTGACGGTACTCAAGTGGAACAAAAAGAGGTCGTGCCGATGATAATAAATTAATAGAATACTTGAAGACGGGGGTAATACAAGACACGGAGTGGTGGAGCCGCGTTCAGGGGTATTTATGGTATTTGCTTTACTTTTTTCTTTTTTTTTCCATTATTAGTACGGAGTATATGATGTTATAATTATGCTCTCCTATATTTTGTATGAAATTTCTGATCTTTGCTGTTCTATCTGTTTCTTATCACACTGTTTGTTTGAATTAAAGCTGTTACACCATGCACTCAGCCGGCTTGCTATTTCGTTCTATCATCTTCTAGACACAAACAATCCAAAAAATGAGAACAAACAACGCAAATGCTTTGCACACGAGATAGTAACCAAGATACGGAGTACGGAGTGTCTCCCCATGTAAAAAAAAAAGGACGGGAATACCCAGCGTCACGGAGCCGATGCTCAACTGCCTTAGTGGCATATGTATCGAGCCAGGGGGTTGGTCCTGAACGTGCCGGAGACCCATGTGTGGGGTAGAAAAGGATAGAAGCTATTCCTTATTGAGCAAGTATCAGCCCTCCGGTACGCCCCGTTTCGATATTTTCTACTTTTTATTTTGTTTTTTCCTTTACCCAAGGAAAGGTTCCAAGGTTTACCACTAGCTTCGACCCATGGGTATGGGAGAGGAGGGGGGGGAACACACGATACACGCGATCTGGCTTATAGATCATTACCGTAGGACTCCATACATGCATATTATCCTAGTAGCACTCAATGCTATTGGGCATGATTTTCTATTGAATACCCAATAACAAGATTGAAAAAGGTTTTCATTTTTCTACACCTAATTCCTGACATCCCAAAGTAGCAAGATTAAAGGCCAGAGGCCAGACTTAAGTGGAGAGGGGATTAGCCCTTATCTTGATAAGTTGGGGCGCACACTGGAACCGTGGGTATGTTTTCCCTCTTTTTCCCTTCCAACATGGATGTGGCATATGTGTGGTACTACATTTCTAGGTTGTTTGTTTGTCTAATAGACTTCTGTCATTGCCTCGCGTGAGGTCTGAGACCAGAAACGCCTCTTCCCTTCCCCGCGTATAGCGGAGCCTCGGTACAACGGTTTCCATCATAGCATCCAGCCTTAGTGAAAAACATAGGGCTTGGGAAACAGTCTCAAATCCTAATCTACGTTACGGGATCCGGCAGTGGGGTTCAGAAGTCCACAATAACATTGTACGGAGCATTACAGAGGCAATTAAAGTGGTATTAGAGCCTACGTACACATGTCCTACGGCACTTCTCCAGTTTCTCCAGTTCAACCTAAACATCCCTGTAAAAAAAAAATTTGTAGAAAGGCAAGGATCCCCATGCGAGTTTGTTCCTGCGATCCTACCCAGCTGTAGGGGCTGTTCACTTGACCATTCCTTTCAAGTCTCGGTGAGTGCCGGTCTCCTATCTCATGCACATTAAGAACCCTTTTTTTCAATCAAAAAAGAAGTGAAAAAAGCAAAACGGGTCAGACTACACTCAAAACCTTCACACTGCGTCGGGGATGTAAGATGAAGCTGAAGAATGTGATTATCCGGAAGTCACCGCTCCCTTACATTCTACCTGTCGGAGAGTTGCATTGTCTCAGGGCGGGGGTATATCTATTGTGCCCGGTATGTGCATATTATCACCCTGGTACGGCATAAATTAGATTTTAGTACGGAGCACATGGTATGATCTGGATGCAATTCTGGCGATGGTTGCACACGATGAAATTTTTATTTTTTCAACTGTTGAAGTGACTTGTCACACATATTCTAATATTCACTTGGACAGGTCTATAGTCAACAGCCAGCTTCCTATCTGGTGTGAAAGTGGACCCTGACCTGCAGCTAGCACGATTCAAAACAAGGGAGGAACCCGGGAAAAGTAAAAAAAGTGTCTCGTTCTATTTCAGAGTCCAATATACCGCTAGTTTGTAGTACAACATACGGACTAGTGTGTATCGAAATTGTAAAGCGGGTTCCTGGTGATCTTGCAGTCTAGAACATTTGCTCCGTATTGAGGATTCTGTTCCGACAGTATAAATGTACCTGCGTTATGCGGCAATTGGTATTCTTGATTACTTTGTTTGTACTCCTGCTATTCCCTTTCAGGAGGACCAATAAGCACATTCCCCATCTTCACCGGCCGTTCGCATGTTTGCGACCATGATCGTCATCGAGCATACGGAGTACGTGTATGTCTCATAGGCCCGAGCGTCCCCGGCGTTCTTCCTCAGCTCAGATCTGTGCATCTTGCGTCGGAAATATGCCCCGAAATTGGAGTGTCGCCCGTCAGATCTCTTATTTGCTTTTGGGTAACATTTTTGGAACCAAGATAGAAGATCAAATTAAATTGACTCTGAGGGCATTGTGGAACTTCAATTTAAAGATGGGTCATATCAAAAAATGGGAAAATGTGGCTTAGTAGTATAATTTAGGCATAACGTACGGAGCAATCTGTACAACAGAGGTAAAATAAAGGGAGTAGGACGGAGTAGAGTAGTGCGACACAAGGTTTGAAGTGACACGTTCAAGAATAGGAGGAATCCTTTGTAAGTTTATTACCCATCTTTCTTCACGTTCGCCTATCACGAACACGTTCCTATTCATACATCCCAAGGATCGACAGATCTAATTCCCCTGAATATGGAAGCTGATCCCCGAGGTCAATAGTTATGTGACTCCGTACTCCGTCCATGCCATCTAAATTCAGTTGCAATGTGTTTTTTTGTCATTTCCCCAGGCTCAACGACCGTGAATTGTCGTTTCGTATCGCGTACCGTGCTATCATCTTAGTTTACGGAGTAGGCACGATCCCAATGTCGCCTATCTGGGTAAAGTACTCCGTCCCCTACCGTAGGGGTTCTGTCATTGTGGCTCCGCCAAGTCTGAGCTAATTTCCAATTACGCTCTGTAACTCAGTTACCCAAAATTACTTGAACCCATATAAATCTATCCATTTCCATAGTTGAATCGACGGAGGCTTTCAATGCCAGGAATGAATTCATCATTCACGAAAAAAAAAAAAATTCCTCGTTTGTTGTATGTGTCATATACCCTTCAGATTAAGCCTTAGTAGCAAACACTTTGTACTCCATACTCCATACTGGGTTTAACAAAAGTGGTTTACTAGCGCAAACTGATATGCACATGGACAGGATTCTGGAGGTGTGTTGGGACTATGTGTGGAGGAAATGAATCAATCCAGTGCAGGGGCAATTGACACCTGCCAAAATATTGTGGCTGGATCCTTCAAACTATGTTTCATTGCATTGAAGACAGGCGCTGGTCAATATTGAATGCTGCCATGTGCGACGATCCCAGAGCCCGATCCTGATGTAACCTGGCATTGACCGCCAAACAAAGTGCTACATGAGAACGCATGGCAGGGAGTGTTGGTCATACTCCGTATGGAGGGCTTCATTCCTGTTACGAGGTATCTTTGTGATACATAAAAGTTCCAAGGTTGGGCTCTTCGGGATGACCAAATAGGAGAATGTATGGGAGACAATTGGAAATAGTCGATTATCTTTCTTTTGTATGGTCTGTACCCCATACATCATTATTCAAGACATGTGGGAATGGAGTGTGAAAAGATTTGAAAGATTGGAGCATGAAGATTAGAAGTGAAATCAAGCCAAATCCACCACGCCAATTTTTCGTCTGAAGGCCACCCACTTCTAACTTGCATGTTAGCGTTGCTCTTCCGGAGAGAAATGGTGGTCCACAATTAGATCATGGGATCTAGATAGGGTATTCGAGGTTGGGTTATCCGCCTCCTTACCGTAAGCAAGTTGTGGTGACTTCACTAGGCAACTGGGATGGACCTGGTGTCGATGTTGAGAGAGGCAAGGGCCTCGTCAAGAATATCGGAGATCAAGTCACTGCCACCTTCATCATCGCGCTTGAGATTGAGAGCACCGACAGTCTTATCACCGCCGAGGTTGGCAGCGATACCAAGATCACCGATCACATCGTTCTGGTTGGGGACGGGCACAGCAAGTGCAGTGACCGCCCACAGGACGGGAGCGAGGAGAGTGTAACGCATTCTGATTGCGGTTCAGACTGGAAAGGTCAATAGAGAACTACTGAAGCTGCGTTCTGGTAGGTCGATACTCACCGAAGTAAGAGTGAGTGAATTCGAACGGGATTTTCTGGATTTTCTTGGCCACAGGACTTGGAGTAGATGGAGGACAGACGAGGCTGGCACACATCATCTCTCGGGAGAATAGATCATTTAAGTACCTGTTATTCTATCGCACCGGATATCTGGATAGATGTTTGCGGCATGATAGTTGACGTGCTCTAGGAACTTAAGCTTAAGCACTAGCTTGGATTGTGTTCTACTTGGTTGGGTGATGTGGACATGAGCCTTGATCTATAACACGTGCGTAGATGTGATGGAGTGCCCAATGAGGGTTACGGATTGGTGGAAAGACTGGAGACGGCAATGGCAGATACTGGTGATGGAATAGTCATGGAATAGTCATGGATTAGTCATGCGATGGCAATAGAGAGAAATGATCAGTCGTTTTGACGATCCTTAACTCGTTTAGGGCGGTACACCTAAAAACAGCTCCCGTTGATATCATCGACTTCGATGCTACGCTGGGATATTAGGCATTGCCCCTGTTTAGTAGCATTTAATAGGAGAGGTTTCTTTCGACAGTTAAACAACCTGATCTCTTCCTATACATACAGACCCAAGGCCAAACAACCCTAATTCACTTGGAACCAAGCTTAACAAAAATAGAGTTAACTCCTCATCAGAGCCCGGGTCAGATCTCCACAGCTCCAAGTGAAATTAAGGAAGGATTTCGGTCTTGAACCTTGGAAAACCAGTTCCCCGAAAAATACCGTCTTACATTTCCTGGGTCCCACCGGTTGGGATCCATTTTCCATGTCGACATGGCTTTGCATGGTTGTCTAGGATCCTGAACTTTGATACTTTCCGTGTGTAGCCGAGGATGGAAATTTGGGAAATTTCAGTGAGATCTAAGATGCGGACTCCGTACTTTCTACTCCATTTTTTTTTATTTTTTGCCGATCAGATATCCAAAGGTCAGAGTACCGAGAACTCCAGACTTCCATTCAGAATGCTCCATCTCACCCCCCCTCCCCCCAAAAAAATTCTCCCCAAAACATGCCCTAATACATGAGATGGTCCCAAAATTCAACGCGGACATGACACATGAGACGCAGCCCAATCCCCAGCTGCATACATCCGTGTTGTACTCCGTACTCCGTACTACCCATATGCAATTACGTTAATTTCACACGCCAAGCAACAGATGGAGTAGCTACTCGGTGCTCCGGGCCACAGGGAACCAGTAACCACACGTGCAGATTCAATATTTCGGGATCTACGCAAGCCATGTCTGACATTCCCTGCACATCTCCTATGAACGGGTTATCTCCAGCGGAATTCCGTGGGAGATTAGGCCCCGGCAGATTCGATGGATGGAATTGCATGTTCTACTCCGTAATTCACAGAGGCACTAGGCCTGGGCCTGTTCCTGTTCCTATTCCTTTGTAATATATATATATATATATTCCCCCTGTCACAATCCTTTGAGAGTTAGCTGCGTAGTCCAATAGGTGTTTCCTTTCTGACTGAGGCTTTTTAAGATCTGTTAAGGGTATTTGGCGGTTCCAGATCAGCGTTACCTTGGTTTGTCCAAAATGGGGTTTTGGGGGGGGGGGGGGGGTTCCAATGGTTTTGAAGGATGCTCAGGGTTGGTTTTTGGGGAGCAGATTTTGATTTTGTGGGATAACGATCAAGGCTAATAATTACACATGGAAGTCCAATGGAGAGAATTGTACCAATTGCAGTTCAGATAGCCCCGTACCAGACGCCTGGATGAGAAAAATGGAAAATAGAACTTCGCAATAGTAACAGAAAAAAAAAGAATGGTTGGAAGGTGGCATAGGTCACTCCTGCATCTCCGTGTCCTCGCCGAACAGTTCATCGTCGTTGTCTTCATTTCCGTACTTCTCAGCTTCCACCTCAGCTTGCACTTCTTCTTCTTCCTCGTCCTCGTCCTCGTCATCATCAGCAATCCGACGAGAGGCCTTGCCACGACGACGCGGCGCAGCTTCTTCGGCCGGGTCGTCGTCATCTCCAAACAAATCATCCTTGTCTTCGCCGGCAGACCTAGCAGCCTCTTCGTCATCAGAGTCAACCACCATCTCACTGCTCTTGTACTTGCCAGGCTTCTCAGACTTGGCAGCCTGGGCCTTCCCTCCCGATCGGCGTTCCAAGCGACGTCGTTTCTTCGGTGCCGTCTCGCCCTCGCTCTCGGCCGCACTGTGCGCAGCAAGACCTTCATCTTCATCCGCGATGAAGTCGTCCCCGCCCTTCTTCTTGCGCTTGATAGTAGGCTTCTTCTTACGCTTGACCCGGTCACCGGTCTCAGAGTCGTTGGTCAATTCGGCATCCTCGCGAGCGCGCTCCTCTTCAGCGCGCTGCAGGGCATGTCGTTGTACCTCTTCAACCATCTGCGCGCGTTCCTCGGCGATGCGCTTCTTGCGCTCCATTTCGACCTCTTGGGCCTTGCGCAACTCCTCTTCCCGGATCCGCGCGGCTTCTTCGCGGGCTTCGCGGGCTTGCTGGAGCTTCGCAGCGTTCTTTTCTTCGTACTCCTTCTGGCTCTGCATGGCTCGGTCAAGCTGCTTGCTGATCGTGCGGCCCATGTTGGCTCGCTGCTCCAGTGCGGCGCTGGGGTAAGGAGGGTTCTTCTCCTTTGAAAGACGCTCGAAGGTTTCAATGGCCTCCTTGAGACCCTCCGCTGCTTCTTGAACATCCTGGAGCGTCTTCTGGGTAGGCTGCAGACCGTAGGCGAGCGAGGCAATCTGGTTCTGCACGAAAGCAACGTTGAACTGCAGGTGAAGTTGATCCGGCGAGACGTCGCGTGCACGCGTGGCGTAGTCGAGTGCTGTCTTCATTGCGGCCAAATTCGCCTCCTGCTTGCCTCGCAGCCACCATACACGACCAAGGCAAGCCAAGATTTGTACATCACGCTGGCGATCCTTCGACAACGCAGCCTCGTAGTGTTCGATTGACCGTGAGAACTGGCGGAGCTCAGCGAAGACATGCCCTAAGTTGAGGTAGACGCTAGGATCCTTGATCGTATCGCGAATCTTGGACAAGATTTGCACAGCAGAGCTATGGTCTTTCTTGTCATCGATTAAGGCGATCGCAATACCCTGGGCCGCGTATGCGTTCTTGGGATCCAGTTGAAGAGCCTTGTCGAAGAACTCCACAGCACGCTGGTAGATCTTGCGACGCTTTTCCTTCTCTTGATCTGTGTCGCGACGCATGTCACGGGCGGCAAGGAGATGCACATTGCCCATTCCAGTCAAGGCGTAGCGATCATGCTTGTCGTAGTACTGCAATGTGTGCTTGAAATGACGTTGCTCACTATCTTCAGCCAGGTTGGCAACTCGCTTCTTCGCCTTGCTAAGATACCATCCGTAGAGCGACCGAACTTCCAGATTTGTGCTGTCCGCTTCGTAGAGCTTGCCAATCTTCTTAGGGCCCTCGTCTGTGGGGCTCTGGCGCAAGGCAATATATGTCAGGCGTGCATTAGCTTCCGTGTAGTCAGCGTGACGCTCCAGTAGACCTTCATAGACCTTCTTGGCTTCATCCCACATGTCGGCTGCCTCGTATGTCCGTCCCAGGTTGTAGCTGATTGTGGTGACGAGCGCATCGGTGTCGGTGCCATCTTCTTTTTCTTTGGATTGCACACAGGCGTTGAGTGCGGACTGGAACAAGCCACGAGCCAGAGCAATCTTCTCGTTCTGGTATAGGAAGCAGCCCATGTTGTTGAGGAGCTGCGGCGGGAGACTCTCCCTAAGAGCAGCGTTCAATTCATCTTGGTCCTCGATATCAGGTCGAGCATCCCCCGGAATCTCACCAATCTGGATCTGTTCCAGTTGGGTCAGGCACTGCATGCTCTTATCTGGAGCCGTGCCCTCGTAGAGACGGGAAAGATAAACAAGAACGGACTCGTCGGGAGAGATGTTCAGCTTCTCATCCTTCCACATACAGCGCACTGACTCAAGCAGAGTGATGGCCCGCTTTGCCTCGGTCGACTTGTCTTCTTTGCTACCTGACTTCTGAGCAGCGAATACCTCTTCCGCATGAATAGCAGCAAGAAGGGTCATCGCCTCCGGATTCTTTGATAGCTGGATAATCTTCTCTAGTCGGAACTTGGCACCGTCAAAGTCCTTGTTCGTGATCTGCATTTGCACAGCGCCGAATTTAGCGGGAAGATAGCCTTTGTCGACTCCACCGCGGGCTTGATCTGAACGGTTGTAGAACTCCGTGGCAAGGGCATCGTCACCTTCATAGTGCGACTTGCGACCGAGAAGGTACCAGCCGTCACTGGCAATGGACATAACATCTGTGTGTTCGATGGCTCTACGTGCCAATGTCTCGACGGTGGGGTATGATTTGCGGAGGAGGAAGTAGCTGGCGAACATTGAGCAGGTCATCGGGTATTCCTTGTCCAGCTTGAATGCCTTCTGGGTGTATTGAGTCATGGCTAATTTATACATTGACCCAAACATGGGGTCGGTGGTGGCTCGGCGAGAGCTGTCATGGAGGTAGTAGACTGCAAGCAGGACGTTGGCAACCTTGGACTCGGGGTTCTGCATGGCAATGGTGATAAGCGTTTTTTTTTCCAAAAAAAGAAGACTTGTGAGGGGAATTTTCAACATACTAGATATAGCGATCTTTCCCAAGCTATCTTGGCTTGATCCTTGAAGCCCAGCTGCCACAAGCAGCATCCGAGACCAATACGAGGATCAGGGTCTGTAAGGTTTGGCATCTTGATCAGTGCCTTTTGGTATCCTTCGAGTGCATCTGCGTATCTTCCTAGCATGTAATGCGCGCGGGCACGTCCCAGAATAGCCATGATATTCCGGCCACCAAAGGCCTTGGATGACTCGTCGAAACATTTCAGAGCCTGCCGCAGTGACTCGACCCTTTCTGATGTATCAATCGCACCCGGACGAACAGCACGGGGAGGGTATAGTGATGCACGGAGGAGACACAAGACACCTCGCGCCAGGAAGAGAGGAGGGTAAGCCGGGTTGAGTCGCGAAGCCTCGTTTAACGTCGACGTCGCAAGTTGGAGGTAATGATCTTTGGTCTTGGCTTCCGAGTATAGTTCCCCTTCAGGTGCAACTCGAGGAGCGTGTCGGCTTTTCAGCAGCAGCATCCAACAGATCCAGCCCAGAAGGCCGAGTTTCTCCTTTGTCGCACCGTGGGCGACAGAGGCCAGACCCTTAGTCAAGATGTCGATGGCATGGTCGATCTGCTTTCGCTTCGCGTAGGCGAGCGCAATGATCACCCAGAAATTCTTAGCCGCTTTTTCATTCTCTAAGAGGGTGCAAAGCTCAGTCGGGTCATCGGGGAGCTCGAGCAAGCTGACTTCGACTTCACTGTCGAAGCTGGATGCGGGAATGTCAATTGCATCGGGGATGTCGGAAAATCGCAGGTTGCTCAATGGGCTAGCTGAAGGTACGGCATTACCATTCAGGCCATTGGGTTGGCCATTCTCAAGAGGCGCCATGGTGTTTCCGGGGACGGAAGAGGGATAGGGCCACTTTGCGAGTAGGTATGGGATTTTAGGAGCCTCAACTCATGATCAAGCAAGGCGGTCCATCAAAAAAAAAATTAGAATTGGGACCAGTGAGGTTAGCGACCTCGAACTTGGAGAAAACGCGAAAAATTGACTCTCGGAGACTAACAGAGCGGCGATGAGAAGGTAAGAATTGAGCGATCGGAGTGGCTGGCTGCACCGCCACAGGCCGCCACACAACATACAATGAACAACAAGTGCATTACCTTTTCCGAACTGAAAGGTTACTTGTCAATGGCTTTTAAACAAATTGAGAGCAAAAGCATATAGAGATAATGGCAGTTTACTAAATTAACTGATGGAATAGCTAGGTGTGGCATTCAAATTACTGCACCCAGCTTGTTACAAATTTGCAGAAGCAAGCAACACTGACCAGCACCACATAGATAAGACCAAGCTCACTCCAGTGATGCAGGCGACCATAAGACTCGACATACCCAGCTGAAGCAGCAACCTTCTGGTCATCTAGTACATGATCGGCTTTGATCGAACCGGCCAACTCGGATGGGAAGCGGCCTGTTTCGAAGTACTCATCCATCAGTTGATCTTTCTCGGCCCATCGTGCTGTCAGCCAGTTCTCAAACTCCTTCTGGTCATCAAGCGGAATCTCTGAGACCTGAAATCGCCTCCAATGCATGTTGACTGAGGTCGGCGGTCGTCCTTGTAGATATGTGGAGCGGAGAGTGAAGTACTTATCGGGATAACTTCCCTTTCTATAGACAAACGTGTGAGTGTCGTTCTAGCAAGGGAAATCAAAGGGATGTAAATAAAATAAAACATACGGTGGTCCTTCATAGGCCATGGTGCAGTCATATACCCAGTCTACGGTTCCTCGCAACTGCTGAAGACAGAAAAACAGCCCTGTTGACCGTGGAAGAATCATGTGCTTGAATGACGGCAGTCCCTGTTTCGTCCCCCAAATATCGCTGCGTCTCTTGGTATTGATGGACAGATTTGTCCCCTCGGGAAAGATTAGCAGCCACATGGGATCGTACTGCGGGCGGGCTGAGTTGGAGCCAGTATAGACTGTCTTCAGCTTCTCCAAACGATGCTGAAGTCGTGGCTTGTCAGATGTCCACTTCCGAGCCATGAAGATAAAACCGTAGAACATCATGCCAGTGCCCACTAAAGGGATATATTTAAGCGACTCTTTCAGGATGATGAAGATGCGGCCATGCATCTGGTTGGTATATGCAACCCACCAGAGGTAGACCCAATCGGTGTAGACCTGGTGATTCGAAATCATGACGAGACGCTCTGGGAACCTGGTCTCCAGCAATCCATCTTTCGATAGATGGATTTGCCCACGCACGCTAGCATCACCACTGACCCGGAAGAGCGTCGGAGAGCTCCACTGGGTGACAGCACCAAGAACCAGTCCAAAACATTGTTTTGTATATGCCATATACGAATAGTAGTAGTTCCTATTGATCAGATACAGCGGGGCGCCGATTAATTGCGTCACACAGATCGCCAATATACAGCAATCCACCCACGTTATGAGCAGAAGCGAGCGCAGTATCTGCATGGGAATGCCATGTTTAAGACGCGGTTCCGAGAGTGGTTCGGTCGAGAGCTTCTGAAGCTCCCCGCAATCCTTGGAGGTTTGTGGCCTGCGCTGTCGAACCTCGGCAGGCTCCATGGTGGAAATTTGGAGACCGGGAGATTCCTGTTGCTTTAGAGGCTGAGAATTGAGGTAGAAAGTCAAGGATTGAGCTGGAAGCTCGTGAATGCTTCTACAGCTATACAGAACCCACGCACAGAAATGGTCTGATCGGATGTGGAGATCGTGATTGATGTGGGCTCAGAACGCACCAAAAGCTAGATAGAAGCTAGAAGATGAAATTATTTGCCATAGCCTGTGCGAAAGAAGGATATAATAAAATGAGACTGTGGGATATCGAAAGGATAAGTGTTGCAGAGCCGAAGAGATGGCTAGTTGGGAGGGGAAAATCAGGCGGATCTCGTGGATCTCGTGGGTCCACCAAAAATGACGGTCACAGCTTTATAACGTCACCTCGGTTTCTAATTATTGACACATCTCTTTTTCAGTGTCATCACTTTTGAGATCCAGGAGCTCTAGAACCAACTCTTGTGTCAGCTCATTGCTAGTTCCAACCTTGGGCTGAAAGATGGCGTGTTGATGTGAGCAACCAAATTCAAACCCTTCTGACTGGAGTCCTGGCTGATGCACATGACCAGGGTCGATAGGCCTACAATCTTTTACAACATGCTCTGCGCCATCCTCCGCAGGAATCCCCGCCTCACCTTGCGCCATTTTTCCACGTCTCAACCATGTCCCAAGATCAAAGACATTGGCCGTTTGTCTCAGCGCCTAATACCAAAATACCAAGGTGTGGCTTGGAGCTATCCTGTTGGACAGGTCTTGTTTATTTGGTTCGAAGTCTAAACGGAGTTTATCAGAATCCTGCGATGGGGAGCTCCTGTGTCTCCAGTGGCCAGCACCGCCACGAAATATCTTCCTGGTGCGCAAAGACTGCGCTCCGGCGGTCACCGATTCTTTGATTGAATTTGTCAAGTGAGAATGAGACATGCCCCTGGAAAGCAACTTTGTACAAGGCTAACATCTACGAGTCATGTTTCCTCTACATACCCATCGATCAAGGTGATTCTTGAGTCAAAGACTGCCGCCGAAGTACATTCCTCGCTCTCTTTTCCCGTCTATTCGGTTTCTGTCGACGAGAAAACGACCGCGCTTCACGATAAAGTCGACCTCACGGTGACCCTGGGCGGTGATGGCACAATTTTACATGCAGCGTCCCTCTTCGCGACCTGCTCAAATGTTCCGCCCGTTCTATCATTCAGTATGGGTACTCTGGGGTTCTTGAGTGAGTGGAAGTTCTCCGAGTTTAAGCGAGCTTTCCGAGAAGTCTACATGTCTGGAGCCGGGGCAGGGGATCGAACACCTGTGTTGGAAGATGTCCCGGGGGTGGCACCCTCAAAACAGGAAATTGAGATGGGGCCGACCGGGTGGTCCTCTGTCCGGGGCAAATCTATGGGCTCCACGCGCGGGGCCCGCATTTTAATGCGCAATCGGTTGAAAGTAGGACTGTTTACCGCCGACGGAACCGAAACTACACCTATCCGGACCAAGACCGACCAAGGCCAGGGTGTGTATGTGATGAATGAGCTCCTCATCCACCGTGGCAAGGAACCACACTTGGCTGTGGTAGATGTGTTTGTGGGTGGGCGATTCCTGACTGAGGCGGTGGCCGATGGAATTATAATTTCCACGCCGACAGGAAGTACAGCCTACAGTTTGAGTAGCGGGGGTAGCATTGTGCATCCACTAGTGCCTTCCATCCTTTTGACGCCGATTTGCCCGCGTAGTCTCAGTTTCCGGCCATTGGTTCTCCCTTCCAGCACCCCGATCACGCTGCGGCTAAGCGAAAAGAACCGTGGGCGCGAATTAGAAGTTAGTTTGGATGGTGTTCATTTAGGTCAAGGGATGGCAGTTGGTATGGAAGTCCGAGTGTGGAATGAGGAAATGCGTCATGGGAAGAATGAGTGGCAGGGTGGTGTACCCAGTGTAATGCGAAGGAGTGTGGGGTGTGAAGCCCATGAGGGATGGGTTGGTGGATTGAATGGACTGTTGAAGTTCAATCATCCATTTGGGGAGCCATAAATAATACCCTCATTCTCTTAATCTCCTAATCTCCTAATCTCCTAATCTCTTGATATCTTATTGTCTTAATGTCTTAAGGTACCCCGTAGAACAATCACATCCAGGATTAAAAAGTAAATCGTATAAAAGTGGAAAACCCGTGGATCCCATCCCCCATGGACCACTCTGATTGGCAGAGGCTTGTTTTCTGTAGATTGAACTTGTAAAGTACTCTGGGCCCTATCTCAGGGGACATCTCTTCCCCCTTTCTCTCTTGATTCTCCCCCCTCCCAACCTCTCAACGTGTGATTTCCTTTTTTTTTTTTTTCTATTCCGATCTGATATTGCATAGTTTATTCTCGAGCATCCTCGCAGTGCGAGGACCGCTCCTGATTTCCCGCAAGAAAAAGGTACCCCAATCTACCCCTCCTTCGATTCCCTCGATACTACTTTACTCTTTCCCCTTATCCTGACAAGTTCGTGTGTACGATTGGTTGTCTTCACAAAGAGAATATCGTGAAACAGGTTCTTTTGTTTTCTCCTGTATCATTCTTCCTCTCAAATGCAGTCGCTGATTCCCGTCTATTAGCGCCAGCCATTCTTGAAGGCCTCAGGAGGTCTCGGCGCATTCGTTAACACCACCCCCTCCGTCCTCCCCGACACGACCTGGAAATTCCTTGAACAATGACTTCTTATGGAAAGTAGGTAACCGCCCCAATCTTGCCTAGAATCTGGGGTCATTTGTACTGACCCTCCATAGCAACATGTACGCGCCAGAGCAGTTTATGAATCCCGGGCCAGCCCCCCGGCCCCCTACCGAACGACCCCCAAAATTGACTCTGCCCACCAACAGTACAACCACTTCCTTCGGTCAGATGAGCTTAGACTCTCCGATGACACCGGGCGCATCGCCGGCAAATCTTTCGCTTTTCCCCAACACCAGCAGCCCTTCGCTGGCTATGACTCGTAGTAATACCGGCCAAAATGGAATCTCGATCATCAAGGAAGGCACCGTCCGCTGCAAAGAGGACAAATTCTTGGCAACGTGGAATACACGTTACTTGATCCTACGTGAATATAAGCTCGAATTTTTAAAGAGTGATTCTGGTAAGGTGGTGATTACCTTCCCTTTGTCCGCGGTCACCGCCGTCGCTCGCTCCGAGGATTCCAAGATGGCCTTCGAAGTCACACGCTTGGCCAACCCAAAGGATGCCAACTCGAAACCCGCGCTTCTTGCCCGCGACTTACCTACCAAGACCATTACCTGCGAAGTCAAATCCGACGATGAAATCTATGAGTGGATCGACAAGATCTACGAGCGCTGCCCTGGCATGGGCGGCGTCAGCAATCCGACAAACTTCAGTCACCGTGTTCACGTCGGCTTCGACCCAAATACCGGCGCTTTTGTAGGCTTGCCTCCAGAGTGGGAGAAGCTTTTGACCTCCTCGGCTATCACGAAGGAAGACTACAAGAAGAACCCCCAGGCTGTCATCGAGGTTCTTGAATTCTACTCGGATATCAAGATGCGCGAGCAGAACCCGCAATACTTTGCTGGAACTAACACCCCGCCCGATAGTCAGCCCAAGGCACACAGGGGATAGCGTTGGGAGCTCCATTGCACCCCCACGTCCACCCCCTCCAGGACCTATGCAGCGCCTGGATAGCAGTCAGTCGAGCCCATCTGATGGTTCTATGCGCTCTGCGTCATCCTCGGCTGGACAGGCGGACCGTGCGGCAGACCAGCAGCAAGGTGACCAGATGAAGGAAGTGACTGACCAAGAGCGTCGCCGCATGGAGGAGGAGCGTCGCAACAAAGAGGAGCAAGATGCTTACAACGCATCCATCCCGCAGACCCGTCCTACTATGGCTCAACAGGAGCTTGGTGGATATGGTGGCGATGAGTCGTCACAGAATAGCCGCTATCAACCGAGCCGCCCGGCCCCTCAGGCTCCAGGCTCTGGTGCTCGCCAGCAAGACCCCCGTCAGCTCACCGCACAGCGTCCCGCACCAGCGCCGCCATCCCAAAGTCCCTACGGCCAAAGTGCGACCCGAGCACCGGGTGCTGCCCAAACGGATGAACACCAGGCCTCTTCAAACTCTCGCCAACTTCCCAGCGACGCTCGGGCCCCAGGTTCCGCCAATCGCCCTCAGCAAAACGGCTCCAAAGGACAGGCCGGACCCCCTCCGACACGCTTGCCGGCCCCTGTTCAAGCTGTGAAGCCGTTGAAAATTGCCAACAAGCAAAACGGGACCAAGCAGACCGTCCCCGATGGTGTTCGCCAAGCCGAAGCTGCTCTCACCAAGAAGGCAGATCAGCCGCGCCAGAAGGAGGTGCGCATGTCAGCGATGTCAGAGAACGAGGTTATGGAGCGACTGAGGTCTGTCGTATCCAAGGACAATCCGAACGAGTCTTACAGCAAGCAGCGCAAGATTGGTCAGGGTGCATCTGGATCCGTGTATGTGGCGCGAGTTAAGGAAAACGCACCTTCCGGTGTTGCCAGCGAGCTTTACAGGACGTATGGCCCACGCTGCCAGGTGGCCATCAAGCAGATGGACCTGCGCAGCCAGCCCCGCAAGGAGTTGATCGTCAACGAGATTATTGTCATGAAGGACAGCCAGCACCCGAATATTGTCAATTTCCTCGATTCATTCTTGCCGGAATCAAGCAATGAACTCTGGGTTGTCATGGAATTCATGGAGGGCGGTGCGTTGACTGATGTGATTGATAATAACCCAGTGATTACTGAAGGTCAGATCGCGACCATTTGTGCTGAAGTATGTTCTCCATCCAATGGTTGTTCTCATCTATTTACTAATATTTTGTCAAAAGACTTGCAGGGGTCTGGCCCATCTGCACAACCAGAGCATCATCCACCGTGATATCAAGAGTGACAACGTTCTCCTCGACCGTGTTGGCCACGTCAAGATCACCGATTTCGGCTTCTGTGCCAAGCTGACCGAACACAAGAACAAGCGCGCCACGATGGTTGGCACTCCCTACTGGATGGCACCCGAGGTGGTCAAGCAGAAGGAGTATGGCCCGAAGGTCGACTGCTGGTCGCTGGGCATCATGGCCATTGAAATGATTGAGTCGGAACCCCCCTACCTGAACGAAGAGCCCCTGAAGGCCCTCTATCTTATTGCTACCAACGGAACCCCCCGTCTCAAAAAGCCCGAGAAGCTCAGCAAGGAACTCAAGTCTTTCCTGAGCGTATGCCTTTGCGTCAATGTCCAAAGCCGCGCTTCCGCTGATGAGCTCCTCGCCCACGAATTCCTGCAGACCGGATGCAGTCTGGCTAGTCTGGCTGAGCTGCTCCGCTGGAAAAAGGCTACTAGCTAGTTGACAACCGAGGTTTCCCGTTTGCTCTTCATTTACACATATTGGAGCAACATCATCTGGGTCCCATTTACGCGTCTTTAGATCCCCATGTCGCATTCCATTCTAACAGGAACCACTCTTTTCCCGTGTGTTTCTTTCCCCCATATCCTTCACTGCACTCTGCATTGGAGACATCGTTGCTGCTCTGCTCTGCCTATCATACACAACCCTGGGCGTGGATAATTTGGCGTTTGATCTGTTTTCCCCCTTTTTTTCTTCCCAACTTCACTTCGACGCTTGCACAAAACCCATACCATGTTTCCCCCTATGACGTTCATGATTTTGCAACTTGCGCTGTATTATGTGCCCTTGCCCAAAAGCGAAGAATAGTTTAAATCCCATATGACTTTTGCTCGAATTCTGTATCAAAAAGCATCGCCTTTTACGTGCACTACCTACTACTCTTAAGCGTTGATATAGCGCAGTAGATTACGGATTAGTACTCCGCTAAATGATGTCGAAGAATAAACTACTAGAAGTAATTTAATGAACATCGTGTAATACCTAGGGATCTTTCACAAAAAGGAAGGATGCTTTGTAGTTTATGAAATTGAGTTGAAAACTATCTGTCTATCTCTTCATGCCTGGAGATGAAGCCATATTTATGGCTTCAATTCCACCCCTGTAGATCTATCTACCCCTCACTAATCAATGTGCATTTGTAACGAGAAATGAGAGACGGGTTAATGAAGAAGAAGCTTAAAGAGCGATGTCAATACTAAGTACTGGATTCTGGAAGAATCCATTGAATGTAGCCTAAATTGAAATGCCATAATGAGATACAGGATACTCGACTTTGCACGGCGTAGGCATGAAGTGACGTATGGCTTTAGCGTTGAATGAAACCGAATTGTATGTTAAACATGAAGGATTAACTTCGGGTTTCAACAAATACTAACTACATAATTCAGACCTTCTATACTGGGAATCTAGCTATAGATAGTATTTAGCTAACTACTTCTAGCTATATAGAAAAGCTTCTAGGTAAAGACGCTCTAAATAGTATGAATTTGTTTTTGCTGAGCGAAGCGAAATATCGGAGTTCCAACTTTCTGACAGAAATCTTACTATGACTATATGAAATGGATTGGTTGAAATGATAGGGAGTTTAGTTACTATTTTATCTCTGCTCGTCTAAATTAAGGCATTTTCAGGCATCTGACCTTCGGCCGCTCTGCCCCTTTGCACGTGACATCTAACTTGTATAGACAGCGCCATCATGGTGGACCGTATCTTTTTTCTTGGGTATTCCATCCTTTTTTCATTCATATACTGTACCATGGATTTCGACATTTTCGAAAGTGTTCAAGAAGTATATGATGTTGAAACCACCATGTACAACATAGAACAACCTTCCTATTTTGGGACTAACTTACTACTGGCATTAAAAATGCCTGGGCAGAAATTAATTTGATCGACCTCCGTACTCCGTAGGTACATACAGAATAAAAGAAACTCAAATCCCAACACACATACCAAGACAAAAATGAAATCAAGGGAACCCCTCCCTCACAGCCCTCCCCAATTCCTCACAAGCCTCACTAAACAAAACACCAATAAGGACACTCTCCCCCTCAGAAGCAGTCCAACGCCCGGAATCCACAAGCCTCTGTTTCCAAGCACTCTGCTCAGGCGCAGAAAGATCCTTCCAAGCTTGCAGCTTCTGCTCCTCGGATTGCTCGGACTCGTCCGCAGACGCTGACACAGCAGTTTCAATAGTTACGCTCTGCTTGGCATTCTGTCCTGCACCACACCGCACGATGACAGAGAGAGACTGCGGCGCGACGGTTTCAAGATCGGCTGGCGCGGCACCGGCGCGGTGAACACGGTCCAGGATTTCGCGCAGGGATTCGATCTGCGAGTCTGCGGAGACGATGGTCGCCACCGGGATATCCGTATCGCTGCTGCTTCCCCAGGGTGCAAGAAGTGTATCGAAATACGTCAGCTGATCCTGTGGGGGTAGGACATATTCCCGTGCGATGGCTCCGCGGATGCTATCTGGGAGCCATTCTGTGGCACCGAGGACTGGCGGAGTTCCGCCGCGGATCTCGGCGAAGGCGAGCATTGCTATACAGATTGCGGATATCGAGAATAGTAGCACGATGACGCTGTAGACTAATTCCCAGATCTCGGCGGGACCGGGCGTGACGAGGACGTAGCGCGGGGCACGGGAGGAGGTTGGGAAGGGGGATAGTGGGAATGTGTGTACGACGACTGTGTTGCCCATGCTGACAGAGGCAAGTTTGATATTCTGCGGGCCGACGTCTGGGGTTATGGGGTGTGAAGGTGCGATGAAGGTTGAGAAGGTGAGTTTGGTCATTGAGAACGGGTGCACGTCGCGAAGGGTTGTATAGGGGCGGAAGTTGCTGTAGCCGCGGTTTGGACCATATTCTAGTGTGAATAGAGGGATCGAGTTGTCGCTGCCGCTGGCTGCGATAACCGTCTGTTGTTGACCTTGCGCGTTGTTTCCGAGTTGGCAGATATCGAGCCCTAGGCCGATTTTCACGCTTCGAGGGAGCTTGCGACGTCGTAGAATTTTAGACTTGTTCAATTTGTCGCTAGGAAGTTGAAGGAGGACGAGCTCACTACCTCCGCGGTTTGGGGCGTTTAGGAGGAGGAGTAGGGTTCGGGGCGAGAGGAATCGCAGCGCGCGGAACTTGGGGCGTGCTGTGCGGGCTCCGCTGGCGGGTAGGGGAATGCTATAAACGGAGCGGACGTCGGGGGAGCTGTTGGAGCGGCTAGAGGACGAGATCTCCCCAACCATGACGTCCGGGCCGTTGGTATAAGCAACAAGGAACCGGCCGTGTGCATGGTCAGTCTTTTCCATATCGTGTTCGAGGCTCACAAAGTCCAGGTCCTCAGCCTCTTCATTGCCGCTTAGTTGGATGCGGCCGATAATATCCTTTCTGCTGGGCTTCTCTGTGGCGCGGAAGAACACAATTTCACCGGATGGCGCCAGACCCGTCGCAACGGCTCCAATCCGTGTGTGTTTCTGGGTGCCCTCCTTCCCTTTCGGCCATGGTGAGAGTCTCGTCACCCGCTGGTATGTATCTGAAGAGCCTAGCCCGTTCTTGGTTCGGAACATAGATACTTGCGACAAAGCTATAGCCTTTCCGGGAATGGATCCTTCTTCAGACTTGGAGTCCTGTTTCTCACTATTTTCGGCGCTCTGTGCATTCGAAGTAGCAACAGTGGTTGCCCTCCGCGGCACCTCAAACCGAAATGAGCGAAGATGTTGATTGTTGTTTTTTTTCTGTTGCTCCGCAGAGCTATTTATACCGGCCAGAGCAACAAGGGAGCCCGCCTCGTCGCCAGCCCGTGGGGCCGCAGCTAGCGATGTTACCGAGTCTTCATCGCGCGACAGGTTTAATTCAATGGCCTCGATGACCTCGTTACGACGCGATGTGTCAAGCAGAAACTGCAGAGAAAGCAACAATTAGCATACTTATGTCAGAGGACGTATTTTCTTGAAATGGTGGGACTTGCGATCTTGTTTCCAACTCCGCTACGTCCCTCGCCGCCTCCGCCGCCGACTAGGAGTCGACCGTTGTTGCGTGGGTCAAAGTCCGTAGCGAAGAGTGGACACGAGAGTGTCAATTTAGCGGAATGTACTGTGGGCGCCATTGTTGTTAACAAAGTGGAGTGAGTGTGAAGAGGACAGATGGGATGACGGAGATGCCCCGGATTCTTGGCGCGGTGTCCCGAATCTAGGCACGCCGTGCCCGGTTAGCGTGATGAACAGCAACTATTTTGTTAGACCTACAAGGATGAGGCTGTTCTGATTTAATTGATAAGGGAAAAGGGTTTTTTTGGAAAAAAAAGGAAGTGATATTTTATCATGCATTCTAAGCATTCTAAGCCTCGATCTCCTGGGAAGTGAACTCGGGCAGGCGCTTGCGAATATCCTCCCATGTCTCGTCACCCTCAACGAGGGACTTGACAGCCTGCAAGATCTCGTCCTCGCTGGCACGGACCTGCTTGGTAGTATCGCGGTCACGCAGGGTGAAGGTGCTGTCCTGAACGGACTGGAAATCCACAGTGATACCGAAGGGTGTGCCCAACTCGTCATTGCGAGAGTAACGCTTGCCTATACTGGCGGAAGAGTCATCGACACGGTTGGAGATACCGGCCTTGCGCAGCTTCGAGGTTAGACGCTGGGTCAGAGGCTTGAAGGAGGCGTGGGTGGAGAGAGGAACCAGCAGGACCTTTGTGGGGGCAACAGCGGGAGGGAAAGAAAGGACCTATGGAGTATCGTTAGTGCCCAGCGCTCATGGTAAAAAAGACACAACAGGAGAGACTTACACCACGGGTCTCGTCACCGGCGCGGGACCAGTAGGAGTGCTCAATCATACTGTACAGAATACGTCCAATACCGAAGGAGGGTTCGATCACGTTGGGGGTGTACTCGCGGACATTCTCAACACGAGTACGCTTCTCAATCTTGATCAGGTCCTTCTCGATCTCAACCTTGCCAGATCCAACACCCTCAACATCGACCTCAATCTTGCCATCCTTCTCGAGGTCAAGAGAGAGCTTCTCGCGCAGCTCCTGGGACAGAGCCTCAACAGCTGCCTCGACGGTCTTGGCATCCTTCTTGAACTTGGGTCCAAACTTCTTCTTCTCGAGTTCAATCTGGTACTCCTCGATGCGCAGAGGCTCGGCACGGGCCTGGCGCACCACGAGAGGGGCACCGGTCTTCTCCTTGTGAACAGTCAGATCGTAAGCGGAGCGGTCAGCGCAACCGACACACTCGATCCAGCCATAGCTGGTCTGCAACTCGGCATCCCAGCAGTCAGTAGCGTAGTGAGCCATCTCATTAGCCATGTGCTGACGGAAGCGCAGCTTGGTGGGGTCAACGCCCAGCTTCAACAGGAAGGACTGAATGCGGGCCAAGAAATAGCCCAGGGTCTCGTTGTCGACCAATCCAATCTCAACGGCCTTGCCGATGGTCATCTTGGTCAGCTTTGTGCTTCCGGACAGCTGCACGTTGCGGTCGAGCAAGGTCAGCTCAGTATCCTTGACCTCATCGAAGCGAGCGTGCTTCTTGCCACCCTCGGGGTCGACGTAGTGCTCAATCTCGGCCATGAGGAACTCGCGCACACGCAGGAGACCTGCGCGGGGGGAGATCTCGTTACGGAACGACTTGCCAATGGATGCAGAGGCGAACGGCATCGACTGCTGGTTGAACTCCAAGAGCTTAGCAAAGTTCAGGAACTGACCCTGAGCGGTCTCGGGACGCAAGTAGCCGGGCATATTGGCGCTGGGGCCAATAGAGGTCTGGAACATGAGGTTAAAGGAAACCGGAGGCAGCACCTCGCCTCCGGTGACAGGGTTGCGGATGTCGTGCTTCTTGATAAGCTGCTCCAGCTCGGGACCACCGAAGTTGTCAATCTGTGCGAGGGTCTCCTCGTACTCCTTGACCACGGCATCATCCAGCTTCTTGGCCTCAGTGCCCTTGGCCTTTCTCTTCTTCTTAGCCTCCTTCTCCTCGTCCACAACAACTTTCTCGCCGCGCGCCTGCTTGTCTCCCTTGAGGCGGGCCTCGAGAACCTCCTCAACCAAGTGGTCGGCACGGAAGATCTCGCCAGTCTTGGGGTCCTTACACATCCAGTCGGCGAACTTGTCCACATGTCCACTGGTCTTGAGAATCTCGTGGGGAGTCAACATAGTGGTGTCGACCTCGAGCATGTCCTCCTCGAGTACGAAGTGCTTGCGCCACAAGTCGGTCATGTTGGCGATCAGTGCGGTTCCAGGTGGACCATAGTCGTACAGACCGGACACACCACCGTAAATTTCGAAGGAGGGGGTGTAGAACATGCGACGGCGGAGCATGGAGTCCAGTACCGTGCGGTCGATGGACTGACCGGTCTTGGTGTTGACGGTGGCCATCTTGACGTTTCGTTTCAGGGTCTTCGGGGGAGGAGTGTAGGTCCTAAACTGAGTCCGAAAGAAAGACGGAGGGGAAAGAAAAGAGCGGGGGGGAAATCGCAGGCGCGGCAATTGAGTCATCCACTATGCAGCCCCTCAGACACCACCGAGAGGATAAAAGACAATGGGGTATAAAATGAGAGAGAGCGACCAATTGAGTCGATCTTCTTCTTCTTCTTTTTATTTATTTTCCTTCTAAAAAGGAGGTCTCCAAGTCACAAGGCCAAATCGCGGATTGGCGTTCCGGGGAAACGATTGTCCGAAATGATTTATTTCTCGGCGATCTTCACATTTTCTATTGACCTTCAACAGCAACACTCTACCTTCCCAGCTTCTAAAAATGGTTGTCCCCGGCCGATCTGGACCGCCTCCGGGCGTCATGGGTGATATGAAAACCGCCAACAAGATGCGCCGGAAGATGAACCATGTCAAGCGCAAGAGAGCCAAAGATGCTGCGCGCCGAGAGGAGCGCTACGCTTTCAAGAAAGAAGAAGCCAAGAATCCCAAGTTGAAGGAAGAACGACTCCGCCGCAACATTCCTCTGACCCTCGAGCGGAAACGTGTCTGGGACGAAGCCGACAACGACACCGAAGAGACTGGTTTGGGATTGAGCGTTGACGTTGAGCGCATCAAGCGCGCCAAGAAAGAAGAAGAAGACGAGCTTAATCGGCCATTAGAAGAGGGCGAGGATGACAGCGAGGCTGCAGAATCAGACAACGAGTCGGTCGACAGTATGCTCGAATCGGACAAAAGCGAAAATGAAGATGAGGATGAGGAAAATGACGAAGACAAAACTGCCAGCCTCAGCCGGAAGAAGACCTCTCTCCGAACTGCGACAGAGCGTGCCACAAGTCCTACCCAGTCCACACGCAGCACAAACCTTAGCCTTGCTCCTGAAGCACTGGCCGCCAAATTCCCTACGCTTTTCACCGAGGGTCCCCCACCCACCCCGAAAATCCTCATCACCACCGGCCTCAACTCTACCCTCCACGGCCAAGCCGAGACTCTGACCGAAGTGTTCCCGAACAGCGTGTATATCCGGCGTAATGCTCACCGGTACTCGCACAAATTCTCAATCCGCGAGATTTCCAAATTCGCTGCAAACCGTAATTTCACGACGGTTGTCGTGTTGAATGAGGACCAAAAGCGTCCCTCTGGGTTAACGATAGTTCACTTGCCAGTTGGTCCGACTTTCCACTTCACCATCAGCAACTGGATCGAAGGAAAACGCCTCCCAGGACACGGCCGAGCTACCGAGCACTGGCCCGAGCTGATCCTCAATAACTTCCGTACTCCTCTCGGTCTTCTAACTGCCCATTTGTTCCGCACACTCTTCCCGCCTCAGCCGGAGTTCGAGGGCCGACAGGTTGTCACTTTGCACAACCAACGTGATTACATTTTCGTCCGTCGTCATCGCTACGTCTTCCGTGAGAAGCGTGAGACCGAAAAGGCTGTCGTTGGTGCTGACGGCAAGGAAATGTTGGGTGTTGAAGGTATCCGCACTGGCCTACAGGAACTAGGACCCCGTTTCACATTGAAGCTGCGTCGTGTTGATAAGGGCATCCAGCGTGCCAGTGGCCAGGAGTGGGAGTGGAAGGGTGGAATGGAGAAGACGAGAACTCTGTTCCAACTGTAAATGTCTCTTTCTGTTGTTATTCTCGGTTTTGCATGGGGTTTGAGGGGAGTTATATCCAAAAGCTTGTCTGGTTTCATTGCAATGGACACAATTCACGTATTCCACAAAACTTCATGGACAATAATACTCCGCAGGCCATAGGTGTCACGCCGGCTCCTGGATTGGTTACTTTACCCAACGACATTCATAAGCTGTTCATCTTCAAGACCATGCTTCCTCTCAAAGCGTACAAGGATGGCCAATGATATATTGTCACGTGGCATGGCAGTGTTAGCATACCCTGTGATTCATTCAATTTGATTCGTCGCGTCCTTATGGACCAACAAGACAAATTCGATGCACTCGACCGTTGACCTCCTAACCATTGCTGATATCGAAGCGTCGACCGATGTCCTCGGCATAGGTACAAATACTATCAACGTTGTTCTCGGGAAGGAATGCTTCGCAGTCAAGATCGGTACACACTATCGCCTTCAAAAGCAGAGAACATGAAATATGTCACATTAAATATGTCACAACCCAATAGCAACACCTCAGTACAGATGGTTTACGCCAGTTTTGTTGATCTCGAAAACTTAGAATAAATTGAACGCCATGGATTTCATCCCTGGGACTGACTTGTAGAGACTACCACACTGATTGAGAAGAAGACCATCAGCTAGCGTATTGATGAGGCTCTTGAAGACCTATGAACAATACCACCGCCAGGCTAGTTTGTGATCTTAAATAGCACGCCTTATGTCGATGCTGTTTTCTCAACGCCAGATAACAAAATCCAGCTCTCTCCGGGACATTCAAGAATCATCAGCCGATGAAGGAAGGAAGCTAGAAAGGCTACGCCAAAAGATTGTTCGTCGCAGTGCGTTCGCTAATTGCGAAAAATGGTCAACCGCACCCTCAAGAACCATCGAATGGGGTTTACAAGTGGAGATCTACAGCCAAATGACCTAATAGTGGAAAATATCCACGATACTAGAGGTGCAGACTTGTGAAACCGGATTGGCTCGAACTCACCCCAGACAAATGTGATCAGTGCCCGGGATATCTCATGATGCAAGTTGTCTACCCTTTGGTCATTTGTTGATGACACAATATTCCCCTTACAATCAAGTGTTTTTCCGAGATAAAAAGCGTCAATCAGGATCGTGGTGCATCAAGTGCTCTATAGCACTCCGCCTCGATTCTAGGCAAGTAGGCTTGTTTCATGGCTCCATTTTTAATCTTCCTGCCCGGGAGATGAAAGCAAGAGATATCTATAGAAAAAGCATAAGTTGCATGGGAAGCGCTAAGCTTAGCGGTAGTTGTCATGATTGATCTCTACACCCCAGCCTAGTAATTTGCAAGTTCTGACAGTCTACGAGATGATTTTTGCAAAGAAATAACCTTCAAGGACTATATGCTCCTTCCATTACTATGTATAACATAGTAGAAAGAGTTGAAGTGACCTCGATGACATCAAAATATTAGAATTTACTTGTGTATTAATATGGAGATAAGGAGTTGCTTATCTCCGATATCAGCCAAGTCACGGGACGATCTCCCGGTGCCTGAACCAATGATAAAGAGAGAGAGAGAAGAAAAAAAAAAAGACCGTACAAAGTATATCACACACCTAAGGGTGTCTCCTCCCTACAAATATGGAAATCCTTCCCCGCCGCCTCCTCTTCATCGCGTCAATCGGCAATCCAGCCCCCTACCACAATACCCGACACAGCGCCGGCCACCACCTCCTCGACGCCTTAAAACCACTCCTCGAAACCACCCTCTCAAACACAGGCCTCTACCATGAAACATGGCAAAGTCCATCCCTCATGAATGTAACAGGCCCGAAACTTGTGCGCCGACTAGAACAATGGGCAACCGAGCGAGCAAGCCGTCTTGAAAGAATCGCCAACGTTGCTGCAACTCGTGCTTCTGCCTCCACCCCAAACATCCCCATACAAACTAGTTACCCAACAACCCTCATCATCCTCCATGACGAACTCTCCATCGCACTAGGAAAGGTTCGTGTCATACGCGGCGGGCCTGAGGCATTTAGTTTGCGAGGCCATCGCGGTCTCATCAGTATTTGTGAGACACTGCGCAAGAAGGGGTTGTATCCCCGCTCTTCTCCTAGTACGAATAAGAGTGTCACTGGGCCGTTGGCGGATCTTTCGATCTTGCGCGTTGGTCTTGGTATTGGTCGTCCCACGTCACATGAGACCGGTGCTGTTTCGGACTATGTGTTGAAGACTGTTACTGAGAAGGAGCTTAAGTCTTATCATGCCGCGGCGATGCCTGTGGTGCAGACTATTCGAGATGAACTTTTCAGACCTACGGGAAAGGTCTGATGTTTGATCTTTGGTGATGTGTATATTGTGGATTTGGTTGGAGCACAGTACAAATTATACCCCCCTCTCCCCCTTGGTCATGACTGCAGGCGAGAGCATGGAATTGGAGGAAGTGATGAAGAGAAATGTCAAAGCTAGCTTGTGGATGTATTAAACATATACACAGGAAACGCCTAGTGTAAGGTAATAAACACAGGAAATAGCTGCCGAAATATATCGACAGAAACACGAAAAAAAAAACACGATTCTGTTGCAAAGATCTCAGTGCAGCAAAGAAACATCCGGTATTACGCTTAAAAAGTAGTTGATTAAAAGACCAGCTCAAACGGTTCCAGCTATGCTCAAATCGCGGATCTCCTGCAACACCTCCTCAACTCGGTTATCAAGATCACCCTTGGCATACTGGTCACGAGTTTCAGCATCGAGATATTGCTGCACTTGCGCCATGCGGGAATACGCCTCAGCACAGAAGCGCAGCTGGATCTTGACGAGAGCTTCGAAGCTGGGGTCGAGATAGGGCACACGTAGGTCGATAAGCTGGGGGAGTTCGTTGGAGAGCTGCTCATTCAACTGCTCGTAAGCCTGCTTGGCCATCTCGGCTTCGCGCTCGGTCCGCGGCAGCTTGGTGACATCCTTGTCGGGCTTCTCAGCTAGCTTCTTGACCTTAGCGCGCATGGCGTCGTAGTCTAGCAGCTTGTGGTTGCGTTTCTTGATACATTCGTTCACGTCGGGGAAGTAGGCACAGAATCGGGAGATGGGGTCGAGAACGGTGGTACTTTGGCTTCCGTCAGCACTATTCATGTGTGCTCGTCAGGAAAGTCAGAATCTCCTACCGGTATGGCCCATCCAGAGCCTTGATGGTCTCGGCATCAAGATCCTCAACGGCCTGCTTGTAGCTCCGGCTCACACCATCTTTTGTTCCCGCGTCACCGTAGAAGGCATCAATGGTCTCGGCAATGCGCATTTGGGATGCCGTCATGGCTGAAAAGAGTCAGTCAACGGAACAACCAGATCCAAGAATCCAAAGCGGAAGGTCACCTACCTCGTAGTGAATCCAAATACCCCTTTGCCTCCCTTTGCAAGCGATTAGCCGCGGTCTCCATAGTCCGATACCGACTATAATGAGCAATGTCAGTTCCGGTCCCGATATAGCCATCTTGAGGCAGCAGCGAGGGCAACCATACCGTTCCTCGATCTCATAATCGCGATCATTCGTTCTCTCAACATGTCCTATGAAATTACTGAGTCAGCGTGTGATTCGCATCCACAGGGTGCGGCAAGCAAGTCGTAGCGCATAGCGGGTAGTTAGTCCGGGATCGTGGTGCGATCGCCCTCTCTCGATTCATTGCGGGGTAGAACTCGACGAACTCACCCGTCTTCATCATCACCTGTGTCGTGGCACGGTTGACATTTTTCTTGAACCCTATCCACCCCAGCAGTTAGATTCGCTCAGACTGGCACTGATTCATGAGTCTGATGGTTTTAGTAAAATGAGGCGTACCTGCCCACGACATGGTGGCGGTGTGGCTCGGAGGACCCGGAGATGAAGATCGGCTGTGAGTTGGTGTTGGTTATAGGCTGTAAGTGGGTATGAAGTAGAAGCAAGTCGAGGGTGATTGCAGTTGACTGCTGAGAAGACTCTCCGGAGTTAAGCTGTAGGGAAAGTCGTGAAGGTCCCGAACCCAACGCCAAGGGTAGCCGACTTGCCTTACGGCTGTGTGGCTATGTGGCTGTGTGTGGCTGTGCTTATGTCATGTCTTCTGTCTTCCGGATGCGGATACGTCACGTTTGGTAGGGCTGGAGTACCCACATCAGCGTCGCCTTATTCAGGTTCTGCGAGGGTCTTATCGAGATTTTAAATTTTTTTTTTTCCTGCAAAGATACAAGGACTGGGTAATACTAGGTAAATCATGCCAAGATAAACATTGCACATGGTATCTTGTTGGGACATACCTACGCAAACCAGGTGCATATAATCCGTAGCCGCTAGACGCTGGCGAGCAATCAAGAGAAAGATGACAAAAAACATTTACCTAACGTTAAACACAATTACCCCTTACCCCTTTAATGGTAGCATAGTGTACGGAGTAGGGCTGGGCCTTACATCCGCTGCAACACGCCTGCATGGCATGTGCATGTTGAGGTATTTCACTTACCCACTTCGCCCAGACTGTAATGTTGATGCCTAAGTAACCGAGCTATGTGCATCCTTGGCAGGCTGTTATATGACAATGCCAAGTGTGAACAACTAACTTGAATCCGCTCGAGCTTTACTCGGGATCCCCTTTTTGAAATGGTTGCTTGGATTGGGTATATGGGGGGGGGAGGAAGTTGTAGAGTTCGAAGCCACAACTCTTGAGCTGCATTTGTTCTCTGTATAACTGAAATTATACTGCGTACATACCTAAAGTATTTTATTTAGAAGTTATACGACACATGTGTGTATGGTGGGAATAGCTAGACTGCGCTAGTCGGGAATATGACACACTCGATTGCATCAGACCGCTGGGGCTTATTGTTTTTCTCGCTAGCGTATGGAGGATGGATAGATCATTGTTGTTGGGAAAACTCCCAAGGTTGGATTATATAACGGGTCCTGATGTGTTTGAACGATGTCGGAGCTGATCTACTCGATCGTGCTGATCGTCTCAGTGACAATTGTGGACCTTTTATTAATGGATTTTGCATCTTGCTACATGGAACTAAGTCTCATGTAACAAAAAAATCAGCATGCCTAAGCCATATATACAAAAGCATCGGTAATATGTACTAGAATCCAACGTCGAAAGGAGAAAATCCAAAGCCAAAAAGGTTCAGAAGACCTCCGGTGTGAAATGTCCCACTTAGGCACCGATTCCTGTTCCTGATCTTGTTTTGTTGATGCGGGCAGCGGAGCCTCTGCCTACAATCATATTGACAAAATTTCCCAGAACCCAGGACCTGGAACCCAAGTGAGAATATGCCCATATTCGCCCGCTAAAGCTGGGTTCGTCATAGTGGTACAAGGGTAGAAAGTTCAAATGGGGAATTGCCCGCCAACGCCAGTAGAAACTTCAAGGTATCTGCCGAAATCCCGTAACACGAAAAAAAAACATTTGAAGACCGGACGAGATAAAACTCCGAGAGGTTGTAAGGGAAAGCCAGATCAAAAGAAAAGGGTCATGATTCTTCGTTGCATTGACGTTGAAGACATGAGGATCCAGACAAAAAGACAAGCTAAAAGGTGGATCGATGTAATAAAGCACAGGCTGAAGAGGCTGCAGGGATACAGTATGCGCCAGAGCCAACAAACAGGATGGAACGGAAATTAAAAAAAAGGCATAAATAGAACCGTCGGAAGGGGCCTCCTTCCATTTTAGGAGTTTTCAAAGGGTTGAAATCAGTCAGACTCTCCTTGAATAAGCCTATGATAAATTACCGCCCCGTGAGGCAAATGTGATAGGATGATTTCGGTCACGTTAAACCTCAAGGGGCCGGTGACCTTCACACCTGACAATTTTTTTTTGTGGAGACGATCAAAACCCTTCCTCGCCGGCCTTGCACAACTTGATCTGGCGCACCCATTCTGATTTGAGGACCTGTGAGGCATTGATGCGGCGAGAAGGGTTGGGATCAAGGATGGAGTAGATCACATTGCGACAACGAGCCTGATAAGTCATAAGTCTTTGACCTCCAACGACAGGAGAGGGTGTGGCAGTTCTTACCCGATGTAACGTCTCGATGGGAGCGTATCCATCCTCATGTTTACGACCCTCTAGGTACCGCTGGTAAAATTCGTCTTCATCCTTGCGCGCCACACGCCACAGATGCCGTCCAGTGCGCATGGCCATGTAGATTACCCCAGTAGCCCAGAGATCAACTGCCCGGGGATCAAATTCCCTCTCGACGTATTCCTCTGGGGCGATGTATGGAGCAGAACCGCAGAGTCCGGCGGTCATGTGGGCTTCTTTCTCCCAGGCCATACGGAAGCATTCGCCGTTACCAAAATCGGTGATCTTGAGCGCACCATGAGTGGTCAAAAGTAAATTTTCGGGCTTAAGGTCGCGGTGTGCAACACCCATTTCGTGCATATACTCAACACCCCGCATCAACTGCTTGAAGAAGCAATCGGCCTCGGCAACTTCCAACTTGCCGGCAGCAAGGACCAGGGTGTACAGATCACCACCAGCGCAGTATTCCATGACTTCACAGTAATCTCCCTTTGCATCTTGCAAGAGGTCCAAAGTGTGAATAACGTTCGGATGACGAAGTGACGACGAGATGCAAAATTCAGAAGTCAATCGTTTTTGATACTTCTTGGTCGTTTCTTGAGGCCGGCGGCGGAACTCCTTGACAGCATACAGTTGTTCACACTTGGAATCTTGAGGGTCGACCTTGTGCGAGATGCGCACGATACCGAAAGCACCGCGACCCACAATCTCCTGGCACTTACCGTACTTGTCAACGAGAGAAGCGGTAGCATTCGGGCCACCTTTCTTATCAGCAGCCAACTTATCACGCTCCGTCTTGAACTGATCAATCCAGGTCGACATCAGCGACAACTGTTGCTCATCTACCTGGTCGTCCTTTTTCCGGCCACCCATCATGTCCCGCAGCAGATCAGTGAGTTTCTCTTGCCGTCTAGCACTTCTGAGGTTATGTGAGTGGTTGCCGAGAGGTTCCGTCAGAACCTCAAATCGCTTGTGGATTGAAGCTCCATCCTTTGTCTTTTTATCATCCATCTTCTTCTTGTCGTGTTTTTCCACGGGTTCGCTTTTTGAGTGACGGGTTTCGTGATGGTGTTCGAGAATATTCTCCTCTTGAAGGGGGTCTAGAAACAGGTCTGGAGGCGGGTCGAGATGATGACTTTGAGAGTCTGCCATTGAGGGGCTGGATGCTTTCCAAACTGCTGTCGGATAGGTCACGAGGAACTTCGGTGTTTTCTTTGGTTGATGTATTTTTCCCTGTGCTGGAGAACATGCGCGTGAGGCGAGCGGCCATGGTGGCTTTGGTCGGTTTTCCGGCTGGAGATAATGCCGGAGCAGGGAGGGCGTCCCCGTTTGTATGGGCAACCAGACTCATGCCCGTAAGGGCGCGTGCTACCGAAGCATCTCCATCCGGATGTTCATACGAGTGTTGTGAAGCTGCGGCGGACGAGACTGCAGAAGGCACAGGTGAAGGGGAAGGTGGAGTCATGTGCGGTGGATCGACAGATGAAGATTGGAAGAATGGTGGGTGGGACGTGAATTCTCCGTCCCCAAATTGGCAGACGAGCGTCTACAGCTCGCACGAAGCTTCGGCGAATTGACACGATCTTAATGGGCAATGACAAAGAGAAGTGAGATGAGCGAGGCGAGAGGGAAAAAAAAAGTTAGGCCAAATGATGGCCTGAGGCAACGAGAGCGAAGGGTGACGACACAAAGAGATACGGAAATCTTGGAAGCACCGCACACCAAAATGATGCCCTCTGGCAAGGAGGAGCCCCTGGGGTATATAGACACTCGATAAAAGATAGAGAAAATAAAAAGAATTAAAAAAGGAAGAGAAGTAGGTGGGAAATAAGTGGAATAAATTTGGCGATGCTAGAGAACTTGAAATACCACCGGGAGGAAATCCTTGGTAATTTATTACATAGCTGAATTAAAAAATTTTTAAAAAAAAAACCTTAGAAAAGGAAAAAAAAAAGCAACAACTCCATATCGAGAGAAGGGGGAAAATGTGGGCACTGTAACAGTACAGCTTACCCTCGAAGATTATTAATGCTTGTGAATGTCCACCTAGGCATCTGGTGTCCGCGGCCTCCAGGGCTCTCCAGAGTGTTTCTACACGATTCTGGGGTTGGCATGTAGAGCTACATGCAGCATACGGCGACTCCGGCACTGTGAGGCCTTACATAGATACAACAAGGGCCATATCCATGTTTGTCCTGCTTAAAGTCTTATGTTTTAGTGCTAACATTCTTTCAGATGGATAGACCAGATGGAAGGGATTCCCGAGGTCCGTTCCGATGGTTGATATTAAATTTTGTTGGGTGAGAGATTTAATGGTGATGAAACATTGAAGAGTAATCAGAATGTGCTATGTAATAAGTCACGAAAAGTACGCGTTTCTTTTTTTTTCCTACTCCGGAACTGGGTCTCTCCCGAGTCTCTCTGAGCAATACATGTATTGACGTTTTTTTTTTGACTAGTATTGATGAGGTTGAAGTGACGTCTTTATACGATTACTCTTTAGATGTACACGGACACTCTGGAATATTAGAAGAGTCGAAAGCACAGAGAAGTAGCTTTGATTGTTCCGCCACCATATCAAAGGAGTGAGGCTGTGCAGTTTGCACAACGAAGCCTAGTCATGATTCGATCAGCCCCGCACAAAGCCAACGCGCTGGGTGCACCTTGTGGCGGTTGTCATCCCGAGGCCGAAGTTGGGGGGTACCTTTCCGAAAACCACCTAGGTATTTGGATCCATTCGTCCGATGTGATTGGGGTATTCTCTGGATTTTAGCCGGAACAATGTGAACATTTCAAGACGTGCTTTTTTACTCTTAGTGAGTGGGGGATTATCATTTGAACATGAGCATCTATTGTTTAGAAAGATCAGACCATTCCTTTTACTATACTTGCAATAAAAAGTGATCAAGCATATCATCCGGGTCTTGAAACCCTGCTAAATCCAAAACAGTCAAGTGTTATTTTCCCCCAGGGACACTGTCCACGTTGGTTGCAAATCCTAAATCCCCATTCAACCAATTGTCGGACCCCTCCGTTTATACCCGTGCTCACTAGCCATATTGTACTTTCAACGGTCAGTTAGATCATCTCCTAAGAAACCCCCCCTCCCCCATTTGTGGACAGTTCTTGCCAATGATTAACGATCATTGCTACAACGATCATTGCTACGTAATAAGACCCGGTCAATCATGCACATCTCTCTATCGGGTATCGTGGGAACCGCGTGGGGTCTCTGTGCGACGAGGTCCCCCGCAGCGATGTACAACGTACATGAAGCTCTAGTAGGGAATACCGTTGAGACTAAGAGTGGCTTTCCACCATCTAGCGTCATTTGTACAGATGACGGCATTTAGGACTGACCCAGACTGAGTTGTTCGATTGGATTCTATTGGATAGAAATACATCGCTCTGTCTGATCACATCTGCAGGGGAATATAGCTACCCTCATTACTTAAGAAGAGATGGAGTAGAATTTGGAACGTTCACCGTCTCTTCGAATCTTGGTCTGTGTGGGGGGAATTCTTGACACCTAGTGTTTTAGGAACTCCATACTGGGATGAGCTTCGCACTGAATCCAGGCTATGTTTCCGAGCTAGTACAGGATGGTGACTAGCGGTATACTCAATCATGTAATTCAATGCTCATTTTACCCCGGATTACTATCTTTTTCCGAATCAGCCCGCTAGCATTGACCTCGGGTACACAGTAAAAATAATAGGCAAAGATATCTGCTGTAAAGGAACAATGAAGTTGAAAATAACAGGTCAATCTCACATGTAACGCAAAAACAGCATGTCCACTTTCTCTCACACAAGCTTCCGTATCCAGCACTAATGACTACGAGGGATTTTCACTCACCAATCACAGCCCTAAAAAGGAACCCATTTCAATTTCCCACAGTACATGGTCACTATGCACCATGTATATGTAAATTATACAATACAACAGTTGGATACAAACCAAGCATTTTATATCAAAGGCAGATGCATCTTCACTGAGGCACTTCGACAACACATAGTTCAACACTAACCCTCTTCACCCTAAGTTCCGATTTCCATCCACAACTGTACAGCGTAGAGAACGATGATTATCAGAAATGACAATCACACGCGTGATTTAAACTTGGCAGGTGTTAAAATTACTTCTGCTCTTGCTTTGATCTCTTGAGGTGTTTTCTTAAAGTGGTTGGTCCCTACAACATATCTCGAGAACAAAGTGAGGTTGAACAAGTCATGATATTCAGGTTCATTGCAGGCTGAACCTGTATGTAGCTTCATAGGATTTGTTCTTTCGGGTTGAAACTAGCTCTCAAGGGCGGTAATTCGCCCCATATCCCCTCGTATTGGTGTCTCGTGGACTACATTCATGTCCCTGCGGTTCATTCGCTTTTGATAGCCAGTAAAATATACAACAACTCTACATCATGGCTAGCTTTCACACTATAGACAAATTTTTGCACAAGTGAGCTTTACATGCACACTTTGGGGTTTGATTTTCTTGCTTTCCTTTTGATCATATCTCAAATGCAAACCTGATCAGGGCTTGCTATATACACCAAGTCCTCTATGACGAAAACACAATTCAGCCAGACCTCCGCCGTGACCCCTTACTCTGAGTCAATGCAGAAGCCACATCTGTTATCTAATCCGCCGGGTTACCACTATGCACATGATGATAGCAGCAGAGGCTACCTACAGCACAGAAGAATCACCATTCTGCATGCGTATACGAACTTTCGGACGCGGTCGATCCCAACGGAAGAAGATTGACCTAGTCATGGCATACAAGGTGATAGACATTTGGCAAAGCGAAGATCTCGAGGATCATATCTACCCACAAAGCCCGTACGCATGGAGAAGGGGATCGAGTCAGTTCATGGGAAGTCTCCGTTAGTTCACATGTTTATTGAAAAGTGTAAAAGCAACCACAAAGCCACCAAACACTGGATGTAACCCAAATTTCGATACAAGCCGGGGCATGCTTGACCGCCAGTTTGTGCTTGTTGGAAGACACATACAGCCACGAAGTTATAACATTGGTCGGCTTTGCATTGCGACACCTTTCTGGTGCGGCTGAATGGTCCAAGCTTGGGATAGGCTGTAGCATCATCCTGATTTATTCTCTGTGGATGCACGCATGTGCCTATGGGGATATGCATTAGTAAATTCTCGATGTATTTCCAATGCACAGACGCGCTACAGAGCAAAAGAGCTCGGGCAAATAGGAGGGGCCGAGCTTCTCCATCGGTAGTATCTGTTATCCCGCTGTGGATGCACGTTGTGGTAAACCTATATGTGTGGGCTTCTGTGCTTTAGCCAAGTCATGCAGAATGTAGGATGGGGACGATCAGACCTGAAGCTGAGAGCTATCTGTGGGTATCTTGATTTTCGTTGCGAGATGTATTGAGCTTTGCTTTTTCTTTGTGGTAGGTAGAAAAAGTAATAGCAAGATCAAATTACTGTTGTATGACCCATCTTCTCTACTTGATTCTCAAGTCTACACCTATCGGCTTGTCGGGTCGGAGCCTCCATGCAGAAGCAGACGCACGAGCCACACTGGACCAGCTAGGAATGCTGGCTCTTGGCGGTGCTGCCTGGCTATAGCTGCTCGGATTAAGAGTGTGGTTAGCGCTTTAGACCTGGACATAGTTTGCAATTTCTTTTTATTTGGCGTTGTTGATGGCTGCGGCCTTTCCTTTGCTTTTTACGACCTATACCCCATGTTTACTATAATAAGGCATTTCGAAGGCTGGAAACTTGATAGTGCACCTACAGTGAGACATGTCACATAGCTATTGCGTTATACCAGCGGCAATCAACTCTTCCAACTCTCCCCGAACACCAGTAACAAGCAGCTCTGTCCAGTGTTCCTGTTTAATAGCACCTAATAAGATGAAGCCGGGCTATTTGCAGGCCGGGTCCCGGGACACTCGGTACCATTAATCTCCCGGCGTACAGCGTACCAGCGGCGCTGGGAGTGCCACGTGGGAAGAAATCGGGTCCTATTGAATGGCAGCCACACACGAAAAGGCGGTATGAATAACCCTGGCATGCTTGGCTTTGATGCTGTGTCCCGGTAATCATGTTTCTCGCCAAATGTGCTGTTGCATGCAGGTGCCCGTAGAACAGTGTGCTTGATGACAGGCGAGTCCGCTGTAGTATGCGCACGATTGCAGCTATGCCGATCTCACGCCTTGGAGATACCTGATTTGTACATGCTAGCCTCGATATGTCCTAGCGGTGAGATCCTGTCGCTTTTTCCTTCCTTCACGTGGACTTGCTCGCGCGAACTGACCTCCAGATTCTGTGAGAGATACCCGGTTCGAGATCATGACAGAACTCGAGTCTGCTACCAGATCAGAACATACGTCAACATTTAAGGGCAGTGTGCCCAAATTGAAATGCACGTACCACAAACTGCTCTAATGACTCCTCAAATAGCTCATTGTTCACACCCACACCGCCGGGGTGCTCGGTCGGAGAAAGAGGGTTCTTCACCACTAAACAGACCGAACCACATTAGCACTGCCCAGGCCTTCCAGACGGGATCAATAAATCACACGAACCGTATTCCACAAATAGATTGATATAGATCTGTTGCAGCGCGATACGCATGCTGGGACTCTTGAGGTCGGTCAGCATGACGAACTTGATATTCGTTGGTGTCTCGTAGTAGTGAAGCTTGTACTGGCTGGTGGTGAATGACACAAAGCTACTTGGTGTTAATATCGGCTACGCCTGTACATCCGGAAGCCAGCAAACAGGCCCTGTCTGGCTTGCTCCAGGGACAGTCTTACTTGTCATCTTCGCCTCCTAGCTTGCGTACCATATTCCGCAGCGAGAAGACCGTGCCGAAGACTAGCTTCGAATCATCGTCTGTCGATCGCACAGTTTGACCGAGACCGGTCGGTGCTGCGCCGGAGACTGTGTCAGAAGACCGGGACTTCCCCACGATAGTGGAGGTCGGGCGCGGAAGCCAGCGGCGTTTGTATATACATGCCGCTGGATAACAGTTAGTGTATGCCAATTCAATTATGAATTATAGGGGAGTGCTTACCGTGCCGATCAAAGATGTAGAACGAGTAGACGACCATGGTGTATCGTGTGACCTGAAACAAGTTGTTGTTGATGTTCAGGGGAGTTCCGAGGCAGAGCGGGCGGTGAAATTAGTTCCCGTATCGATAACAAACGCCCAGATCCAAAAAAAAGGCGCTGCCTAGAATTCCTTCGGGGTTTTCGATTTGACTGGGACATTTCTTTAATTTATAACATAAGGCTTAGTACCATTTATTTTATCTGCCTTTGCAATCCTTGCAGAGCGTGGCCTCGTAAGGCTGACAGCCCGCGTCTCGCGTTATCGAATCCCCCACTCGAACTTCCTCATTACCCCACACATCTACCAGCCAGCACTTGGTGTATTTCAATGGATGGGAATGTGGAAACTCCTATTTCGGATGTATCCGCGGAGCCATCCATCACCTCGCTCGATGGTATGACCGATGTGCGACCCCAGGCGAGTAGAGTTGCGTGAGTTTCGCTATGAAACACCTGCAGAAGATTATTTTTGCTGAGCATGTTGTATCTTGCTGACGCCACTATGCAACTAGGTCTACTGCATCCCACGACAGTACTGGGAGGCACAGACGGCGAAACCCAAGAGGAAGGCGTCCGGTGAAGGTCGGTCTCTCAATGCCGTTGTGACAGCTTCGGAGAACTGATACCGAGGACTAGGAAACGCTGGACGCTCGCTCAGAATACTATACAAGCCAAGATGATGGCACTGCGGAACATCGTATCAACCAATATGTGATCAAACAGGAGATCGGACGTGGATCGTTTGGGGCGGTCCATCTGGCTGCAGATCAGTTTGGCAATGAATATGTATGAGCATGAACCTGAAGGACATGAGCCTGGTCAGCCCGGAAAAATGAAATTTCTAACTATCAGACAAACCGTCTGTAAATTCAGGCAGTCAAGGAATTCTCCAAGTCCAGACTAAGAAAACGTGCACAGTCGCATCTGCTGCGAAGACCGAGAGGTCCGATTCGGCCAGGAACAGATTTCAACTCGCCATTACATCGTCATCCTTCTGGTGACGACGCTGAGACAGCAAAGAATCCTCTATATCTGATCAAGGAGGAAATCGCAATTATGAAGAAACTGAACCATAACAATCTAGTGTCATTGATCGAGGTCTTGGACGATCCGACAGAGGACTCGTTGTACATGGTGATGGAAATGTGCAAGAAGGGTGTTGTCATGAAGGTCGGACTGGAAGAGAAAGCAGATCCGTATGACGACGAGCAATGTCGATGTTGGTTCCGTGATCTGATCTTGGGAATCGAGTATCTGCATTCACAGGGGATTGTCCACCGAGATATAAAACCAGACAACTGTCTGGTGACCAATGACGACATTTTGAAAGTGGTCGATTTCGGCGTGTCGGAGATGTTCGAAAAAGATTCAAATATGTTCACTGGCAAGTCAGCAGGGTCACCAGCATTTCTCCCGCCAGAGCTGTGCGTGGTCAAACATGGCGATGTATCCGGAAGAGCGACGGATATCTGGTCCATGGGGGTAACTCTATATTGTCTGCGGTATGGAAGGCTGCCATTTGAGAAGCAGAGCATCTTCGAGCTGTATGATAGTATCAGGGGAGATCTTCTGGCCTACGAAGAAGAGTCAGATGAAGTATTCAAAGATCTGATAGGACGGATCCTCGAAAAGGACCCAGAGAAACGAATCGACATGTTTGGTTTACGAGTGAGTCAATCGCAATTATGTTGTATACTGCTCGCCAATACTTACCAGATACAACAGGAACACCCCTGGGTAACAAAGCATGGGGCTGATCCTTTGCTGTCATTTGAGGAGAACACGTCGCAAATCATCGAGCCACCGACAGAGGAGGAGATGAACTCGGCCATTACAACTAACATGGGACACCTTATGACCGTGGTATGTTACTTTTCCACGTTCTAGTAGGAAGTTCATTCATTAACAAAGCCCGCAGATGAAAGCCGTCAAAAAATTCAAGCGACTAACAGATCCTTCCAAAGCACAATCCCCCATTCAAAGTACGTTTGGTAAGAGCATCCTGGGTGGAGACCACGATGCCTATCTTGTCGAGCCACCAATGGAAATGGACCCAGACGAACCCTTCCCAGCAGTGGGATCGGCTCCACAAACACATGACGCCTATGGCTTGCACGCAGGTCTACGCAAGGGTTTTGGCCGGCGCCCTTTTGCCGCATTCCGAGACGATTCCGGAGCCCTCGGGTCTAGTGATTCAGCCAGCTTTTCATCTCGGCCGGAGTACAGCCCGAGCAACAGCAAAAAACCCAGCGGTGTGTTCGAGCCCGAGCGAAAAGTCTCCGGCTGCATCCGCAGCGGGGGCTCCCCGGCTCAACCGGATATCGGCCACGAAGCTCAACCCCACTCTCAATCGGCATCACCCCATATCCCCCTCTCGCGAGCAAGCTCAGGTAGAACCAAGCGCAGCCTGGAGGGGACGAGAGGCCATGCCCGTGATCCGCTGGAGGAGGAGTTTCCCTACCTTTTTATTGGTCCATCTACATACACCGGCTCCTCGCAGCAGGAACCCATGGAGAGTAGTGATGAGCCAACGCCTATGTTCCAAGGGCCAGAACATTCTGACCGGATTGAGGATGATGAGCTTGTGCAGTTCGTTAGTGAATCGCCCGGGGCTGCAGATTTCAATATCTACGAGACGGCGTACATGAAGGAACTCGATCGCATCAAGCGCAACCAGAGAGACCGCGATACCGGCCCGAAGGTGTATCTGACTCGGCTTGTCGAGAAAAAAAGCGCTGAAATGACGAAACTGGCCAAAGAGAAGGAGTTGGATCTTCAAATTGGGAATCAATTCACTCCTCCTTCTCTGTCGAGAGCACCCTCAGGCTTCGGGTCTGCGGTTAATGCACTGCTCTCACAGATGCTGCAGAAAAGACAGGCTGAGGAGTCGGAGGAGCAGGGTGATGATGCATGTAAAGATCAGAACCACGAACCTCACCCCCACCCTCCCAAACGCCTGTCACTTTCAACCCAACCTATACCAGAGCCTGAACAGTCTTCTTTGGAGGCGACCGGTGTGTCGTCTCCGGTGGGAAGCGGTGATTCCAAGGCCCAGCTGCAGCGAATTCTTGATCGAGTTCGTGGAAAATCTGATAGTGCGAAGTGATAGGCCGGGCAGAATGTGTTGTATGGATATAATTGTGAAATTTGGTCCTTTGTGTAGATATGGCCTTTCATTCAAGGCGTCGAACAGCTAGTTTCTTTGTCTAATAATTTTTTTTTAACCTATGTATGAACAGGCAAACCTCTCAAAGACAGTCTTTGGCATTTACAATCCTCGTTGGAACCTGTGCGATAGGAACGTACAAGGTTCGCGGAAGCTCATTGGATTCCAGAAATTGCGGGTTTAGATATTGCATGGTTATCATTCTAAGATCACAATGTTGGAAAAGAAGCCAAAAATCAATGCAAAGGTCATCTCCCGTTGGCGATCCGGCAACTTGAGATCAAACGGCACTCAAGCTGAGAATAGACAGGGTAAATTGGCCTTGAACGAGGAAATGTAAAGGCTCAAAGAACCGCCATCGTTATGTCGCAATAGACATAATGCATCATCAAATGCATAGCACGCAACACATTGGGCTAGGCTAGGGAGAAAGAAAAAGTCGAAAGAGAGGCAGAAAGAAGAAAGATGCTAGGCATGGAGAGCATCAACTGGCATAAACGCCTTTTCTTGTCTTGGGTCATGAGGGTTGAAGTTGGCTTCACAATATTGTGATCATGTACTTGCCCAGAAGGCGAGTGGGAAGCAGGGGCGGAAGGAACGCAGGGAAGAAATCGCTTGCTTTAAATTGGGAGCGCAATGGCACGAAGACTCAATCATAGAAAAATCGAATCATCAAGCATATGAAGGCTGTTGTCTTCATGGGACGTGGGGAAACTCATCAACACTTCAATAGATGTGTGAAGGTCACTGTCACAAAGAGAGAAGGGAAGTGAAGTATTTCCCATTCCGTGGCTTATCTGACCTTGAGGTAAAGTACCTAGGGAGGCATATATACACGGGCATTAAATGAGAGGGACAGGCATGCATGGGGGTGTTGAAAAGGGTCGCTTGAAGAGCTTGGAGAAAAACCGCGCAATCATAAACACAACACAAAAACGCTGTCTATTTTTCATCACTGGCTTAATCATTCATTCATGGCGCTTGGGCTTCAAAAAAACAAAACAAAGGCTGAAATCGAAGTCGAAGGTGTATTCGAGACTCGGATCGAAATGGAAATGAAAATGACGATATTCAAAAGAAAAGAAACTATCAAGATCTGTGGTCATCGCGGAAGTTTTTCGGCTGGTGTCGTGCTCATTCGTCCTTCCGGGTACGGTCCTGTTGGCTGGTCAGGTCGACTAGTGACCGAGTCACGCCGACCACCGTCTGGCGGGGAATACCGGTCAGCTGCAAAGCTGTAGGGCCGCTCAGCTGGATTGCTGAGTCTAGGGAATGCGTCTGGGGGGCCTAGTTGCAAGGTATGTGCTGAAGGGAGGGGGTGGCCCATCTCTGATAGCCGGGGTAGTTCGCGCATGTTACGGGCTTGGCGCTCGTCAGTTGGCGCGGGACCGGGGGGTGGAACTGCTGAGCGCATGGTTGAAGTGCCGTAGAGCATTGGATTTGGGCCTGGCTTGGGTCCGTAGAAAGACTGGGGTGCCGGCGGGAATGGTGTAGACGATGGGCCTGCCGCGGGGCTGGTTGGCGAAGGGACTTTGAGTCTGTCAGACCCTGACCGCCGGGGAACTGGGTAGGTTTCACCACGGGCTTCAGCTAAGAGCTTACGTCGCTCCGTCTCGGCTTTGCTTGGACGTCCTCGTTTACGGGGTGGTTCGCCAGGGCTGATGTCTAGTCTTGGGGAGAGCTGGGCCGATGCTCCGCTTTCGCTGCTGTAGGATGCGGTGCTTGCTGATGGCCTTGGTTGGATCGCACGAGGGATTGGCTTGTCGGAAGGATACAATTGCCGTTTGCGCATAGCGCTCGGGTCCATTGGGGTTGGCGGGCCAGTCCTATCGGATCTCGGTAGAAATGGAGCCATGGGATGTGTTGGAGAGTGCACAGGCTGCTCAACCATATTGAGATAAGCCATTCTGCACGAGCTGAGTGAACGGCCTTGACCGGGGCAGGTGTTAGCTTCATGTGGATCTTGACCTGCAACGCTTTTTCTCCTTCTTTTCTCCTCTTCATTGGCCGGCAATTGGACGATAATACCTTGAGGAAGGGGAATATGCTCCCAATTTGGAGTTATCCCACGTTCTTTGATCATGCGTACTAGACAGCTGGATGGAACTTCAGCTTTCTTAAGGATTTCGGTGAGCAGAGTGTACTGGTTGTTGGTCAGCATCAAATACACACACGACCACAGAATCTCTCCATACCTTGTCCTCCTCGGTCCATGGCCTATCAGATGGATTTGACATATCCAGACCATGGAAGCGGATTATAGCCGACTTCCCTTTCCCTGCAAAAAGACAAGAAATACAACGTGAAGAAAAGAGAGAAAGTAAGCAACAAGAAAAAAACAAAGAAAAGCCTCCCGGGAAAGGACAACGAACGGCAATCGTCAAGGTCGTAATACACAATTCAGATCAATTGATCCCTCATTTATGTCGGAGTGGAAAAACGAAGCGAGTGAGAGAGAAAGAATTTAAAAAACAAAATCAATCCAAAGACCCGCGCTGGCAGAGAACGAGAGGAGGTCTCTTATGTCCCCATGTCCTCCCACGCGGAGACGAAACAAAAGGGATGACAGGAAAACCAGTGATCTGACAATTGAAGGCTTTCTAGCCAAAGAAATTGAAAAAAGTGCAGTAGAACCAAACTCCATTCAAGATCCCCCAATTTAAAAATTAATTTTTTTTTCCTGGTATTTTTTGCAGGAGGATTTTCTAGCCAAACAGCCTTGAGCAGCCGGGATCGCGCAGAATACCAGCGTTCGGGAGGAAAGCTGCAGTGGACGATGCTTTCTGGAGAGAATGACAGTACCGGTTAGAAGAATATGGTAAAGTACCAAGCATTCCAGGTGAATAAAGAGAAATGGGCGTTTCAGCTGGGATAAGTTTCATATATTTTCCAGAAGAGTTTCGAAGAACGAGAAAGGGCAAAATTACCACTAAGAAGACTGGGAAGCGGGGAGACTGGATTTCTGATTCCTCCGAAAGTACAATCGAGGGGTTGAGTTGAGTGGGGGCTGCATTGCATCGAACGGATGGGGAGGTCTTTTTGCATCTAGTGAACTCGTTTGAGGAAGATGATCATGCCCAAGATACGAGGTATAAGATAGGCTTCAATTCAGCCGAATTGCAATCGTTGGTTCGGGAAACGGTTGGCCCTGGCAGTTCCAGAACCAAGGGACAGTTGAAGCGTTATTTCTTGGTTTTTTTTTAAGGGGCATTTTTAGTGCATGATTTTGGTTTCGTCGTGTCTTTTTCTGGGTACACTGTGGACTCATGGAGCTGAGTGGGGGGGAAGGAAGGAGGAGGAGGGTTTGATAGGTGAACAAATTGGCCCGGGACGTTGGAACGCCAGAGAAAAAAAAAAAGATTGTGTTTGAAACTAGCCTCAGGGGCGGTTAAAATGGGCGATCGTACAAGAATTGAAAAAAGCGCATCTGTCATGCAGCGGGTGGTTCTGATGAAAATGGATCAGGATGATTGGCAGAGACGAGCCGAGTGGAGAGGGGGACTCCGCCGAGGTGCAGCCATGAGGTTCACGTTTGTCACATACAAGTAATTTCACAAAACAGGATGGAAGATCATGCCTGGAAAAGAGAGAATGAGAGAAGGACTATAACATACATGTGAAGTTGAAGTAGGATGACCTAGAATGATAGCCTGAGGCACACTAAATTTGAACTACATAGATCGAATCGATTTGATCTCTCTCACAATTGCATAAGATTCTAAAAAAAGGACAGGATTAAAATCAATCAAAAAACCGTCAAAGCGAACTAATTAATTTAATCTTAAGAGTACAACATATATAACATATACAACATGGGCGGAGTACCGGTTTGAAATTCACGCACAGACTCTTCCACGTTGATGAACAACACATGCAGATGCGCTTTTTCCTGCTTCCTCCTCCAATCGATTTTTTTTTCTGTCTCTCCTATAATTTGTCCGGTCACCGGTCTGGTACTGCAATTCTTATTTTTCCCCTTTTCAGGTCGATCGGTCACCATTGTCAACTCTATCACATCCAGGCTGATGCTGACAGGCCGAAGGCAGCTGATCACCCTCCAGGAACATCCAAGGAATGAAATGTGAACATCAAAACAGAATTGGGATTGAGGGAAGATGATGGTCACTCTCCTCAATTACCCATGACTCTACCCGAGTGATCCCAGACCTATTTGAGGTTTATTCTTATCAGCCTATGTTGTAGGTGGACCTGAGCCCTAACCCTCCACATACAACTACAGAGGTGAATCAAAGGTCAACCAGGTCTATACAAAAGACCCAACAAAACCAGATGAGACTAGGCTCAAGGCGGTGAGAGCGCAAAAATGACAACAACTTCGAATGGTGTCAAATTAGGAGATTTTTTTTTTTTTATCAATGAGATCGTTACCTTTACCGCTCTGGCAACCCCCTTGATTCCCGAGGGCATGTCCTGGCAGAATCATCCCCGAACTCCGTATTCTGCGTTCTTTTCTCTCTCTCTCTCTCTCTCTTTCTTCCATAGACCCAATCGTAGTCCGTGTCGTCATGTCTGCTCATGACCACGCGGACTCTGAAGAGCCAGCCAAAATGGAGCGGCAATCCCCGGTAAACGGCAATCAGTTGAAAAACGACTCGCGTCTCTCTTCTCGATCTCCTCTTCCGCCAAAAAAAGAATCCACCCTCAACTCCGATGCATCCGATCAACCGAAGGAGAATATCGGCGAGATCGTCCCGAAACAAGAATCGGGCCAACCACTCAAGCTGTCTCGCAGCTCGTCGCAAAAAGTCGCGTCGCGACCTCCGCCGCTGTACACGCACCTGCCAGATAGTACCCAGGATGCGCTCGCCACCTTTGAACAGATTCCCGGCTGTATTTACGCTAACAAATACATGGGATACACCGAACATGCCATGGAATGTGATTGCGCTGAAGAGTGGGGTAAGTTTGGTTTTCGACCTCGGTGTCGTCTTGCCCGAATCCCAAGGGGACATTATCTCACTTTGAAGATGATCAAACTTCCGCGAGCATATCACTGATCCACTCTGTAGACCCAAAGATTGGACAAAATATCGCATGCGGCGAGGATTCAGACTGTATCAACCGCGCGACCAAGATCGAATGTGCAGGCGACTGCGGCTGTGGCTCCGACTGTCAAAATCAGCGGTTTCAAAAACAACAGTTTGCCCCGGTATCCGTTATCAAGACAGAAAAAAAGGGGTTCGGTTTGCGCGCGGAAAGGAATCTCGATCCGGGCGAACTAATTTACGAATACGTTGGGGAGGTCGTGGGAGAACAGCAATTTCGAAAGCGCATGAGACAGTATGATGAGGAGGGCATCAAGCATTTCTACTTTATGTCCCTGAACAAGGGCGAGTTTGTCGATGCGACCAAGCGAGGCAACCTGGGACGATTCTGCAATCACTCGTGCAACCCCAACTGCTATGTGGACAAATGGGTCGTGGGCGAGAAGTTACGTATGGGAATCTTCGCCGAACGCGCGGTTCAGGCCGGCGAGGAGCTGGTATTCAATTACAATGTGGATCGATACGGTGCCGACCCCCAGCCCTGCTATTGCGGGGAGCCGATGTGCACGGGATTCATCGGCGGACGCACGCAGACCGAGCGTGCGACCAAGCTGTCAAACGCAACTATCGAGGCTCTTGGTATTGACGAGGCCGATGGCTGGGATACGGTGGTTGCGAAACGACCAAAAAAGAAGAAGATGGAAGAGGATGACGAGGAGTATGTGGACAGCGTGCAGCCCAAGTCGCTGGATGAGGATGGTGTGACCAAGGTCATGGCAGCTCTTGTGCAGTGCCAGGAGAAGTGGATCGCGGTCAAACTGCTTGGCCGTATTCAGCGCTGTGACGACGAACGCGTTCGCAATCGCGTGGTGAGAATGCATGGATACCAGATTTTGAATTCCCAACTCGCCCAATGGAAGGAAGACCAGAACGTGGTCCTGCAGATCTTGAATATCCTCGACGGATTCCCGCGACTCACCCGGAACAAGATCCAGGACTCGAAGATTGAGACGAACATCCGGCCGTTGACGACCTGTGATGATGAACGCGTCGCAAAGAAAGCAGTCGCCCTTCTCGAGAGCTGGGCGGGTCTGGAAGTCGCCTACCGAATCCCGCGCATGAAACGCGGCAAGGACGCGAAGCAGGCAATCAACCAGTTTGAGCGCCGCGAAACTGGACAAGAGCAGCGCCAGCGATCTCTCACTCGCTCTCCATCTCCTGCGTATGATCCTCCTCGTGGCCCAGCACAGCAACGAAGAGACCGAGGTCCTCAGCGGCCCAGACAACCCAACCGTCGCGGCCCTCGGCCATTGCCGGAGGGATGGTACACTGCGGAGGCGGAGGGCCGCGTTTACTACTATTCTGCATCAGGCAAAACAACCTGGGAACGGCCAACTTTACCTGCTACTTCTACTACTTCTGCACCGGGTCAGCCTATCAAAAATCAACAGAATTTGGCCTTGCAGAGTATCATTGATGGGATTATGAACACGCAGGAGGACACACCCTCCGAGCACCGAACTGATACACCCGTGACTCCCCAGGCCTCCGCTGATCAACCGGAGAGAAGACAAAAAGATGGAGAGAAGTGGAGGAAGCTTCCGCTGGAGAAACAGAAGAGAATCTACGAGAACACTGTGAGTCTTCATGCAAAAAAACACGAGATCTGGCTGGACTAACACGGAACAGCTTTTCCCACACATCAAGCCTGTGGTCGATCAGTACAAACATAAGATTCCTGATCATTATCTGAAACGATTTGCTAAGGAGGTAAGATGACAGACGCTCACTTTCGATTCTCATTCTGATGAGAGGTAATTGTTCTGACATTCCTGATCAATAGACTGCG